CTTTCATAAGGCAATTGGACTTCTTTGTACGGGTGTTCTTCTTCCTGTTGGCCGGCTTGTATATACCCGCACAATCGCAATGAACAAGCACCTTCCGCACCTGAGGTGGAGTGCGCTTGTCCATTTTATTGTTGTATTTGACGATCGCGTATCCTTCCTTCTTTGCCCAATTGTTGACGGACTTCATGCCCTCATCTACGGATGCATGGCGGCCCCAGGGGGGCGGCCGGAGCGGCATGGCGGTGAGGGTGGTGATGTAGAGGACGTGGTGTTAATGCATTACGAGTGCGCAGTTGATGTAAATTCCTTATTGAGCACAAATAGTGAGTGGATATGATTGGTGGAACAACATTAATACGGGCCGGCGCTAGGCTAGATGTAGGGGGGGTGGCAGGAAGAGAAAAGGGGGGTGATGCGGAGAGAATAGGGGGGTGGTAATTAAGCTCGTCCTTTACGCAAACGCTCAAAGCCTATAACCATACTGTACAGAGTCTTCTGGCGCATCATTAGGTTAAATCCGTATTACCTCCGAGCACCGTCATTCCCCACTACGTAAGCAACCAATGATCTACTCCACATTTATATATCTAGAACGCCCCCTACAAATCCCAACTTATACCCGACCAACCTCCCATTCTGCCCCAAGATACACCAAATTGCGCCACAAAAATGCTCGCTTTAACCTCCGCAACCGGCAAACTCGGCTCCGCCGTCATCTCCTCCCTCCTCTCAGACTTCAACAGCATCATCCCTCCCTCTGACCTGGTGATATGCACGTCCTCGGACCCCCTATCCCCTCAATTCGCCCCCCTCGCCGCAAAAGGCGCCACAATCCGCCCCATGACCTACGACTCCCCCGCCAGCATGGTGTCCGCCTTCGCCGGCTGCACCGCCCTCTTCCTCGTCTCCTCCCCGCGCATCTCCATGGACTTCAACGCGGCGCCCCCAGGCCAGGGCCGCGAAGCCCACCACATGGCCGCCATTGACGCCGCGCGCAAAGCCGGCGTGCAGCACATTTACTACAGCAGTCTAGCATTTGGGTTCAAGGCGGGAACGCCCATGGACACGTCCCTCGCCAGCGTCATGACGGCCCACCTGCGCACCGAAGCCTACCTCGCCTCGCTAACGGACATCAGCTACACGAGCGTCCGCGAGGGCCTGTACAGTGAGTCCTGGCCGCTCTACCTCGGGTACTACGAGCCCGAGCACGACGACAGGGCTGAGATTGTCGTGGCGGGCGACGGGAAGATTAGCTGGACGAGCATCGCGGATATGGCGTTCTGCACGGCGGCGATTTTGGCGGCGCCGAGGGAGGAGTGGGCGGGGAGGATGTGCTATCTGTCACAGCGCAGGGCGTTGACGCTGGAGGAGGTTGCGGGGGTGGTGGGGAGCGTGAAGGGGAGGAAGATAGGGTTGAAGGTGGTGGGGAGGGGGGAGTATGAGCGGTATTATGTGGAGGAGCGGGGACGGGAGGGGGACGCGGTGAGGTGGTGGAGTAGCACGTATGCGGCGTTGGAGGCGGGGGAGTGTGAGGTTGAGCAGCCGTTGTTGGAGGATATGTTGAGGGAGGCCGGGAAGGTGCCGAAGAGGCTGGAGGAGACTATTAAAGAGATGCTTGCTTGATTGGAGTTCATGGGGCTTTTTTGGGAAAGGTCGGTGTTTGACGGTTGAGGTAGCGAGTATACTGCAAGACAAATATATTCCTGATCTTTGTTGTTTGTGTTGGAGATTGATGCCGTCGCCCTTTACATCTTTTTCCAGTCATTAGCATTCTCCCACGCGTACGCAACCTTCAGTATCGTCTCCTCGGTCCACCACTTGCCAACGATCTGCATCCCAACGGGTAATTTCGTGCCGGACCCCTTCAGTGGCCCCTCGTGAATCTCTAGCATTCCAATTGGTAGCGTGAGCGCCGGGTGTCCGGTTTGATTGAATTGACATGCTGTCGAACGTGTCAGTCACCAATAGCGCCAGAATATATGCTCCAAGAACTCACTGTTGCTGACTAAGCCGACTTGTTTCGCGATTTGCTGGAGTGGAGTAGCATCTGGCTCACAGTGGCTCGTGGCGATGTAAGGCAGAGTGGGCGTAATCAAGACATCGTAGTCCTGTAACGCAATGTCATACGCGTCGCGGAGCTTGCGAGACAGATTCGTTGCTTTTGACGTTAGGGTTGGGAAATTCTTGCGCGCATATTCACCATTCAGGTAGATGTTCTTGGTTCTTTCGCAAACGTTAGCGCGACCAAACCTTGGAGTGCTGCTGATGAGAAAGGGCAGCTTACGATACGTAGGCTTCATCGAAGTTTTCCTGCTTCATGGCGTTGAATTTGGCGTTAAGCTCCACCATTTGGTGCCCTCGTCTGCCAAAAGGACCGACGGTTTTATTCAGGAAGCCAGCGTATTTGCTGACTCCGGTCCAGATCGCGGGGCCTGTTTTGTGCATTGGGACGCTGACTTCTTCTACTTGAGCACCTAAACTCTTGAGGGACGCCGCGGCGCGCTCAAACGTAGCTTTAACGCGTGGATCAAGGACTGCCATCGTCAGGGACTCGGCAATTATGCCAATCCGCATTTTGGAAATATCCACCGGTGTAGCCAATTTCTCCAGGTCTGTCCCGTACTTCGGAATAAGCTGAGGGCTTGGTGCTGCAAATCCCCGATCGTCTATGTTGTCGTTGCCAGATATTACCTGCAGCAGGAAAGCGTTCTCAAGCACCGTACGCGTCATAGGCCCCAAATGATCGTTCGTAGGCTCATTGCTGCCACAGCCCGTATACGGTATCAGGCCAAACGTTGGTTTGAAGCCCACAAGACCACAATTGCACGCTGGTATCCGTACGCTGCCTCCCTGGTCTGCCCCAATGCCCATGTCGGCCTCGCCCAATGCAACAAGCACCCCGCATCCACTCGAGCTTCCACCACTGCTGTATCCATGGGCGAAGGGGTTCTGGACGGACCCGGTGGCTGCTGAGTGGGAGGTGGCGCTGTGGCAGAGGTTCTCGCAGACCGCTTTTCCGGTGATATGGCCGCCGGCTTCGAGGACGCGGGTTACGACGGTGGCATCGGTGCTCTAGAGGATTCAAATCAGTGACAATCCAGAAGTAGTGCATATGAGAGCCTACTGGAACGTAGTCCTTGACAAAATTCGTCCCCATGAGCATCGGCACATCCTTGACTCCAATGTTGTCCTTCAACACCACGGTCTTCCCTTTCAGCAGCTCAGGTGTGCTCGTTGCAGTCCGCAGCGATGGCTTCTTGTCCTGTATATCCGCCTTCCACGCCCATGCTCCATGTTTGTTCTCTTCTGGCTTAGGGAAGTGTACGTTTTCTCGTGGGAATCGCTCTAGGTCGACGGAGGGCTCATAATCTGAAAAATTGTCAGTACTTCGAGAGCTACCACCACGCGTCGGTCTTACCAGGCATATCCATCAACTCCACCGCCGAGTCATGGAACACTGCAAGCAGCTTCCTATAATCTTCCTTCTCTTCATCCTTGATAGTGACGCCCAAAGTTGCCAAGGTCTCGTTCAAGACATCGTGGGTAACAGGATTGCCTTGCCTGGCGACCAGGGAATGGACAGACATGGTTGAGGCTGAAATGACTCCATATTGGGAGTCTCCCAAGATACGAGGACCTCCATCTGCCAGAGTGGGTGTCTGACACCGTCGGTTGCTGACAATTGGAGTGTGGAGAGAGTTCGTCGGTCAAGAGATGCCGATGATGAGAGCTTCGAATTCGGAAGGCTGCTCCCGATCTGGTCCCTCCACTCCTCTCCACTCACACCCCACAATCGCAGGCAGTCTTTGAACCCCTGCAGTGTGTTGACGTGATGGTCATCGGCATTAGTCCAGGCAGTGTGCATAGAGTAGAATCTAGGTAGGGTAAGCATGCATCTCCATTTCACAGCCTTCAAGGTCTCGTCTCAGTCCCCTCACCATGGTCCATACCGAAGAATCTCTGCAGCTGCCCCGTGATTTCGAAGGTCAATTGCTTCATCAAAACTATCAATTGCATCGCTAATTGAAGATAGGCTTCGGCGAAGAATCCCACGACTGCGAATGGCCCAATGGCGCGCGCATCGCGATTTCCTTCATCCTGAACTACGAGGAAGGCGGCGAACGCAACATTGCTGATGGCGATGAGTACTCCGAACCTTATTTGTGGGAGAAAGGTACATCTGGAGGTATCAAAACCGGCGCGCGTTATCTCAATGCGGAACAGGATTTTGAGGTATTGCCGACCCTCAATCCTGTGAAGTGGGACTGACTCGGGCCACAGTATGGGAGCCGAGTTGGCTGCAGGAGAATCATGAGGCTGTTCAAAGAATTCGGATGGCAGATTACGATATACGCTATTGCACATGCAATGGAGAGGAGTCCAAAATTCGCCAAGGCGTGCATACGAGAGGGACATGAGATCGCGGCGCATGGTATATTAATTCTCTTCCCATCATCACCATACTCAAGCTCATCGTATGCTATCCAGGCCTCCGCTGGCTCGAATTCTGGGATTATAGCCTCGAAGACGACAAGAAATACATCAAGGACACCTGCCTCGCACTCAAAGCCGCGACTGGAGAGATGCCCGTAGGCTTTTACTTCGGTCGCGGCACCCCTCAAACCCACGCACTCGCCCCAATTGTCTTCAAAGAGATGGGCACGCCCCTCCTCTACTCCTCCGAATGCTACAACGACGACGTGCCTTATTGGATCGATTTACTGTGGGAAGCAGAGCTACCAGAAGCCCAGCGTGAGGGCATGCTACTCGTGCCATATAATTACGACTGCAATGATGGCAAGTTCCACATGGCTCCAGGTTTCATGACATCTGCAGGACAAACCTATGAAAGCTACTTGGAGAGCACGTTTGATATGCTATATCGCGAGGGCGGAAAGATGATGAATGTGCCGATGCACTCTCGCATCTTGGGAAAGCCGGGGAGAGCAGAGGCGCTGCGGAACTTTTTAAAGTATGTTTCGGAGAAAGAAGGGGTCTGGGTGACTACAAGGCGAGACATCGCGAAGCACTATAGGGCAAAATTTCCGTACAAACCTGGTAGTCGGGCTGGCGGCGCATGATGTAGATCTCATAAAAGCGATGAGTACATGTTCAAGCCCAGACGAGAGGTATACCTCGACCAATAACACCTAAAATATGTACCACAAGGCTGAAAAGCACTTTGGGATACACCTCAGTGCTCTCACAACCATCGGGAACTTTTATACCTAGTGCCTGACATATCAACGCTAGCTTATCGAGACTACCAGGGCTGCCGCTGCACCAAACACCATACGCCACTAGCCGGCCGCTGAGCTACCGTGTCGATCGCCGGTTCCCACATGTTTCCCGGGGTGCTCCCGCGCCTATTGTGACTGCACTCACGCTGCCAAAGATAAGCACATCTGCCGAATTCACGACGCGGTTTTTTCCTGTCGGAAGCATGTATGCCATCCCGATGTCTTCTCAGACATTGTATGGACAGCGAGCACGATTGTACGACGCGGTACCCTGACGATGATGCCGAAGCCCCAGCGTGGGAGGGCCAGGCCTGCTAGCCACAGGAATGAAATACCTAAACCATCCGCTTGGGACTGAGAGGTGCGAGGACGATCTCTATATATTCGTTGTGGGGCTCCTCTACCTTTCGACTTTACGTTCGCACTCTCAGTTCATCCTTCATTCTAAGCTATTGGCACTCAAGATGGCCGACGAGAAAAGTGCAATCCAGTCCGCTGCGCCCAGCTCCCCTACTCACTCCAAGGAGTATGCCATTGGCGACTCTGAGGCCGTGGTGTTTGATGATGATGATGCGCATGAGGTCTTCAAGAAGAATACGGATGGTGTGAACTTTAGGACTGTGGGATGGGTGAGGGCGAGTGTGATCTTTTTGAAGGGTGCGTTGACCGAACCGCAATTCCAAGCGTGATCGGCTAGCTGACAATATGTGGTAGTTATCTTCGCGACCGGTGTCCTGGGTATCCCATCTGCTATGTACTCTCTTGGTACGACATCACCTTTCCACATTCGAGGTTGGAGGGGATCTAGAACTGATGTTGTGAACAGGTGCTGTTGGTGGTGCATTAAGCGTGATTGGATGGGGAGCGCTGAATACATGTGAGTACTACTTTAACCACCAACTTTTCACGAGTACTCGAGACTGATAAGCATAATGCAGATACCGCTGTTGTCCAAGGCGACTTCCGAAACAGCCACCCAGGTTGCCACAGTATTGCCGACATGGCGAGAGTGCTCGGGGGTCCGGTACTCAAGGAATTGACTGGCGGCCTATTCATCATCGCGTGAGTTCCTCCATTCCTCCCGGGACCTTGCTTCCATGACGCATACTGATAATGGTCTTTCTTTCAGCTACGTCCTCTGCACCGGCTCTGGCATTTTAGGTGTCTCAATCGGCCTCAACGCTCTCTCGACCCACGCCGCCTGCTCAGTCTGGTGGTCCTTCCTAGCCACAGTTGTTGTCATGGCTACTGCTTCAGTACGGACATTCCACAAAGTCGGCTGGCTGACATGGGCTGGCTTCGCCTCGATCTTCACCGCTGTGCTCATTGTCGTGTAAGCTACTTTCCACCACCATACCCCCTGTCACTCTCCTCCAAAGATCCTCACTCACACTCATCCCAGCATCGGCGTCACAACTCGTGACCGACCCGCCTCCGCCCCCTCATCCGGCCCCTACGATTTCGGCTACCACGCAATCGCGCACCCAACCTTCGTCGCCGGCATGACCGCCTCCGCCACTATCTTCGTCTCCTCCGCCGGGACCTCCGCCTTCCTGCCCGTAATCTCGGAAATGCGCCAGCCAAAAGACTACCGCAAAGCCCTCTTCACCTGCATGGCCATCGTCAACGCCGCCTACCTCTCCTTCTCCCTCGTCGTGTACAAGTGGTGCGGCAAGTGGGTGTCCAACCCCTCCCTCGGCTCCGCGGGCCCCGTGATCAAGAAAGTCGCCTACGGCATCGGCCTCGTAGGACTCATTGTGTCTGCGTGCTTGTACCTGCACGTCGCCTCCAAGTACCTCTTCGTGCGGATCCTGCGCAACAGCAAGCACCTCCAAGCCAACACGGTCGTGCACTGGTCCGTCTGGCTCTCGTGCACGTTTGGGCTCGCCTCGCTCTCGTTCATCCTGGCCGAGGCGATCCCGATCTTTAGTTATCTGCTCGCGCTGACGGGGAGCATCTGCTTTGCGCCGCTGGCGATTATGCTGCCCGGGTGGTTGTGGATCCACGACCACGGGAGCTGGAGGCGGGGCGGGGTGGCGAAGATGGCGGCGTACTACCTGCATTTCTTGATGATTGCGATTGGGGCTTTCTTGTGTGTGGGCGGGACGTATGGGACGGTGATGGAGATTAAGGCGGCGTATGCTAATGGGTCGGTTGGTGAGTTACTCCTTTTTCTTCCTTTTCTGTTGCCCCCTTTCGATACTAGGTGGTTTTTGTGTTGGGGATTGTGGGAGATGGATTGCTGATTTTGCGCATAGGTTCCGCTTTCGCGTGCGCCGACAACTCGAACTCGATCGCTCACTAGAATCTCTCGTACCTGATAGTCTAGATCAAATAGAGACGATAGAGTAATAGACCACGATTAACGCTTGCCTCTACACAGCTCGCGGCTACGGTTCGCACGTGCTTCGTCCACCCAGTCCTCGTTTTTGTCGATGTGTAAACCCATCGCCATTCCGCTCGCCTGATGCCATAGTAGATGGCAGTGCAGCATCCATATCCCTGGATTGTCCGCCATAAATCTGAGTACCACGTAACCCCTCCTAGATATAAAGACCGTGTCTTTCTTGACCGGATTCACTAGATTAAACGCTCCCCCAGGCGGCTCAGATCCGTCGAACGGGTTATAGCTTCCGTAGGACATAGTGGTATCGAGATCTGCGGCGTATGTTGACAAGACCCAGAAATCGTGGCCGTGGAGGTGGAAGGGGTGGCCGCCGTCGTCGAGGTTGTTGATGATGAGGTTGATAGTTTGAGGGGCGGGGGAGAGGGGGATGAAGGGAACGAATTGGTTGGAGTCCCATTGGGAACGGTCGAGGGATATGAGGGGGTAGGGGGGATCGGATTGGGGTTTGTAGCTTGTGTGGTTCATGAAGCCGTGAGGTACGTTTGAGAGCCGGGAGAGTTTGAGGGTGGTCGTGTAGACGACTAGGGTGAGGTCGGCGTGGCGTGGAAGGGAGGTAGGGAGGGTGGTGGAATTTAGGAGTTGGATGTTGGTTGTGGGTTTGACGCGTTGGGAAGGGCGATTTACTGTTTCTAGTTTCGAGGAGTCTGTGGAGACGAGGACTAGGAAGATGTGGGTTGGGGCGAGGGCGAGATTGGGGTATCTGAAGCTGTCGTCGTCTAGAGTTATTTCGAGGGTGGCTTGTTTTTTATTGGTTGGTCGCCATGATATCAATACGTCTACTCGCTCTCCGGAGTGTAGGACCCCTACTCCGCGAGCGGGACCTTGAATTTCGACCGGACGGCCGCCGTCGACGGTGATGGGCGTCACAGAAGCTCCAGAAAAGCGTAGATTGATACCTGCGAGTGATCCCGTATTGATTACTCGATATCGATACCGCTTTGAACTATTTGTGGTAATGAATGGAGAATGCTCTGGGAGAATCGATATGCAGTCAACAGGCCGAGCAGGGACAGCGAGTGAGCAATTGTATGCGCCAAGACCATTGACGAGAAGGGAGTCTGGGACAGGCTCCATGCCATAGGACCCTGAGGCCGTTAGCTTGGAGCTAGTATCCATGTTTAAATACACATACCCGCTCGCATGTACCACTTGAGCACATCCTCAGCAGGACGATGGTACCAATCACCAATCATAAGCACACGATCTTCATCGTACGAATAACTGATAGCTATTTCTACGTCTACAGGCTCGTGCACAATCAAAGCTCCATAAAGTCCATCTGCTCGCTGAACTTGTTCGTGAGCATGATACCAAAACGTGCCGTGCTGGCCAGAAACCGGGATGGTGTACGTGAACGTCGATCCAGGTGAGATTGGGCACTGGGTCATTCCAATAGCGCCATCGTATTCGACGTGATCTCGCATATGCAGTCCATGCCAATGGATAGACAGTCCTTCGTCTTTTAGCGCGTTTTCGACGCGAATGATGAAAGTGTCGCCGGATCGTGCCTCCAGTGTTGGTCCTGGGAATAGGCCGTTGATGAGATATACTCTCTTGGCGACACCATCAGGTCGTCTGATTGCAGAGGTCGCCGTCCAATTGTGATACTGCGTCTTTGGAGGTCGTGATTGGTGAGCCTGGGGATTCAAGACCAGGTCCAGTGGTCGTCGGTACTCTCGAGACGCCTCAATAGAACCCTCCAAGGATGGAGCCTGTGGACTCTGATATCCATAATTGAGATAAGTAACAAGCGCTGCCAAGAAGAAGAGCAGTGCAATGATGCTCCTGGCAAAGTATGCCTTGTAGGATGAAATACCTTCAGTAGGCTGGTGAGAGGGCGTCGAGGAGCCAGGAACGGGGACGTCTTCTGAACCGAGCGCAGGATGGCTCCGCCTTCGCATCTCCATTCCTCTGCTCTCCATCCATGGGGTTCATAGACTTCTCATATGAGAAGCCAGACACAAGAAGCGTGGTCGTATTAGTGGGATCAGGCCGTCATTGTGTGGCGAGGCAACTCAACCACGGGGTAATACGCCTTCCCTTATTGGCCGCGTCACCTATCGACGTGCATCGATATCGAAACCATGGCATCAGCACTCTTCCAACCTCTTTCGTCCTCGACTCGTTGACATGGTACCACTACATGTATTTCAACACGTTTAACAAAGCAAACTCCCCACTCGCAGCCTCATCATCCATCTTCCGCAGGCTGCCGGTCTTGTGCGACCTCGACGCCGTGCCAACCGTGTCACGCCGCTACAGCATGCACGACGCGAATCGGCCGTGATAGAGAGCCACGATGGAGCCCACATCTACCTCTTCTTTTGCGCACTGGCGAAGGCGTTTGCTCGTCGCAGCTTCTGCGATCATCATCTTCATTTTCGTGGTTCTCATGTTGCCTCAAGTCTCCAACACCCCGCCTCCCGCCTTCAACGTGGGACACCCATCAATCCCGCTCACTGGATCTCTGAAAGATGTGAATCATGTGGTCTTGTTCATGCAGGAGAATCGTGCTTTTGATCACGTAAGTGATTTCTAATACTTTTGGTGAATGTCACGTGATCTAAATCTGTAGCTAAATATCTGCCAGTACTTTGGCTCAATGGCTGGCATACGGGGTTACTCTGATCCCAATGTTCAAGTTAATGCCGGTCGTCCCGTATGGTACCAAGATGTTGATAGCTCGCTCTCGGATAACACGGATCATCTCCTCCCGTGGTATCTGAACCATCTCGGTGGTAGCTGGCCTGAAGCTTCTCAGTGTATGGTTGCTGGAGAGAATGGATGGCATGGTGAGACGTCTCCTCGATTTCATCTAATTTCCGACCATGACTGAGGCCCTATCAGAAAACCAGGGCGCCCTAAATGGAGGTCTCAATAATCTCTGGGCACTTAACAACACCCCATGGAGCTGGGGCCACTTTAGGCGGGACGAGATTCCAGTTCATTTTGGCATTGCAGAAGGCTGGACAGTCGCAGACATGTATCAGGAATCCGTCATAGCAATGACCAACCCTAATCGCGTCGCCTGGGTAAGCGGCTCCATCAATGCTCCCGGTTCTCCCCAAACCCCCGACCAAGGCGGCCCAACCATCGACAACAACGAAACTCCTGGCTGCGAAGGCGATCATCTAAACTGCTACCCCCTGAAATGGAAAACCGCCCCGGAATACTACCAAGACGCCGGCGTCTCCTGGCAAGTCTACCAAGACCGCAACAACTTCGACGATAACCCCTTCGCGTGGTTCTGGCAGTACCAAACTGCCCTCCCATGGCAACCGCTCTCCACCCGCGGCGTCTCCTTTCTCCACTCCCTCGACGCGTTTTATGTTAGCGCTGCGGCCGGCACATTACCTCAAGTGTCGTATATCATCGGCCCTGAACAACTAAGCGAGCACCCACCCTACCAGCCCAAAGACGGCGCCTGGTTACAGAAAAAAGTGGTCGATGCCGTCACCAAAGGCGCCTCCTACAACGACACAGTCCTCATAATCTCCTATGACGAGACCGGCGGCTGGGGCGATCACGTGACGCCCTACCACTCCCCTGAAAACACCCAAGGCGAATGGATGAAAGACCCGTACGGCAATCTCGGCGACGTCTATACCGGTCCCGGCTTTCGAGTGCCCTTCTACATCGTCTCACCCTGGACGCGCGGCGGCCACGTCTTCACCGAGCACGCGGACCACATCTCGCAGATTAAGTTTGTGGAGCAGTGGCTTGAGACAAAGGGGTTCAATGTGACCTCCGACCAAGTTCCCCATTGGCGACGAGAACATATGTCAGACTTACTAAACGCGTTCGACTTCTTGCACCCGGATTTCTCATTGCCTGAGATACCTGAAGCAGACGCCCCGAGCAAGGATTTCTGGGGCCGGTATGACGGCTACGCCAAATGCGAAGCCAAGTTCCCCGAGAACCGTCCACCGGTGCCGTATGGGCAGCAAACCGAAAAGGAGTCGCTGGTCTCCGAAGAAGGCTTCAAGAAAGTCCGCGGCCAGCTTACCGAGGGGCGCTATCTCGTTTTCGAAGCTTTCGGGTGGGCTGTTACGAATAAAGATGGGCGAGTCGGTGTATCGCGGGCGTCCGCTAAACATGAGAAAAAGGCGCAGCGGTGGGTCGTGCATCAGGACGCACCCGCGTCGGATGTTTTCACGGTTAGTAGCGCTGTGGATGGGCTGTTTATCGGGAAAGGGTTGAGGTTAGTGAAAGGAGTAGCGGAGGCGCAGAAGTTGAGATTCACGGATCTAGGGAATGGGCTTGGGTATGCTATCCGGACTGGTGATGGTAGATCAATTAGCCTCACCAAGGACGGGAGGATAGGATTTGAGGGGAAGGGCGGGTTTGGGTTCGAGCTGTTCAGTGTTACGTATCGGGATTGAGTGTGTTGTTGTAAGCTTTTACTCATTTTCCTTGTACCCGTTCCTGGTGTGATGTTTTCTGGCGTTTAGAGTCCTGTCGGACTGACTTGAAGCGGCAGTTATCTTGTCGTGAATGTTCTCCTCGCCGTTTTCTTTCTGTTCTTTCGTCACGTTTCAATATCTGCGGTCGTAGTGTGTGGGTATAGTCTATTCAAGCATTCCCTTGCCATCGCTGCGAACTAGCCGTAATGTGTGCTGGCGTAATTCTCCGATTGACTGCATGGAAGCAGGGATGATCTAATATACATGAAAGAAAGAGGGGTATAGTACAGGTTTCCGTAGGAAGTTAGGAAAAGGGGTAAGGAGTGATTGGAAAAACAAAGACTGGGAAGAGTTGGGGCACTATGGAACGCCGGATAGAAAGATAAGGAAATACATGGGGCCATTCGGGGGTTTGAGGAAATTGCGAAGTGGAAGGAGATAAGAAATAGGATAGGGAAGACAGTATGAGATCGAAGGGGTATCCGAATCCACTAAGTTCCAGGAGGCGGTCCCGTTTCCACTGGCAGGCTCAATGCGCGCTCAATCGCTGCCGCGTTCTCGCCTCCTCTACCTCGTAATAGTGTAACAGTGCATCGCCTTCCAATGGCAGGTCCCATGCGCGCTTAATCGCTTCCGTCTCCTCTAACGCGTAATGCTGAAACAGTTCATGGGACGCCGTACACGTATCCCTTGGATTTAGTCCGGTTCTACATGGACAATCTGTCGCCGCATTTCCGCCACATCCACGTGTCGCAGGGTTGTTGGGGAACCACAACATATATTTGAATGTGTGGATGTCGTCGGTACAACTGTGTTTTTCTTGGCTATGCTTCAATTTCCAGCTGTTGTAGGTGGGGCAACGATAATATCCGTAGAACTGGCGGCACCCGCATGCCCACTGTATCTCAAATCTTGCACACAACGGATATGTGCCATCGTAAGTAAGTATGGGTACGCGATTGTGGTCTAATGGGGTATTAGGACCAGTCACTACCCATATTGGGCCAGCATGGCTCTGTGCCATCTTGGAGGATAGGGGTGCAGGTGTGATTGGTGAACAATTCGGATCTGCTATTCTGTTAGATCGAAATACGTTCCAAGTGATCGGTCTTGTTTCTTACTGGTGCTGGGGTTGTCGGTTTACGGAGTCAGTTGCCCGGTGTTGTCTTGTGAAAGCATAGGTGTGCGTATCGTTGAATTTGAGCTCGTTCGTACAGGTTTGGTTTCTCGTTGCTGCAGTGTTGAGGATGGTAGACCGGTAAGGATGGTAGACCGATGGGAATGGTAGGTTGATGATGAGAACGTTTCTACTGTCGGAATCCATCCTTTTATACCCTATGGCCTTCTTACGCCTTGGCCTCCACATGAGTCTACGCTATTGCTCGTGATCTTGACAGTTTCATCTTTGTTTCTTGCGCTGAGTCTTCAGGGGCGTGAACTGGTCGGTTAGAGGTAGAGGCGAGGGTCACGAGCAGCTTCTCAGTGTCGGAGAACATCGCAGGATGCTGGTTTTCACAGTAATGACTTAATGTGTTGACTGATTTATATCCTAGTTTCAAGTTAAGTCACGGTATTCACTCAAGGGAAATGCGGAGCAGGGGGTCAAAAGCAATCTTTTGGAGTCCTGAATTACCACCGAAGTATGAAATGACTTGTGGGATATTATGCCTTCCTCCGTGATCGTTGCACAGTCCATTTCATCTGCTGTGCTAAGTATTTACATGCATGAAATGTTCAGCGAGATTGGGAAGGTTGGGGTATTATGGAACGCCAGATAGAAACTAATGGGCATACATGGAGGCATCTGGGGGTTTGAGAAAATGGGGATGTGGAAGGGGATGAAGAAACAGGGTATGGAAGGCCATGTGACATCTAAAGGGTAGCCAATTTATCTGCTCTTCCAACCCCCTCAGAAATCTTCCTCCGATACCTCCCGGTCAGGCTGCTGCGCCGCCTTTATCGCCAACATGTACAATTCCATCGCTCCCTTATCACGTTCCGCCTGGGCCTGGAATGATTTCATGTGGACACAGCCTTCTGGTCTGCAGTAATGGCGGTGGATCTTTTGCTTTTTCCACAGGTGGTATTGACGGACATTGTCGCCACAAGCATGGGTGAACTTTGAGCCATCTCCGCCGTAAGCCTTCCATTCTTTGCAGCGATGGATGATGACTGGAGCCCGGCAGCAAATGAATGTGTTCCATTCAACGCAGCATTGGTTGTCGTGGTCGCAGTCGTTGTCGCAGCCGACTCTCCCGAAGCAAGGGTGCGGGCCGCTATTCGAGGCTTCTGCGGACATCTTGAGGAGTTGGTATGGTTGATGTAGACTGTGGACCTGCGATTTCGTTAGAAAAAAATACTCCGTACTGTAGAAAGTAGTAGCTTCTCTTACTTGTTTGCCAGCTGAGAGGATGTTTTCGGTTCCGAGAAATGTCGGCAGAGGTGAATGTGAGCTCGTTCGTGCAAATTTCGCGTTGAAGTTGCAGTAGTGTTGAAGGTTGTAGGTGGATGGAGAAGAAGTCCTGCCCGTCAGAGCCAGTCCTTATATACTCCGCAGTCCCCCTAATTCTTGGCTTCGCGATGAGCCTTTTACTGTGCCAGTCACCATGGCGGTTTCACTTTCGTTTGTTGCGTTGAGTCTTTATTTGATGCGTTGGGCTTTTATTTGTTGCGTCGAGGCTTCATTTATTGAGTTGAGCCTTCAGGGCGTGAAATGGCCGGTAGGAGGTCGAGGGGAGGGTCATGAGTAACCTTCTAGCGTCGAAGAGCATTGCAGGATGTTCGCTCTCCCAGTAATTGATCATTGCGTTGGTTTGTTATTACCGCAGTTTCAAACAAAACCGCTGCGTTGACTCAAAAGGAATGTGAAGTGGCCGATGGGAGGCCTGAGCATACATGATGAGCAACCTTTTGAAGTCCTGAGCTACCACCGGCATATGAAATTCCTTAGAGAGATTTGGGTTCTTCCCTCATGATCGTTACAGACTCAGTTTCGTTTGCTGCGATGAGCCAAAGACGCGAAGCGCTGGAATTGAAACGTTTTGCACGGTCTCCAATTTGTTTGCTTTTGAAGGTACATTCCCTTCGAATAGCCGCATTGGTGAAGAGAAGAGTCACATCGGGGCAGTGGTAGTTCAATGCCTCGTGGTCGGGCTGCGGAGCTGGAACTTGACGCTCCTGATGACTCGAAAATTGATGGACTATTCAGATATTCGGGCGCGGGACGGGTTTCAGATTGCCCAGTGCTCAACTCCGAGGTCTAAAGGATCGTAAGGACCGCTCATGATGAACTTTCGTTTCGAAACATTCATAGTGGCGCACTTCGTGCCCGTGCCTAAGTGGGCAGGGAAAGGGCCAACCGCGAGTACAAGGCAAAATATTAACGATTGCGAAATTCGTAATCCAGTTATGGTTTGAGGAACATTCTATGCATGTACTACAAATTAAGAGAATGCAGAAAGAAATCTAAGAGAGATACTACTCGGGCTAACCCGTACCTCGAAAAGCGCCGCACGCCCGCCGTGGAGTGATTAGGGGGTGTGCGTTTATCCCTCCCCAAACTTTATTACCTACTTTTTATTAAAAAGCTTACAAAAATTAAGAATAGGAAAGTACTTAAGTAGGATAAATTTAATAAGGAAGTAGATAAGAATTTTACTTTATACTATAGGCCGTTTATTCCTTGCATAAAAGGACTATAGGAGGTCGTCTTTCTAGGTAGGAAGCGGTGGCTAGAGGAAGACCGAGAGCTGTATATTTAAATAAAGTCTATGCTTAAGAAGATAAGGAGCCATCTAGACACTGCAGCTATATGATAGTGTTTGATCTACAAAATGAATTTAAATTAAATTACAGCTTGTTATTAGAGGCCCTTTTCTCATTTCGTGACTAGGATCACGATATCGACCCCGGGCCTATCTAGTATCTCCTTAGAAATGAGGGTGTAGCCGACATCTACCCTAAAGTTGGGTGTTGCTATAGACTTCACATCATGGTCAATTTTGCAACAGCCTATCATTCGTCAGCTCGTGCCATCCTGTCTACTGACGCAGCAATATCCTATCGACCTTCTCTGCATCCAAATTCTCTTGATGTGCAAGTTGAATCGACACTTGACATATCATAGCACGGCACTTCTTGCAGCTTTTCCAACTGTCTCCATCGAGTATGTGCCGAGCCCGGAAGGGGCACATGCTGCTCTGCTTAACGTCAGGCCCCAGTGATGACACCACAGCATCTTCGGCCCGGAGCCCTTTGCAGGGAATCATCTCTTCACCGGGAGTGGGCTCTTCGCCTGGAGGGGGCTCTTCGCAGAGAATAGGCTCTTCCCAGACAGTGGGCTTTTTCTTGGTACCTTTACTCGCAAAGCCCCAAGTACTAATCCAATTACTCGCTGCAGGCCCTTCCACTACCAGTGCAGCTGGTTCTAGCTCTGACATAGGTTCAACAATTGGGTCTGGTACAGGGAGGTCCGCTTTACTCTTCTTTGACTTCTTTTTCTTCGTGACGGTAAAGGAGAATGAACCCCAGTCGTCGGCAGTAGGCGGAGGGGGAACAAGCTCAGGCGGTGGCGGCAGATCTTCTTCCTCTTTCACAGGCTCGGACTCGGGCTCGGGTTCAGAGACGACAACGGGCTCAACGGGTGGGCCCTCGAACTTCTTTCCCTTTTTGCCCTTTTCGCCCTTTTTTGTCTTTGTGGCGCTTGAAAATGACCACGGGTCCTCTTCTTTTACAGGCTCAGGCACGGGCCCAGGAATGACAACAGGGTCAGCGGGTGGGCCGTCGGCCTTCTTATCTTTCTTCTTGTCTTTGCTCAACCCAAAGGACCAGACAAAGCTGTCATCCTCTTTCGCTTCGATTACTGGTTCAGGGGTAACAAAATCCTCAAGGAGGCTTGCCTTTTTCTTTTTCTTATCCTTCACTGACGGGAAGGACCAGGCGGTCTCATGAGCAGCCTTATCTTCGTAGACAAGCCATTCTTCCTTCTTTCCTTTCTTGCCTTTCTTCTCCGACCGGAACAACGAGAGGCTGTCCCAACTATCATCACTGTCCGAACTCTTAGGGATGGATTCTTTCCAACCAAAAGTCCCTTCAGCTGTTGTCGCTTCGCGTGGGTATAGTTCTCGTGCGGTCGGCTCTTCCAATGGGGCTGCCGGGGGCGGAGGGGGCGTAGGAGGAGGAGGAGGAGGAGGGTAATCTTCAGGGGCCTCTTCCGCCACAGGAGGAGAAGCGTAAACTTCAAAAGCCTCTTCCGCCACAGGAGGAGAAGCGTAAACTTCAAAAGCCTCTTCCGCCACAAGACGAGAAGGATGAGCTTGAAGGGCCTCTTCTGCATTACTGTCCTCCTTTTTCCTCACTTCTTTTGAAGGTGGTGGGGTAGGCGAAGGAGGCGTTGGGTCTTTTAGCCTCACGAAACCCTTCGCCTTTCCTTTGCCGTTTGATTTCCCGCTGTTCTTCTTCTTGTGACCGATCGTACTAGGCTTTGGATCTTTCATGTCAGGAGGAAAGTGCACATTCTTCTCTTCGTGTGGTGCTGTGGCAGCGGGAGGGTAACCTTCAGGGGCCTCATCCGCCACAGTAGGGTAATCTTTGGGGACCTCTTCCGCCGGAGGAGGAGGAGGAGGAGGAGGAGGAGGAGGAGGAGGGTAATCTTCAGGGGCCTCTTCCGCCACAGGAACGTAATCATCAGGGACCTCTGGACGGTAATCACCAGCCTTTGGAGGGCAATCATCAGGGACTACTGGAGGGTAATCATCAGGGACCTCTGGAAGGTAATCATCAGGGACCTCTGCAGGGTAATCATCAGGGACTTCTGCAGGGTAATCATCAGGGACCTCTTCTGCCGGAGGAGGAGGAAGAGGAGGATGAGGGTAATATTCAGGGGCCTCTTCCGGAGGAGCGTCACCAGTGGCCTCTTCTACGGTATCGCCTTCAAGGGCCTCTTCCAGGGAAGTCTCTTTAGTGGTGTCTTCCAGAGGATATTCTTCGGGTTCTTCTGGGGGAGGTGGAGGGGGTGGAGGAGGAGCATCCAGAACGGATTCTTCGGCAACTGGTGCTTCGCAGTAAGCGGGATTCCCAAAGATGCTTTCTCTTATCTCACCTTCCTTGTTAACCAGACTTGTGATCTTGTCCGTGTATATCCCCACCATAATCTTTACCAGAGCTTTATTGAAAGCAGCAGCTTCACCGATATGATCGAAGAATCGCTCTTGGGCGAATATAGTCTCGTCTGCCTCGAATGCAGCCTCAATTTTCGTCTTCAGGTAATCTAGGAGCCAGTTTTCGTCCTTAAGGAACTTGGGATATAGATCTCTTGCAATATCCAAGATCTCAAAGATGGACAAACCCTGGTCAAACATCTCCATATTTTTTATTGCATGTTCTGCAAGGCCATCGAGTCCATACAGCCTTGCAATATAATAGACCAGAAAACCTCTTCTGTATTCGGTCGTGGTTTTGGGAGTACCGAAGACACCTCGTGGCTTTAGTGTCTGGTAGGTGCCAGTGTACAAATAATGCACTAGCGTATGCCCAATGTCTTCGTCTACTTCGGGAAGTTCGACGGTCCGCCGGTATGGGCCGAATGGGCCGATTGGGTTTGATGAGTATGCCCATTTTGGAGATTGCCTGGCGTAGAGTTCCGGGACGGTGTAGCTCACGCGATTTGAGCCAATTAAGAATGTCAAGGCTGGCCCTGTGTAGGGGCTATGAACGCGGGATTAGCAAGAATAAAGCGTACTCTAAGCTAATGGTAAGGAACCTTACGAAGTCTCGGGCCGATTGTCCTCTTTGATAGAAGTGTCATTAGAAGTTAGAAGTGGTTTCTCCTGATGTGTCTTGGCCTATACTAGAGTTTCTTTGGATCTTTGCTGCGACGACGGCTTTTTGGCTCTTTTTGGCGCACTTTTTCGCCATTATTGGACTGAGGGGAGTAGCACGGCTAAGATTTCGTGGATGGCTTGGGAACATATGAATTAGAAGATAGAAGACGAGAGTAAAGTGACAGAAGAAAGCGGCTGCCAGGCTGTGGCCGCGTTCAATGACTACGTGGTGCGCTATTAGTGGCTAGACCAGATTGGAGCAGTGACAACGTTGCCCTACGGAAACATCGAGCGACTCACCTAATTACTACAATGTCAGTTTTTACGTTGCGATTGGATTGTGTTGGTGGCAGGCCTTGAAGCGTTGGTGTCCAGATTTAGGGCTAGGCAGCAGTATGGCTTTAAGTCAGCTGGTGTCTAACTCGATTGCTGAGGCATTCGAGGCTTGCGACTATGCGCAATCTGCCGATTGGACCCAGGGGAACAAGGTTCCACCTTGGCGTATTAGACTCAGACCAAGGTCACATGATGGATCGTTGGATCGTCAACCAGCTGACGAGCATGAGGAGTTCTTGGGCGCCATAATTGCGCATGTTGCAAACAAGTGATAGTGTTGATTGATTGACAGACTATGGATGGGCGGAGTGCCTCATATATGTATCCATTCCCACCCCCTGTCACGTTGTTTCAGCCACCAGCTGCCGTGATATTCAACACTCCCACTCGATGGCTACTTTCACTAAGAAGAGTGCCAGCGACCATTTGTCACGGCTCGGACAGACCCCGTTAAAACCTTCAAAACCCTTTAGGTAAAGAGAAGGAAAGGGTTCCTGTGTGGTCTGTCTCTGCTTGAAGCTGGTAATTCGTGCAGATCACTCGATACCTAGCCCTCTCCGAAACCATTCAAATCTATCTCACGCAAGAGGCTTGGTGAAACCGTCGGCAATGTGTGCTGTAGTTGTAACATACTTCAGTTCAACTATTCCAGTGTCTTGAACTTCTCCTTGCCATTTGCGCTGGATTTCTATATGCTTCGTGCGTGAGTGCTACTGTGGGTTTGAGGACAGAGCGATGGCGCCCTGGTTGTCGCCACATATAACCGTCGCGGCTTTTTCGAGTCAACTTGGCATTAATTTGTGGTGACACGGTGTGGTGCTACAACCCGTAACACGAAGAACTCGATTACTGAGGTATTCAAGGAAGCAAGTAAGCAGATTAGATTGGTAACGCGTAATCTGCCTATAGGTTCGTGAGAGAATAAATTAGGTTCCGGGAGTTCACATTTTTCTGCCAACTCTTTTGCAGAATGGATTCGGGTAGCAGTTTTATTTATAGTGGGTGGGACCTCTATAAAAGCAATCTAAATATTTGCTAACAACTTGCTATCTAACTACAAGAATTCCTTTTAAGCTTTAACCTATAGATTCTTATATAGATCTATATAATCTATAAGCTTAGTATATACCTCCGCCTTTATATCTATAGTAAGTATAGATCTATATAGCTTTAGTATATATAAGTATATGGCTATAGTATTAGCTTCTATTCTATATAGGCTTATAAAGTTATATTACTCTCCTTTTAACTATATATATAAGCTTACTTATTTACTATAATATAAACTTATATTTAATTTAATCTATCTAAAGAATTCTTAGCGATTCCGCTAGTAATTACTTTAAGATCTGATAGGTACTAGGTCGAAGGGGGGAGTAGATGGCGGCTTATTTTGTAGATAATAAGTCTGGGGTTTGTCCCTATCTTTGCTAAGGTTTGAGTGTATCTCAGGTCTCTCCTTAGGTTATACTTCTAGGGAGAGTCCCGGAAGGTTGCAGTTTAGGAGAAGAGTTCTTGGAAGCTCGAGGGTCGCTAAGGGGCTCGGAAATATTTGGATTTGAAATGGTAATGGACCTCGAGGTCTTTGTAAGTGATGAATGGTGGATTCTTATCGAAGACAGCCTAGTTGATCGGTGTTGAAGATTTGGGGAAGAGGTTGAAAGAGAATGAAATATATATGAGAATAGGAAGTTATATACCTCCACCCACTGATCCCTACTGCGGCTCACTATGACCCGATTTCAGCATATGACCCTAAGCAACGCTATGGCACCACCTTGACTCTTGAAACACCAATTTGTTATCCACTCGTATCTCCCCTTGCCAGGACTTCTTTCAGGACGTCGCCATGAGTAACTCCAAGGCACCTCCACTCAACGCTTCAACTAAGTCACCATCCCCACAACTCTTTATCCAAGACAGCTCCCAAACCCCCAATTACCACCTCCGTTACCCTTTAATCCACCCCGACCCCCTCCTACCCTTGAAAAGCTTCCAGGTCCAGCATCTCCATCCAAATCCAACCGTCCAGCCTCCCGCTCGCCTCCCTACTATTTCTCTCTGCTCGACCAACCTGTCCAACTCCCCGTTCAACCTGTCAAGCTCAAGCTGAAGCCTCTCCGTTTCCTCCCTTCCTCTATTCTTCTCCTTGATCTAGCCTATAAGGCCTTTCGGACACGCCTCCTTAACTGCACGCATCTCTCCTTTCTTCTCAGGTATAAGCTTGGCATACTTGTCACCCTCCTCCTTACTCTTTTCGATTGTCGCAGGCACCCTATTACACTCTTTCCATTTGGCCTTGCATTTCTGGAATTGCGGCGTATGGAAAATAGCTTCGTCTTCGACGGGCGCGATCAGCGGGTCAAAGCCGTCTTCTTGCGGCGGATCGGTGAGGTGCTTGAACATGGACTCTCCGGTTGTGTAGCGATGTAATTGTGCTAGGGGGTGATGTTTTCGATGGTTTGCTTCTCGGTGGCGGAGTAGTGGGTACGTTTGTCGGACATGGTGGCGGTAATGAGAGTTGGCGGTTGGTTGGGTCGGTTGGTTCGTAGATGTTTGATTGTTTGAGAGGAATGATGGGGTGCTTCGAGGAGTCTGACTGGTAGATGGTTGATCGTTTGGGAATGAAAATTTGATGAGTTATAGATTCTTAGGAAGGAAACTCTATTTGATTGTTGGGGAAGATATTAGGAAAGTAGTTGGAAGAGAGAGGAAGAACTACATAATAGAAGGACGGGAATTCATGCACTACCTAGTCATAAACCACATCCCCCCGGCTTACAATGGCTGGTCCGCAAACCTGACTCTAACCAGCGCCATGGCACCTCCGCATCACAGACATCCAGTCCACTCATCCCTACTCCTCGACCTTCTTCAACTCTCTGTAGTCGCCCTCCCCTCCCCTCTCCTCAGCGACCCACGCGAAACTCCAGAACTTCTCCTCCCTCTCAGCCAGCGCATCCATCTCCCTCTGAGCCGTCGCCATGACCCCCCTCTGAGCCGTCCCAACCCTCCTCACCTTCATGAACTCAGTCTCCATCCTTTCTTTAGCATCTCTCAAAGCTTTATGCTCTTCACGCAGCCTCTCCTTTTCCCTCTGAATCTCGGCCAGTCTCCTTCTATCCCTCCCCATAAACCCAGCCCCATCTAAGAGGTTCTTCGGTTTAAGCTCTACAACCATCTTCTGCAACCGCAGTATCTCGTCCGCCTTCTCAGTTATGCGCTGACTGTACATTTGCCAATGTTTCCAATGCGCCTCCTCCACCATGATAAGGTCTTCGTAATGCGTTTTCAGCAATGCCGTGTCCGAGACCTGCTGATGAGCGGTGGCGGCATCTTCTTGGAGGATGGCGCAGTCTATTGGATCGCTTTTTGTGTCGGCGAGGCGGTAGAGTGCAAATCTCCTTAGGTTGTGGGAGTTGTCGAGGCCCGTTAGCTCGTCGAGGAATTTTTGGTCTTCTGGAGACGGCATAGTGACGGTAGTGAGAGCGGCTGGTTCGTAATTATATGTTCGGTTAAGGAAGAGGAGCTGGAGGTGCTTTAAAGAGTTTGAATCGTTGGTTCGTTGTGGAAGAGAGATCTGATGAAGGATGGATTCTCGTGACTCGTGAAGAAACTCTAGTTGATGGTTATAGAAGATGTTTGGAAAATTTTAGGAAATTGTTAAAAGAGGAAGAAAGATATATAAGAATAGAAATCTGTACACCCCCACCCACTCATACCTCCCCGGCTTACAATGACTAGTCCTCGAACATGACTCTAATCAACGCCCTGTCACCCCTACACACTCTCTCTTCCTCGATCCTCTTCAGCCCCCCTCTTCCAGCATCCTCGCCTTATGCAACCGTATCTGCTTCCAAACATATGCCTCCATGTCCTTCCTCCCCTTCCTCGCCCACTCCAAGTCCTCCCGCACCCCATCACCCCCCTCCCCTCGCCCCTCCTCCTCTTCCAGCATCTCCGCCTTATGCAACTCCATCTGGTTCCTAACATACGTCTCCACGTCCTCCCTCCCCTTCCTCGCCCACTCGAAATTCTCCTGCAGCCCCGCCATCTCATCAAAGTCCTTCCTGAATCCCTGCCACGGCCTCAAATCCCTCACCCGCTCAATCGGATGCTTAAACATCTCCAGTCTGCTCTTCTTCAGCCTCTGCCGGACCGCCTCGCTCTCCGCCATTTTTTTCTCGTCAAAGCCCTTCTCAGCGCATACCTCGCCTTCCAGGAGGTAGAGCTTGTAGACCTTGATCTCGGACAAAATGTCCGAGTAGGTCTCGTGGTGGTCGGCGGCCTCTTTTTCGTAGCGGGCGCAGTGCTCGTGGTTGTGTGTGGCGGCGGCGAGGCGGCGAAGTTCCGCCTCTTTTTTGAAGTGGAAGGACGTCAGGCGGGTGAGGTTGTGGAGGGTTTGGTCGTCGGTAGGAGGGTGGTTGGAGGGAGGTTGGGACATGGCGGTGGTGGGTGGGCTGGTTTTGGTGATGTTTTGTCGTTTGAGAAAGAGGATGTGGTGTTTTGAAATGGTTGAATCGTTGATATATAGTGGTTGTGGAGAAGATAACTTGAGTTGAGCATGTGTGAGGAAGTTTAGGAATGGCAGTTTATATTCGAACCTTGAGTCATTTCGAGCATCGTTGTGACTACCTTTTTGGGATGTGAGTATTGAGAAGCCAAGATGCTATGACGAGTGTTGAGCTGAGCCAGAGGGCAGTGAGTCGAGATGTTGAAGAAGAATCATAATGCGGAAACGTGCACTGCGATCCAAGGAAGTGCTAGGAAATTGACTCTCAAGACAGAATAATATAATAATACATATATAGTACAAATCACAGTGATATTACAGCGATATACAACGCGAATTAAGAACACGTATCCGCCATACCCATAGATACCGGCCCAATGCACCATCCGCAGAGACCAGCTCCGCACCAGGGTATCACAAGCACCCAAACCAAGTAGCCAGCCCAAATATGCGATTATCCCAATAACACTCTCACTTTCTCCCCTTCCCCTTCTCCCTCGACCGCTCTCTTGGCGTTGGTAGCTTGTACCCCGGCATCGTCACAACTAGGTAGCTGTTCCGGCCCTTTGCGTCGTAGTTCCAGCCCGATTTATCGAGTCCCCCCCGTATCCGCGAGTTGGATTTCCTGCTGTCGAGCGACCGCCCTGAACGCTTGCTTGGTGATGGCGACGATGGTTCGGGTATTAAGGGAGCTTGGAGCCTGTGCTCTTTGTGGTAGCGGATCGAGGCGGCCTTCAGCGAGTGTTTGTCGGCGTTGCTAGAGGCACTGTGGGATGGAGATTGGCCCATTGTGTGTATTTGTGGTATGCGACGACACGACGATGCGACGACAGGTTACAGGTAGTTTGCGCTTTGTAGTGGCGATAGGAGTCCGTCGGGGACGCGCGGCGCAAAGAGGTCCGAAGGTTCTTTTGGGTATGGCTTCGGAAGAGAATGCGATATTATTACAGTTGGTAATATTAAAGAGCGTTCCTGGGAGCAAGAATGGGTTGTAGAGATGTAAGTTGTAAGGTGGTGAGATTCTTCGAAGGGAGGGAGTGCGATGTGGCAACTTTGGAAATATCGAGAGCGCGCGGACGGTAATCTCCCAACTCCTTAATCCGTTCTCGCCTCCGAGCCGCCGCTTGGAAATTCCGAGGTGTCTTAAATTAATATAAGCCGTTCGATAGAACTCGTACAAAGTCAGGAGAATGTGATAGTGAGGAGATGCTCGTGTGAGCAGAATCGTAGTGGTGATGGTTGACGGTTGTGCTTCCGCGCAGCTCCGAAGCTACTTGATCATTCTAGAATATTCTACCACGACCTTACCTGAGTCGTATCCTCAAGGGAACTACTGTCTACGCGTATCATGACTACAATCGAGGCTGAGTCTCACTGCTCGCGACGTTGAGGCGGTGTTTGTAGGCTCCATCAGCTTACGTCCGTTGCGGAAGTCATCGCGACATCCAGGACTCCGCCGCCGGGCACAGTTTCAGTTCACTGAGTGATGAAAGAGAATGAAGAGAGCCCAGTAAATAGTTGAATGATGTTCAATCATTGAGGCTAGGGGCTGACGAGAGGGGGCTCTGCGTTCGCGCTGACGGGTGAGCGAGGGGTTGATGGAGGTTGGCGATGCTTTCCGTGGGGGGAATGGGAATGGAACGCGAAGCACGTGACCATTTATAAATCTGCTGTGAATTGGAGATTAAAGGCATGTCAGTATCGATCTCGAGCGTTACGAGCTCTACAGGCTCTTCGATCGTTCTTTTCTTCTTCTATACTGGTAGATGGAATATAGAAGGCACGTGACTGATAGAGAGCCGGGGTCCCATGACTAGCGCTAAACCCGAAGTAAACTTTTGCGACAGAGCTTCGAGAAAGTATGAGACGAATAAAATTCAACACCAAAAGTCAAATACCACTCTCTACAACTATGGCTGACACCGAAATGGGTGACGCCCCAGATGCCCAGTCAAAAGTGCAGATCCGACTTACCACACGGCATTCCGACATCGAATTGCCCGAAGATCCTGGTGTTCTTCTCGTCTCTACCAGTTTGTGCACCCCGCCAAAGACTTCACTTTTATACAGCAAGACGAATACTAACATATATTGCAAGACCTTCGCCGATATGCCCTCTCCTCCCTCGTCAACAACCTCCTCAACACTGCCCGCCCAATCCCCTTCGAATTCCTCATAAATGGCCAATTCCTCCGCACAACCATCGATGATTTCCTCACAGCAAACGGCATATCCGCCGAAACCACTCTCAATGTCGAATACACGCGTGCCCTAATACCCCCGCTACATGTAGCATCTTTCGAACACGACGACTGGGTGTCTGATGTAGACATACTCTCCGCAACTTCAAAAGCAGGAAAATGGGGTGGCAGCAGCAGCATACAGTCAGGCCAAGAGCGGATACTATCAGCCAGCTACGACGGTCTACTGCGGGTATTTGACATGTCGGGCGAGCTCATGCTCCTCTCCGACCAACCCAACAACGGCGGCCGCATCAGCTCTCTCAAAACCGCGAAGTTCCTGTCACCCTCGAAAATCGTGTCAGGCGGCCTCGACATGACCGTCCGCGTATGGAACTACTTCGAATCCCCGTCCGAAGGAAGAGCTGGCTTAACCCCAGCCCTCGAGCTCTACGGCCACAGACTCGGCATCGAGTCCCTCGCTGTGCATGCCCCCTCCTCCCGCCTCCTCTCCGCCTCCAGCGACACCACCGTCAACTTCTGGAGCTCAAAAGCCGCAGACGCGCCCGCCGCCCCCGCAACCCTCCTCCCAGACTCCACCACTGCCTCCGCGAAACGCCTCAAGCTCTCGAAACCCGCGAACTTGAAGACGGTCGCCCAACGCGGTCCTCTAGCTACGCTAACCGGGCACACCGCGCCTGTCTCCTCAGTGATGTTCGCACCAAACGACGCGACAGTGGCGTACTCGGGCTCTCACGATCACACGTTGCGGACATGGGATCTCCCCACCTCCACTCTCGTGGATACGCGCACGACATCGCATAGCTTGATGTCCCTAGCTGCCTTACCCGCCCTCAACCTCGTCGCAGCCGGCACGTCAGCGCGTCACATCACCCTCATAGACCCCCGCGCATCCGCGAAGACTATCGCAGCACTCACGCTACGCGGCCACACGAATGCGGTGGTCAGTCTAGCTGTCGACCCGGAGAGCGCGTACGGGCTCGTGAGCGGGAGCCATGACGGCACGTGCAGGATCTGGGATGTGCGGAGCGTGAAGACTACTGCTGGGGATGCTGGGGATGTTGGCGGGCAGGTTGGGGAGAGCGTGTATCGGATTGAGCGGGAGAGCGCGAAGGGGAAGAAAATGCCGAGTTCGGGTGAGGGGGTGAAGGTGTTTGGAGTTGCGTGGGAGAAGGAAGTAGGGATTGTGAGTGCAGGGGAGGATAAGCAGGTGCAGATAAATAAAGGGAGCAGCGGTAGTGGGAGTGGGAGTAGTGGTGGTGGACATGTTTGATTTTGAGGTGTGATATCTAGATACCAATATAGGAGTACTTCCTCCCGAAACCCCCAATTGACCCTATCTACAGTGACTTTCATGAAGCCTGGGTATCTTGCCCCTCCTAAACTTGTTCGCGGGACACGCTCATCGGGCTTCCATCTCTTCTTCCCACCCAAACCCCCATTGCCCTCAAATGGTATCATTTTCCACTCGTGAGCCCCCCATGCTTCCTCCCATGTCCCATCTTCCCCACATCCTACTCTCCCTAGAATACCTTTTCAATCCTTTTCATCTCATACACCCCCGCTCACACCAAATGACTCGGCAGCAAAAAATTCGCGATCCCCTCTTTCACCGCATACGCGTGCCCGCAGTTCCCACACACCAGCTTCCCCTCCCGGATCGTCGTCTCCAGCAGCACATGATGCAGGTCCTTGAGCGTCTGTGTCGGCGCGCCCTCCTCGCCCTCGCCCTCGCCCTCGCCCTCGCCCTCGCCCTCCTTCCCTGGACGCACTAGCTTATCTGAGGGGATCGACGGGTCCGACGGATTCGGCGCGAAGAGCGCGGCGGGTTCGGGCGCGGCGGGTGGTAATTGCGGCAAGCCCAGCTAATCAGAAGCCGTATTAGCATTGGAACCCCCTCCGGGATTGGGGGAAGGGGGGTTAACGTACGTCCTGACATAACGTCCGCAGCGCCTCCCACTCCACGCGCGGCAGTATGTTCCGGATAAACAGCGGCTCGAGGTCTGCCTCTACGATCTCGAGCTCGGCGTCCTTGGGCCGCAGGGGGAAGGCGAGGGTGGTGGATTTGCAGGCTTTGCGGGCGCAGGTGAGGAAGTTGAGGGTGAGGAGTTTCATTATTTGGTTTTGTGGTTCTACTTCTTTTTGAGAGAGTGGATGAGAGAGAGGGGGTCTGGGAGGGTGGAAAGAGAGTCGGGCGGCTAAGGGAAGAAGCGGACTCGGTGGAGGTTTAGAAAGAAGGAGTGGGAGCTGGTTTGAGAGGGAATAAGGGGTGTAGTTGAGATTGAGAATGTTCATGATGGCGGGGCTCGAGGTCTGCGGATTTTTTTGGTGTGGCTTTCCCGCGTGGCGGTGCGCGAAAGCTTGTTTCCCCGCATTGCAGGCTGGTTCTGGAGGGTTTATTTTCACGACTGGGCAGGTCGAATCTCGGGTCTCACGTACAGTACTTAGTGAGGACAGTTTGCAGATGGACCACAATGGGATGTTCCATACATAGAATAGCTGACAGGTCTTCAGCTCTGGAGAACCTGATGTTAGAGCAGCAATTTTTAGTGAACAGCAGCACGGTTTACTGAAGCCAGATCATAAACGCGAAGTAGGTGTAGTAGAAGAAACCGAAATAGTATGATTGATGTATGATGCTTCCTTTTATGCAGCACACGCTCCGTCCGAGAAAATGCCCAATGCCAGCTCAATCTATCGCAAACAAGAAACCTTCGAAAAAGGAGGCCCTAAACGCACGCGCCTTCAATGCAAATGAGCTAAGCACACAAACATACACACATATATATACAGGCTTATTCCCGAAACGCCTGTAAACTCACCCTCACTCTCAGACTCACACAAATCTTCAAGCCCCGCTCAACTCCCCCACCTCCTCCACGCCCAACCCCCTCAAAATCCCTCTATACCTCGCCGTCACGACCCTACTCGGCATCGCTAGTAGCAACACCTTAATCCGCTCCTCCTTGTACGGCAGTCCCTCCAACATCACCGCCGTGAGGACATAGCTGCTCACCGTCGAGATTGCGAGCGGCGGATCTCGAAGCAGGGCCGCTATTTCAGCCACTGAGAGATTCTGCTCGTGCCACAGCGCGTAGGCGCGCAGTTGGCCAGAGGTTGCTTTCGGTTGGTACTCCATGGGCAGGGAGTTGTGCCAGGCATCGATCCAGAAGGCAGCGAGTTCGAGGGCGGATGTTGGGGAGGAGGTTGGGGGATGTTGGGTGGCTGAGGTGGACGGCGAGGTGGTTGAGAGGTTGACGCGGCCGATTTGCTTGGTAACAGCACTGATATCCTCGTCCGAGGATTCGCTCAAGGACTCGAGATCGTCGTCCATCGACTCTTCTTCCTCCTCTGGCTGGGTCTGCTCTGGGAGGAGGGCGGGTTCCACTGGCACAGTGCTCAAGCCTTGCAACCGGACTCGCCCAACGCGCTCGGTAGGGGGAGCGATGAACTCCTCCTCGGACAGCTCATCTGACAGTTCATCCCCTGAGAGGTCAAGCGACGATGTCTCCTCTTCCGACTCCTCAACAACCTCCTGCTCTTCAAGCGCCGACTCATACTCGTCCGACTCCTCTTCTTCCTCTACCACCACAACCGGCATTTTCGACTTAACCCTCCTCACCTTCACGCCCCCCGCAAGCGCAATAGGCAATCCTAGCTCCGCACACTGCGGCCTCGGTGGTGTCGGCCTCAGCTTCTTCCTCTTCGCCTCGAGCACATCAAACAGCCTCACCCCAGCATACGCATCACTCGCTGCATACCTCATCTGCTCAATCAGTAGCGGCTTGCTCCAATCGCTCTCCCTTACAGCGCCCTTATGTAAAGGCAGCTGCAGATGCTCCGCTACCTGATTTGCCAGCGACACGAGCGTACGATTGACTTTCTCAGGCTCGTCTTTCGAGAACTTGACGAGTTTGTACAAGTGGCTCAGCTCAAAGACACCCCTGGCTTCGACGCCGAGAAACTTCTTGAGGCGGGTGAAGTCGCTTTTGACGGCGACGCCGGTTTTGAGGATGGCGGGGGTTTCGAGTATGGTCTTGATGGTGGGTGGGAGAAGCTCTTCCGCCGTAGTGCCTTTGAACAGCGAGATGTGGAACAGCGCGATCCGGTTTTCGCTGGCAAGCTGAATGAGCGAGGCATTCCCCTTGATCCCGGCCGCAGCAGACGCATTCGGCTTCCACTCGATGTCGAACCCGAGCACCTGCTCGTCCAGGAAATACTTCGCTACTGTCTCGGCGACCTCCATGTTGCGGCAGTAGTGGAGGGCGATCTCTTCGTTGTTGGGCCCGCGGTACAGCGTGTAGCTCCACGAGGAACCATCGACGTTGGATTTGGATGTTTTCATGGCTGTGCGTAGCGTTTCTCGCGGTATCTGGTAGGTGAGTGGGACGTGCTTTTCAACGTCTTCGCCGTCTGAGTCTGAGCCGCTGTCGTCGCTAGACCCTTCGTCGTCGCTGGGAGGCTCGTTGCCGCTCACGTCACCTTCGTCGTCGCTTTGGGAGCCAGAGCTGAGAGATTTGGCATCGCTGTCGTTGCCGTCGTTGTCTCGGTCTTGGTTCACTTCGCGGTCGCTACCGTCGTTTTCCCGGCCTTGACTGACTTCGCCCTCATTGCGGTCATGATCGTTGTCCTGGGCGCTTGGCCACGGAGGGTCTTGACTTTCTTGTGTCTCTTCTGGTGGGCCTGCGACGGGTACTTCTTGGCTGCTTGGTTGAGTCTGATTCATCGAACCCCAAGGTGCTGGAATGACCGAAATTTCTTGCTCTGCTGAGCCCGAGGAGGAGAACTCTTGCTCCTGATATCCAGTAGGCTTGTTTTGATTCAGGACACCCCAATTCACTGAACCGCCCAACGGGTCTTGCGCAGTAGATTCTGAAGATGTCGAGCCGAGTACCCGGTGGCTGTCAAGATCGTCATGAGCCATTGACGCAAAAACCTTTGGACTATCCGATGGATGCTGTTCCACAGAGCGTAATGGTGATGCGGTCTCCGCTTCACGATCGTCGTAATTCATGAACGCCGAACCCTGCTTTATAGTATCCCAGGAACCTTCACTGCCTAGCTCCTGAGCAGCTGACGTAGGTGGCGTCCGCTTTCCAGCAACCTTCACATTCACCAAGCGCGATACTGTTGGAATATCCGCATCCTCTGGACTCAACACATCCGCTGAAGACGGCGGGCCCTCAAAGCTATCTGGCTCATCTAGCAGGTTCGCGGGATCCTTCTTGTGCTCTAAGGCAATCGGGGCATTCGGATCATTCCCAGGATGTGGCGCTCTTATGCTACGTGTGGGTGATAAGTTGAGGCTAGCAGTCACGTGATCTATATTCACTGTTGCCCATGCGTGATATGATCGGGCGTTCGATGGAGATTGAGCATTGTGAATATGGTTGAAAGGGTGATACCGGATCTTTGGCGTCGTGTAATTCTGAGAGAGCGCATCTTGTCGGCCCATATCAGACGACTCTCGAGTAGTGTTGGCGGGCGAATCATAGGAATGCGAATCCATGGAGTTGCTCGATGACCCAGTGATTTTCTTCGAGTCATTGTTGAGCGCAGTCGATCCGGGCGACCTCGCTGCACCATGCTTGCTTCTCACAGAACCAAGTGTCTTTCTAAGCTCTGAAAGCTCTTTGGCCTCCTCCCTGAACTGCTCAAACCTCTCCCTGTCCTCTTGGATCTGCCTCTCAAGCGCGATCCCTTCCCGAAGCCGTTTGACCTCGCTTTCCATATCATCAGCCTCTTTCTTTCTTCGATCTCTTTCTGCCTTTAGTTTCTGATGGTCTTCTGATTTTGTGTCGTTCGTCTCCTTTTCCTTGTCGTGATCTTTCACAGCCTTCATCTCCTTTTTCTTGTCGCGACCTTTCTTAGTCTTCAACTCCTTGAAATACGTATCGATCGATACGCTTTGAGGCGACACGTCCGCAGATAATGAGGCCGCCGCTGGGCTTTTCAGAAGTTGGATCGTATTGCCTGCCAATAATTGCCCTTCTCCGAGCTTTTCCTGTACCCGATCTGCTTCCCATCGCGGAGCAGACGCCGTTCGTGAAAATTCAGACCCTGGCCCTAAAGTTCTATTCACTAGGCTCCCAGTGGGCACCTCTGTCGCAACCGAAGCCGACTCGGAAGTTCGCGCAATCCTCTGTTTTTCGTGGAAATGGGATGATTCCTCTTTTGTCATCTTTGGGCCCCTAGCAGACGCCTCCGTTGCAGCTGACCCTTCTTTCGAGCTTCGCAAAGGAGGCAAAGACTTGCTTTTTGACTTTGGGTCCTTTTTGAAGTGTTGCGCGTAGTACGCAACCGGGTCCTGTTCCTGGATCTTCGCAGAGTCTTGCTCCAATTGCTCTTCTCGCTCGCGTACACGCCGCACTGCATCCACGAGTATCCGGTTTATATGTACATCCTCACTTAACTGGTTCATCTGAAGAGTGCGTTGGCGTTCTATACTCCCAGGATTCGATTCTGTTCTTCTCCGTTCCGCAAGTGCCGGTCCTGCAGCTTCCTTTCTCTGTGATTTCATCATCTTTTCTTTCTCTAATTCCTCCGGAGCTTCCATCTGTCCCCATTTTTCTCTTTCTGCCTCGGCCGCCGACTGTTTTCGTTTCTCCAGTTCAAGTTCCTGCCTCGTGGATAACGTGCCCCATCCGCCGGAGGAACCTGGCAAGACGATAGTAGGATTCTGTTCAGGTCGTTGCAATATTCTCGGCATCTTCGCGGCATATGCGCCGCTGTTAGGCAGCAACGATTGCCATGTAGAGGGGCGGTTAGATTCAGACTCCGACGGGCCTGACGGATCCGTCGCCGGAGGAGCTTGCTGAGAGGGTAAATCTGGCCTAGTGACCGCGGCGTCGAGTTGCAGCGGCTTTGGTACTTTAGCAGCAAGAGAACTCCGCTCAGATAAAACTTGCGAGGATCCAGCGGTAGTATCCTTGGTTGATGAGGCCAGCCACGCATCCATCACTTGCGCTTGTGCTTGCCTTGTCGAGGCAGGCGTTGGTGCTTGTGTAGAGCTAGCTGTACGCGTTCGAGGGCAGTCAGCTTTGTAATGGCCATATTCTCCGCCTATTAGAATGTCAGTTGAAGCTGCGCTCAAAAGGCTTCCTTGAACGTACATATATAGCACTGAGCGTATTTTAACTCTTCAATCCGCCGACTGAGGGGCAAAGCTGCAGAGGATGCCTTCGCCTGACGCGCTGCCTTTGCAGCTGCCCGTGTTATGACAATTTTTCCCGAGCTTCTCTTTTGCTCTCCGTATTGCAAGAGGACGTTGCTTCGTCGTGCTCGGCGCGACGAGCGCAAAAAGGCCCGTGCATTCTTCCTGAGCACTGGAGCGTATGCTTCCATCTCCTTAATCACGACGGGCTCTTGCTCTCGAATCCACAGCATGGATTCGAATTCGGAGATTTCGTGGTACGGGAGGTGATTGGGTCCCATGCTGTCAAGCGCAAAAAGAACTTTGTAATACCGCCCGAATCGCTCGTGCTCGGGGTTCGCTTTTGTCTCTCGTATCAAGTCTTCAAGATCGACCAGAGACTTACCGAATTCGAATGCGAATACCTTGAATGGACGCAGTAAGCTTTCACTCGCAAGTTCTGGATAGCAAATGTTCTCTAGGAACAACGACGTTGGCAACTTTTGTAGGAAGGCCGGAAAGCTGGTGGCCACAGCACTGTTTGACCTAAGAAGAAGTATGAACTTTTGAATGACTTGTTTGAGATCCCTCGAGTCGGTCATCTCGGCCATTCCTCTTAAGGGTGCCGAAGTCCATTTTAGTACGAGTTGATATTTGCGGGCATCAGTGCACCTTATAGCAACCAGATCTCTGATATCCGAGGCTATCTCATTCAAGTTGTCCCAGGTTGTTACCATTCGAGAGTCCAAAGCGTGGAATATAGCATAGGCTTGGCGGCGAGCTGGACTCATGAATTCTGCCCGATATCGATAAAATCTGGTGAGTTTGCGGCTCTCGTGTGTGTAGTTTTTAAGCATTTTGTTGCGGTGAGACATTGCAGCGGCACAGCTTTTCCAGTATTCCTCCATATCGATATGGTACTCCATCATCTGCTCAGAGGAAATTCCCGGCCGACCTTCCAGCCTCAACTTAGATAAGAGGGGTCTGCCGTCGAGCTTCAATATGTCCTTCTGCCGATAGAAATGGTAATGCCTCACGGCAGCGACAGACTTTGAAACGGCTGAAGCGCTTGCAAAGTATTCATCGAACAAAACTCTATAGCTGGAGTATGAGTCCCGAGCCTTGGCTCGTGCTTCCTGTTCGTATTGACCTCTATACTCTTGCACTTTTTGAATTTCCCTCATGATATCTGCTTGCTGCGGAGATGGTCGCGGCTGCCTCGATGCTTCCCGCTCGGCTCGCATGGCTTTCTCGTGATTGATCTTGTCCTGTATTTTCCGCATCTCGCGGAGCTCGGCATTCCGGCGGGCTTCGAGACGCCGTTTCTGCTTGGCTGCTCGCCTCTGCAGGCTATCTTGAAGTGCTTTCTGGGTCTCGGGGTCGTCCTTGCTGATTTTCCGTTGTGCGAGATTGGCTGTCTTAGTATCAGGCTCTTTTGTCGAGTTTCTAGCCTCCCTGTCCGCCCGATACATAGCCCGAAGGGCCTTTTGCCTCCAGTCCAACGGTTTGTTTGATGTAGCTTGTACAACTTCTGAATCTCTAGCCGACGGCTTGGTCTCCCGTATTCGCAGATCATATATGCCCCCTTTCTTTGCGGTTGTCAAGGTGTCGCTGCCTTTGCTGGGAGCGGCAGGTTCGGATATTGCCTCGAACTGCTCCAGGATGCCTTGCGCAACAGAGTTCACCGTGTTGAAAAGCCCAGCAAAGGCGTCCCCACTAGGTTCTTCATTGGTCTGAGGCTTTTGCGAGGATTGCCTATCTGCCATGACCACTTTCTGATTGCTTAGAGGCGTACTTGTCGCTGGCCTCGAGACTTTTGACGCCATGGCTTGTTTCGTCGTTCTCACAACCACCTGGCTCTTCTCTATAGCATTTCGTTCGATATGAGTGGGCGTATTGCCCCTCGATATTGCCGCTGTTTTGACCATGCTTTGTCTTTCTTGCCTGGCTTTGGCGGCTTTGGCGGCTTTGGCGTTTGCGATCTTCTGTGACATGGACAGCGTAGCATAACTCGCTGCGAAGACAATGCCATACGAAGGGTTCCATGTTTCCTGTGACAACTTCGGTCGAGCTTCAGAGCAGACGAGTCCGAACGGGACAGTGGTATTGGGAGATGGTGGGCCATGGGTGCTCAGGGAGGTAGCTCTAATGTTCGCAGACGCATCAGCTCCTGCCGTATGGATTGGGAGTGGACTGTCCAACCCATCGCCTTGCCATTGAATGCTGTCGGCTTCATTGCGTCCGCGTGCTGGATGCCAATGCGAGACTTGTGTTGCCATGGTCGTGGGCTCGCTGGTCGTGAGGGCGACTGCCCCGGCGCGTGGGAAGGAGAGGCGGTATTTGAGACGCATGGCGCTCCATGGCAGATATGCAGCGCAACCGGCACCAATGCTCGCCTGGGGTAACTCGGGGGCGCGAGGAGGAGTCAGAGAACGTCTGCCTGGTGTAGTGATGCAATGCCAGGAGCTCTTAGATGGGAGACAGACAAAAGTTAGGTTAAGCGACGCGGTTTCCTCCCGCGCCAAGCACCATCTCTTGCCCGCAGCCAACCACCACTTCACCACCACCAACTTCGAAACACGCCTTCACAAATTTCACAACAAACCCTCGCGAGGGGACGGTTGGACCAGTCCGAACAAGTAACTATGGCCACGCCAGCGCCGGGATCAGCTCTGCTACCACTCGGTACGTCTCGTATGCTAGGTACAATAAACCCTGGCCGCACTAACGAATGATAGAACTCATCGACAGATGCGTCGGCTCAAAGATCTGGGTTCTCATGAAAGGAGACAAGGGTTCGTACCTCTATATGCAGTCAGTTAGCTCTTCTAACAATCGCAATAGAATTCTCGGGCACACTACTCGGATTCGACGACTACGTCAACATGGTGCTCGAGGACGTAACTGAGGTCGACGACGGTGGCGCCTCGACAAAGCTGCCGAAAATCCTCCTAAATGGCAACAACGTTTGCATGGTAAGGCCCCGCGTTTCTCATATGAGACGACATTCACCTAACAGTTTCTCGTGTAGTTGATTCCTGGAGGTGGCCCTGAGGCCATGGAGATCTAGCACAGTGGCGGGCGTTTCTATCCTGATCTGGAGGTCTAACGGCATGCCCATCGGGCATAGCCTAGGAAGCAAATAAAAAATATGACCTCTCTCTGAAACATCGTGAATCTACCTCGCGAGATCCTGAACGCATGAATTGCATTATCATGACCATTGTCCTGGGAGCACTGTAGCACTTGAATATACCCCAGCACGTTCCGAATCTAAATGTTGGCGATGTAAAGGTTCGAAGCCTGTAGACTAGGACTATTTTGAGTTCACGTGACCCTACACTATATATCTGCGACGTGAATTTCTTGTCTCTTGGATAGCATTGCAACCACTGTCAGCCTGAGGGCGCTAATGGCACCTAAAGACGCCCCAGCACGTGTTGAATCTGAAGGCAGACGATGTAAAGGTTCGAAGGCTTTAGATCAGGGCTAGGTTGCGTACGCGTGACCAGCCTTCGTAAGTCTGCCATGTCAAAAGGCGTGAATGCCTAAGCTTCTGAATTGCGTACACCTGACCGTCGTCTTAAAAGCCGTGATCGCACCGGATTACACCACCGCATATTGCGAACATTACGAAAGAGGATGTAAAGGCTCTAACTAAGCCTTAAAGACGAAGGATCGTGATCGGGATGGTGTGACGGCAGTACATCGGCGCCCAAGATCGAGATTCAGTGCATGCGCCCGATCTGTACGGACAACGTGCCGTGGGCTCATGATGGCAATTCCGCATAGCACTTTGAACGCGCCCTTGGAACACGGCAATTCCAGCATAGCCACAGAGTATTCTGTTGTGGCAGCTGACACTGAGTCGAACCATCCCACTATCAGTATTGAAAACTGCAGCGCTCTCGGATTGTGCCTCTCAGGCCAGAGTCTCCTCGAGACATGCCAAGAAGAAGTATCTGCCGTCTCCAAGGCTGATGTCGGCCTGCTGGATATGGGCCAGTGGGAGATTGCGGACTGCTAACTACAGCTCTCGACTCTCCGCTCCGCCTTGCTGCTGCCAACTGATTGGAGCGTGATGCCATCGAGGCTGCCCAGATGCTCCACTCCGCTCGCTGAAGCTGCTGGCCGTGCGTGAGGATCGTCCAAGCCAGCGGGAAAGGGGTGGAGGGTCGGCTACTGCGACCACTCGGCAGTGACTCGTCTTGCACCATGCAGGCTGCTCGACCAGTGTAACGGCCGGCTGCATTCCGTATCTGGAGGCAGATCGAAGTTGTGCCGAACAACACCACTAAAGGCAAGCTCCGCGAGCGAAACAGGTCACGGTCTCCAACCGCACACGAACCATCCGGCGAGCTGCAACGGGTGCTGCAGCCCATCGTCGATTCGTTTCAGACCGGCCCGAGTGGCTCGCGAGGTGGAATGTCCGCTGTCCCTGCGCCCCTGCGCCCCTGCGCCCCTGTGCCCCGCCGGGGGGGCGAGCCACCAGGCCTTGCTGACCGTCAGTGAATGAAAATTCACGCCCCTGATGCCTCGTGTGCAAATTGCCACAGCTGTCGGAGGCGGGCGCCCGCGCCGAATGCTTGGCTCGCCAGCGGAAGCATCCCAAACGAGACTGCGTGTTGGTGGGAAAGGAGGAGGGTCCCAATTCATCACTTCGCTCCACCCCGGCCACGCCGTTAGTTCTGGCTTGCCGCGCTGGCTCGATCAATTGCATTCTCTCCGATCACGACCCTGGAGATCCCAGCAGCAACGAGCAGATCGCCCTGCCCAGCGAGATGACAGCACGGGTGCTTCGATCCTCGCCCTCATTCTCTCTTTGTTTGCCGCGACTCCTCTCCCTCCCGAGCCCCTCTGAGGTCCCGCGCGCCCGATGTGCGGCGTGTGCCTTTCCAAACTCCAGATCCACCCTCAGCCTCCCTCTCCATCACCGCCTCGAGCCACACCAACTGTCCGCCACGCCATGGCCCGCCACTACCTAGCCAGCAGGCACTAGGGAGGCCGTTGCTGCGGAATTCGTGCCCTTGCGATCTTCTAATCGCCGTCTTGCTCCCACTACCACGCCCACACACGTTATTCCCATGATCCATTACCCGTCTTCCACTACACCGTCGCTGGCTTCACCTCGAACCAGCGGCCACTCCTGCGTCCTGCTTGCCTCCCATCCCAGTCACATACGGTGACTGCCCTGCTTCTCCATGATAAGTAGACGCGATCCCCATCAGTGGTACCACCTCTAGTCTGCAGCCTCGGCGACGATCCTGAGACCCTTTTTCACTGGCCGTCGCCACCACCTGCTCTCTCGCCCTATGGAGTAGGGCGTATATACATTAACTTCCTCTTCTTGCGCGTCTCGCGCCCAGCAACAATTAGCACCAGCACGCAACTATCGCGTGTATTTTTTTTCCTACACGGGATCCGGACCAGGCTCACAGCTACGACATCTACGGCCTCATTTCTGTTATTCCATTTTCTTCGAAACGAGACCGTGACCTATATTCCTACCACCGAGCCAGTTCCCGCACTTCACGGGGTGCTTGACCAGTCCTGAGCATCCCGCTTTGCTAGGCACGAGGCGCGCACACTTCCACGAACACACCAACAACATTGCGAAATCCACTTCACGTTTCCCTAACCGATTCGCTCGAGACGTACGGATCCCTCGCACACAGGAGTCACAAGAAGGACTCCAACTTCTCGCGATCCTCCGCACGACTGCAGTCCCTCCTACTACATGAACGACCTGGGGGAGAGGCTGGAGCGATTGGGACTCTCCCAATATCTGGACGCTTTTGTCACCGAAGGGTTTGACACCTGGGAGACGATTCTGGACATTACAGAATCAGATCTGTAGGTCGTAGCGACCCCATGGTTCTGGACCTGAAATGTGCTAACCGCACTCTAGAGGCGCTCTAAACGTCAAACTCGGCCATCGCAGAGTAAGTGCAGCCCTCGTGCAACAACTCTAGAATATCTGAAAGAGCCTTCGAGTTCTAACGCGACGCACAGAAACTTCAGCGAGCCATTGCGGAGACAAGAGGGCAATATCACGACCGGCCAACCATTGCGACGGCTGCCAGCGTTGATGGATCATATCGGAGCGACGAATCGGGATCTGAACACAAGGCTAAGAAAGGAGCTGCTTCTGCCACAGCGGCTGGCGGAGGCAGCACTAAGCGCAAGTACAGACGGCATCCTAAAGTAAGGCACCCCGCCATGATGCATGTCACGTGATCTCAAACTCGCTAACACATGCCTAGCCTGACGAACATGCCCCGGAGCGGCCTCCCTCTGCTTACGTTATTTTCTCGAACCGTTAGTATACTTTTTGTTTTCAACATCAATATACTGATCAGGAGCAGAGATGCGCGAGATGCTCAAAGGCCAGGAGCTGTCATTCACTGAAATTGCAAAAGTCGTCGGCGAGCGCTGGCAAGTGCTGTCGCCAGATGCCCGTGAAGCTTGCGAAAGCCAAGCCAATGGTGCCAAAGAAAAGTATTACACAGAGTTGGCCGAGTACAAGAAAACGCCCCAGTACGATGCATACCAGAAGTATCTTGAGGAGTTCAAGGCAAAGCATGCCGCTCCTGTTAAAGGTATGTCGCCCGGGATCGAATCTTCAAGATTATACTAATCGGACAGGCGCAGAAGGTAAACGGTCAAAGCTAGAAACCGAAACAAGCATATCTACCACAAGGAGCAGCAGCAACGATGTGCCTGAACGGGCTCCGAATCGAAGGCTCAGCTCTGGCCTCCTGGACGGATACCCGCTAGGACATCAACGGTCTGGGTCGAGCCCCCCAACGGGACCTCAGAGACCGCCAATGCCGCAATATCCGACAAAATCTGCTTCACCTGCAACTTATTCGCTTTCTGGCTACAACTCTCCACGACTAGCAGATCACTATTCCTCCGTATCTGCATCACCAAGGTCCGCAAATCTCCAAAAGGAAACATCCTTTGACTATTATCCAGGTGGAAGCAGCTTCGTACCTGAATCTACGCAGCCTCACGCGCCGTCTTATAGCCATACCTACGCGAGCAACACCAGTCCTAGCCAGCCGTCGTCTTATACCAACCAGCTCTACAACGCCGTAGAGTTGCCGTCAAGGCGACCATACAGAGAGATGTCGACGGTACCTGGACTTTCACACGAAGACACGACCCTATCGTCCGCGAGCGGCGTAAGTATTTCTCCTGGATCACAATATGGCGGTCCTCCAGGCCAATTTCCAGGTTTAATGCTCCCTTCCGCCGACCCGCCCAAGTCGCAGAGAGTCCTCCCTCCCCCCGTCCACAACCCCAGCGTGCAGCCCTCACCCCTCGACGTTCGCCCACCTCCCCAGGGCGCTCAATCCTCCGAATACCGCAACACGTCCTCCTTAGCCGCACTCCTACGTGCCGGAGAACTGGCCCGCTCCGCTGATATCGAGCAGCCACCTGTCACAAAAGCTGATTTTCAGTGACGACTTGGAATTCTATTTTTCAATCTGCTTTATATCCTCCGCACTTTTATACCCAAAATAGATACGCGATACCGCCTGTCTTACAAACCTTCTCAGTGCCGCAGCGGCAGATTCAACCAGGTATCTTTCTCTCCTTGCTCCACCGCACGTGCAGCACCTAGAGGGACTGAATGACAGCGGGATTGCCGACGCGTACTTTGCAGTGTCGGCATCATCCGTTAGCAGAGGCTTTGTCCTTCTCTATCATTTTTAATTTTCCACTATCGTATATCAATGATCCCTAGACACCGCGCTGCATGATCTAGCTAGACTCAATCGGCGATCTATAACGGAGACACGTCCGCCTCAACTCGCATAAGACAATGGTGACAAGCATTATTGATGGATCGGAAGGACACCAGGCTTCAAACTCGCCGCTCTGGAATGCCCGAAAATGTTCCAGACAGGATATCTAATGTGGCGCATGACTTATGTATGCCCCCGTTAGGCCTTGCATGCATTTTACTCAATGGAACGAGAGCTTCTCCTCGGTGTGCTACCGAAAACTGCTGCATGTGCTCGTGCTTGAGCTATAAGGCTGTGTGGTTGTGTGTCATAGCGTGTAGGAGTTTCCTGACCGTTAGGCGATGATGGGTTTGTTGATGGACTACCTGGTTCTAGGCCAGGTACGCTAGGTCGTAGTGTGGAATAGATAAAAGCTTGATTAATGCGACAAGGCGCGTACCTCCGAGAGTACCTAAGCATGATCAGGATGCTGTGCTCAACTGGACTACTTTCTTGAAGTTATCAAAGATGTTGGCTATCGAGTATATTAACACCGAAGTCTGCATCTCTAACAAGAACCGAATGTTCGTCGACTAAGCTTCAACATGCAATACAAACATCAGACTAATTGGTGCGAGCACGTCTGATTTCCGTAATACAATGTTATATAACTGTCCTCGTGCAACTGTCCGTGTGCCCCAGACTCTTTGGTCCTGGAAGCCTTGCCGTCGGTACTAAGATATAGTGGCAAATATGTCGACTAAAGCAGCATCCCGCAGATGGAACCTACATAGCACTATGTAAGGATATGGCAGTAGCGGCGAGGCCAGTCCAACACTTGCATGCATGCACTTCGTACCCATGGTATTCGGGAGCGGCACCTTGCCGGAAATAACAATCCCATGCAGCGCACGGACAGCCCTCGAGAAACCTCGATGGGGATTGTGAAACGCGAGCAACTCTCAACGACGACTCCTGCCACTGAACCACCATTCTCCCCCCCTTTCCCCTTCCAACCCATACTCTTCTCTATCCTGATCCCCACGACTTCCACCTCGCCCTCTCCAAGCTCCAGCTCCCATCCCATCCCCCACGACGCCGATCCAGGCCCACGCACCCCCATCCCCCCCTGCACAACCACGGAGCCGGCCTCCCCCTCCTCCGCCACGCCAACGGTCCAGACCCCCATCCTCCCACGGCCCTACCCAGCCTAACTCAAACTCCCCGTAGCCTCATCACACGTGCAGCGGCGCCTGCATCTTCCCGCGGGCCCGTCCGTCCTTGCCTGCATCCCATCACCCACACGCACTGCACGACACGCCCCGCAACCACGGCCGCACCCAGGCCCCCCCGACACCACCCAGCTCCACTCACCGCCGCTGAGGCCTTGCCGCTAATGGACACCCGCCCCGCGAGCCAAGATCCCGCCGCGGGCGCGGAGGTGGTGCCCGCCCCGGCGGCGCCGTTGGGAGGAGGAGGTGGAGGGGTCGTCGCTGGACCACCGCCGGGGCTCACGTTCAAGACGCTGCTGGATCTGCTGCCGGGGCTGACGCCGCCGCCGGCGCTGTATGCTGGGCTGCTGGGTGCGGCGAGGGAGTGGATTGCGGGCGTGGAGGGGTGGGCGCATTTGAAGACGAAGGCGGCCGGGGTGCCGGGGTCGGCGGCGCCGGTGGGGCTGTATAAGACGGGGAAGGGGGGGCTGGTGTGGGTGGGGAGAGTGAGTAGGCATGAGGATGCGGCGGTGAAGGGGTCGGCGAGTTGGGGGGAGTTTGATGGTGGTGTTAGGGTGGCGCATAGTCGGAATGAGGGGGCGTATACGCCGGATGTGTATGCGGCGGTGGAGCTGTGGAGGGGGGGCGTGAGTGTGGAAGGGTGGAGCGGGGTGGAGGTTGCTGGTGAGTTTACTTTTCTTGTTGTGATGGTTGTTGGTGGGAGGTGAGGGTTGAGATGGAGGCTAATGGTGTATAGTGTACGAAATGTACCATAGCATCCCTGTCCTAAACGATCGCTTTTTCACTACCTGTGTCATCACAGCTCAACAGACCGATACCGATCTTATCGTTGTTCAGCTGCCGTTCGATATCAACGCCCTGCCCGAGGAGTTCAAGCAACGAAGCCAACGCCACCCCAACCTACGAAGTCCTAAGTTCGAATACAAGCCCACACAGAGTGAAGGCTCATACCAAGACGACGAAGCGGCGAAGAAGAAGGATGGCGTGAGTCTCGTTGAGGGACGCTATGTCAGTGTCGAGTACGTCTCTGTAGGGAATACGGGCAAAGATGGACAGAGCGAGGTTACGTGGAAGATGGCGACGGCGAGTGATGCCGCAGGGAAGATTCCGCAGTTTGTCACGAACACGTCGTTGCCGGGGCAGGTTATTAATGATGTGCCGTGGTTCTTGAATTGGGTTAATGGGAGGAGGAACTAGGGGGAGGGAGCACTGGGGAGGTAGCTAGGACACGGGTTGATATTCAGATGTTGGTTCTACTTGCTTTTTGGCGTTGTCTGGGTCTTCCAACGCCCACTGGGCATTCTGAACAAGTTGAAAGTATTATAGTAAGTTTCAGCACTCTTTAGACAAGGGTTCTGTTTCGATTAAGATGCCGTCCGGAACTCACCAAAGCAGTGCTGAAAATCTGAGCGAGCTATGCTTACGACGATATCGCGAAATCTGATAGAAAGAAGAATACAAAGATACACACTAAGTTCATTTGATCTCACATGATCGTAATACGAATGTTCACCAAAATTGAATTCCTCGTGGTTGGTGGTTGTCCTGAAACAGCGCGGCAGTCGTCATGGGGGGCAGGCTTGGCATCCATTGTTTACGGCTCCGCTCCCCGCCAAAATCATTCCAGCAGAGGTCCAACACCAACACCACGACTCTCCTCCGCACTGCCCAATATACCCTCGGAGGACACTTCTCTCGCTTCTCACCTTTCAGAATCGTTATTTCACTGCTGAAGCACTCTTCAAACCTCCCGGCCTGCGTCGAGTCCCTCCCACCCTCGACTCGAGCGCTCTCAGGCCGTCTGCCCTACAATGGCATCCAAAGGAGACAAACACGGCTTCCAGCTGCCAATTCCCCCTCCCCCACTCCACACCCGCTCAGGCAACGATGGTTACGGCCGTCCTCGCACCCCCACCCAAGAAGCCTTCATCAGTCCGCAGCAGACGCCCCAGGGCAGCCCCAGCAAGCACCACCAGCCCCCAGGCGCCTTCGACCTGCCCAATGTCTTTGAGAACGCTATGAGACTGTTTCCAAACATGGGAGGATCTCCGTCGAAATCGGCACGCCAGCCACAGTCTCCCACCTCAGCGATGAGGGGCGGCGAGGTTGCTGAGAGCGTGGACTCAGGCTATGGGGGCTCGGACTTGACTACAATCACGGCTGGGAGTGGTAGCCCTACGCGCAAAGCGAACAAGGAGAACACACCGCCAGGCGGTCGTCCTGGCATGCAGAAGGAGACGAGTTTCGTTAATCATGCTGCAGTGTCTCGCCAAGAGCCGTATCGGACGCGCGAGGCGGAGAAGCAGCAGAATCATGTGGTGGGCCATCAGCGACTGTCGGCGGAAGAGTTGGAGAAGTTGAGGAGGCCGGCGGTCAAGCGGTTGGCAAATGTGACGCAGTTGTGTAAGTTTGCAATTGTTTGGATCTGGGGGCTGGGCTAATGGTTGTAGATTTCTTGGACTACTACTACGATCTCCTGAGCTACGTCCACACCCGACAGAATCGGCTCACTCAGTTCAAAGCCCAGAATCCTCCGCCGCCAGAGACGCCGGAAGCTGAGTACAATGAGGCACTCAACACGTATCTTGGTCGCGAGCGGGCCAATCTCAGGAAGCGGAGGACGCGACTGAGACAGGGAGATTTCCAAATTCTCACTCAAGTCGGTCAAGGAGGATACGGACAAGTGTATCTGGCACAGAAGAAAGATACTCGCGAAGTGTGTGCTTTGAAGGTCATGAGCAAGAAGCTCCTGTTCAAGTTGGACGAAATTAGGCACGTCCTGACTGAGCGAGACATCTTGACAAACGCGAAGAGCGAGTGGCTGGTGCGGCTGTTGTACGCATTTCAGGACGACAAGAGCATCTATTTGGCTATGGTAATGCCACTCTGGTCCATCCACATGAATCTTGCTAATATTGATATAGGAATATGTCCCTGGAGGCGATTTCCGGACACTTCTCAACAACACTGGTGTCCTGCACAACCGCCATGCACGCTTTTACATTGCCGAAATGATCTCTTGCGTCGACTCTCTTCACCAGCTTGGCTATATCCATCGCGATCTGAAGCCAGAAAATTTCCTCATCGACGGCACCGGCCACGTGAAACTCACCGATTTCGGCCTAGCAGCTGGTATGCTAGCACCAGCCAAGATCGAGTCCATGCGCATCAAGCTCGAATCGGTCGGTGATGCCGCCGTCCCGTTCGGAAGACCAATGGAACAGCGCACTGCAGCCGAGCGTCGCGAGAACTACAGATCCCTTCGAGAGCGCGATGTCAACTACGCCAAGAGCATTGTCGGCAGCCCCGACTACATGGCTCCTGAAGTCCTCAAAGGCGATGAATACGACTTTACTGTCGATTACTGGAGCCTGGGTTGCATGTTGTTCGAGGCTCTGGCTGGCTACCCGCCCTTCGCGGGCGCCACCGTCGACGAGACCTGGCAAAACTTGAAGCAGTGGAAGAAAGTCCTCCGGAAGCCTGTCTACGAGGACCCATCTTACTTCCTCAGCAAGCGTACCTGGGACCTCATCACGCGTCTGGTCGCGTCCAAGACCAGCCGCTTCCGCGGTATCAGCGAGATCCATGCTCATCAGTACTTCGCAGAAGTCGAGTGGGATAAGCTGAGAGAGCAGCGTGCGCCGTTCGTTCCCGAGTTGGATAGCGAGACCGATGCAGGTTACTTTGATGACTTCAGCAATGAGGCGGATATGGCGAAGTACAAGGAGGTGCACGAGAAACAGACGGCGTTGGAAAAGATGGAGGAGAGGGGCGAGGAGATGAAGAAGCATCTATTTGTTGGGTTCACGTTCAAGTATGTTGTTCCCTTCCAGAGTTATGGACATGTACTAACATGATTATAGGCACCGCAAACCCGCCACAGACGAGAACGGCAAGCCATCCAGCCCTCGGAAGCCTCTCCCCATGGTCGACGAAGAGAACTTCGGAACTATCTTCTAAACTCGTGCATCTTGACACTTGCCCGGTTGGTCTTTTTCATATTCCGGCTTCTTTGTGGGCCACTGGCTGCTTCACGCACCCATCTTCCTTTTTCCTTGGTCCGTGTTCTCGCCCAGCACAGCGCAGCGTAGCGCCATGAGTAATGAGGGCGGTAACAACGACGGAAACATGGCGTCTTTCATCGATGGCGGCGAGTCAGTAGATTGGGGTTTCAGGGTGTTGGACGGCACAGAACTACATGCATGCATACGACACTGGCTTTGCAACCTTTGGTTTGGGGGGAGCGGTGTTGGTAGGCACACTGTACTTGTAGGTTATGGGAATTGAATTACATCTCATCGTGAGCTTTGTGAATGGTGAGAGGGTGATTCCTTGATTGGGTTTCGCACGGTGGTGGAGTCGTGTACCACTACTGTGAGTTATGTGTGTTCCTTGCTATCCCTCTGCCTCTCTCTCAACATCCTCTATCCCGGCCACTACCGCATCCAGTATCGCAATTATCCGACGATCTGTCTCCCGCCGGCGGCCGGTCTTGACTGCGACGACTAGATGGTATACCCCGAGAGGCGCTAGTCTACCGTAGATGAACGCAAGCACCATCCTCGGACCGAAAGTTCCTCGGCTTGTCTTCTTCTCCCCGATGCGGGCGAGTCGCGCGTGTGGCGCTTGGCGCATGGGGTGGAATTTTCCGATTGTTTCGTGCATTGTCATCTTGCGTTGTGGGAATGGGGAGGGGGCTGGGGCTGGTTAGTCGGTATCTGGAAGGTGTTGAAGGAGAGGGGGGGGGGCGGTGCTGTGGAGGCTGCGTGGTGGGGATCTGGACGAAGGGAGGGCGGATACGGAGGGGGTGTGGGAGGCGGGTTGTGAGGCCGTGAGGCGTGGGAGGGACATGATACTGATGAGGGTTTGCGAGGGCCGGGGAGTGAGGATTTGGGTTGGAGATAGTGTTGGTAGGTAGGTGGGAGAAGTTTGCAAAGTTGTTAGCGAAAAGGTTGGTGCGGGCTCGATGGAGTTTTTAAAAGGGCTGGGCCAGGGTTAGAGCCATGGGTGAGTTGGACCTTTCAAGCCTCTTTGGGAGGGTTGCGATTGAGTGAGATTTGTTATCTACATGTTATCTTTCTATACTTCCTTTTGGTTTGAATTCAGCTAATTTAGAGGCGGTAGGAGAGGCTTGAATGGAGGTTCATCCGAGAAAGACATATGTTTCGAATCATTTATGTCCTGTTCTATTTTCTTCTTTATTCTCCTCCGTCGTAGCCATCACAACTTCCTCCTGTTCCACTGTCGTACTCCCCATATCCGTTACCCCGGCCATCACGAGATCTGTCGCGCCAGATCTCATCCAAGCAGGGGACAGAAAACTGCACACCGATCCACGACAATCCACTACAAAATCCCCAGAAGCGGTGTCCCCCCCCTTTACTCCACCACCCGCGCCAATCCCCTAACATCCCCACCTCGCTCGCACCGAGGTATCTTGGCGTGCTTCTTTTCTTCCATCAAAGCCACTATCACATGGCCGCCAAAAGCCGCCACAGCGCAAAGAGCCAAGCTAAGCCAGTGAACTTTCCGCTCTAGATCCTTGGCTCTCTTCTCCGCGTATCCAGCCCGCTCCATCGCGTGTTTGCGCCTGTTTTCAACGTGTTTCTTTAGATCTTTGATGGCTTGCTGGAGAACTTGGGGCTGGGGGCTGTCGAGGGAGGGGTGGGGGAGGAAAGTTGGGGAGTGTTAGTGGAGATGATACGGGCGAGGAAGTGGGAGGAGGGGCGTGCTGTGAATACTGTGGTTTTGCGAGGGCGTTGGTGTGGCGATTCGGAATGGGATGCTGGTGATATGTGTTTTGATGCGGGTTGAAGAGTGCAATGGGCGCGTGGAGAGGCGAAGAGCTGATAGTGCGTTTCGCGGCATGGTTGAAGGTCTGGTGGGTTGATTTGGCCTTGTTGGTGTTGTTGGAGTTGTTGGAGTCGCAGCTGAAGATGAAAGGTTGGAATATTGTGAAAGTAAGTAGAAATGGAGAACTTGGATCGCGCGGTGGGTGTTATTCCAATCGCCATCAGAACCACGGCTGCAAATTTTTTATATCCATGGTAGAGCTGCAATTTCGTGTCATCATCTGCTATCTACTTCCCACACGTGTTTCTCGAACCTTTTTGATTCATCAGCTCTAAGAGCCTTCCTACCATGCGAGACTTTTTTCCTCGCGACTTCCATAGTCTCCATGCCACTCCCTTACAATGTCTTCAACGGCTTTCTCTAGCTTCTCGACGTCCTTTTTTAGGCATCGTAGCTCCACTAAATGGTCAACCTGAACCCTCCGCTGCGTCTCTTCGATATGTCTCTTCAAGCCTTTGACCTCGGCGTTGGTGGCGTTGATTCGGTCTCCTAGCGTCTTATATAGGGTAATAGTCGCTGTGATCATGTTAGCGTTGAGTCTTTACGAGACGCAGTGAACTGATCAAGACGAAGGTATGTGAAAGACTAACTCTGTGAATCTGAGGTAAAGCTACGCGATGCTACGAGCGCATGTGGCGCAGGTATACTCGCGAAGCGTGGTCTTATAAGGCTTGAGGGACGTATGTTGAGGAGGGTCCCGAGATTTGGTACGCGTGGTGACATAGTTGCGGTTTTGTGATAACTTCTCGTTATTGTTGAAGATGAGATTGTTGGAGATGAGATTGTGGAAAGAAGATAGGAAAGGTTGTGCGAAAGTTCGATAGTTTTTATACTTGCCATGACTCTCCCAGCATCATCGGCTATTTGGTTCCCACACTCATTTCCTGAATCTATTGGATCGGTTAGCTCGATTAAAATATTCAGCACAAGAGCATTTTACTCTACAGCCCGAAAATCCCTCTGCTAGATCAGTTGATCTTAGCTGGCTTACGTCGGGGTTCTTCCGAGTCAGGATACACTTCTTTGGCACTGCTTGAGGTGGTATATCGAGTTCTAATTAGTGTCCATTCACTGAAGCAGCGCAGACAGTGGCATGGAACTGTGAATTTATGACAAGTAGCCGTACCTGAGAACTCATGGCCGCTTTCTACTTTCCATCACCACTTTTCATCCACCCACCAGCCTGCAATTCCACCAAGAAATGCAAACCCATTCATACTTTAAAGTTACTTATCTTTATTCTCTTAAAACAACTCTACCTCTCTTCGGGTCTCCTCAGCTCGTTCACACCTTTCTTCAGCCATTCGATAGCTTGCCTTCACTCCACCTAAACCGTCTCTTTACGTCTTTGATAGCCGCGTTCGTACTTTGAACCCGTGCTCCCGGCACATGAATCCTCGAGGAGGTGCCTAAGCTTTATACGAAAATAGAAGCCGATTGAAAATCTGAAACTTGAGCGGCTCCACGAAGAGTGGCTTAATCGCCTCAAAATAAGCCTTGTAATACTCTTTTTTTGCTTGAACCTGTACGTAACCCCGTAAGCATATATTCTCGTCATCGCACTCGCATAACCTTTACGTACTTCCATGAACCATTGCACAGACTCGGTCCTATATCAACGTTAACTTGGACGTTCCCTCCCTCATAGATATTGATAAGTTGTATACCAATTTTCGACTAGGTGGATGACGCCAGGATTGTCTGTCGACTGAAACACCTCGAAGGAAATACACTGCGGTTCTGCAGTCACTTTTTCGTATATCGGCTGCAGCTCTTTTAGGAAAGTAGGGACGTCCTCTGGCTTGATGGTGATTGTGGCTTGCGCGTTCAATCCGGGGAGGAGTTGCGACATGTTGGATTCTTTCGGTTGCGCTTGGACGACGTATAATGGTTTTGTAATTAGATGTACTGATAATGTAGCCTTCGAACGATTTATGACTATGTTCTCGTTCCTGTGTTTCGTATATATACCGAGCTCGGAAGTGAACGGAAAGCAATGTTGGTCCGCGGAAAGTCCGAACTAGGAAATTGCTCGCCGAAGCCCTTAATAAGGCAAGTAACGTGATAACTAGAAACGTGATATAAGTAACGAGGAAGGTCGTCTACAGAATCAACTACAGTAGATCAATTCACCTCCGAGATCTACGCTTATCGACCGATCGTGAGTCTCATCGACCGATCCCAATAGGCTAGTTAGGAAGTATGAAGGCGTCGTCGTAGGATTTCGTACACTCTTCATCACTGCTTGCGGTGCTGTAGAGACGAATGGTTTATTAGCATGAATCTGAAGAAATGTAGCTAGAGCCATGGACGGATTGCTCGATTCTATCATCGTCAACATCTATAACCAATGATACCCCCTAACTCGAGACCCCGAGAAATCTTCCATCTAGCCACTCCTCCCCTCACTTCACAACCGCAAACAAGAACCCATCATAGCTCTTCTCCCCAACTGTCTGCAGCACAGTCGCATCCAGCCTAGGATCCTTCCCCACATTCTCCACGACTCTTCGACTCCCCAGCACCCTCGAATCCTCCGTCTTATCATTGGCCAACTCCCCCCTCCTAACCACATTATCCACAACCAGGCACGCCCCGCTGCGGCTAATGCCCGCAGCTATATCCGCATACGCCCAGTTGTTCTCCTTATCCGCGTCAATGAAGACGAGGTCGAACTTCTCCCGCTTCCCGGAGTGTACCTCCGCCGCAAGCTTCGGGAGGATGTCGAGGCCTGCCCCGACCAGCACCTCGGTCCGCTCGCCCACACCAGCTTTCTGGAGACTCTCTCGAGCTACGGCCGCGTGTTTGGGGCTGATCTCGACGGAGGTGACGCGGGTGGTGGGCGTGGCGTTCGCGAGCCAGAGGGTTGAGTAGCCGCCAAGGGTCCCGACTTCGAGGATGCGTTGCGCGGATATCAAGCGTGCTGTGAGCATGAGGTGCTTGCCCTGAGAGGGGGAGACGGCGATGTCGGGGAGGCCATTGGTGGAGGAATTGATGAGGGTCGCGGTGAGGGAGGCTTCGGAGGGGATGGAGTTGTGGAGGTGGCTGGTTGCGTATTTGTCGATGGCTGTCCAGCGGGGGTCGCGTTCGTGGATTTGGGGGTCGTAGGGGCCTTGGTGTCCGGCCATTGTGGCGGTACTCCGGAGTAGCTGTATGTAGGAGAAGAAGAGGGCAAGAGGTGGTACTCTGGGGTGCCTATGAGTAGAAGTATGAAGAGGGGTTGCTACGATCGAGGGGTGTCGTGAGGAGTAAAGCTATATACGTGAAGTCAATCAGTGAGCACCTATAAGTGAGCTCCGAGTCGGTCTTATAGCAGGTGAGCACATGTATCAATGAAGGAACCGAAGTCGGCCGCGGATAACACTAAATGCGAGCCCAAGCCACCAGGACTGATGGCTGATGCGTCGTAGGTTGCAATAATCCCGGTTGAGTGTTCATCATGAGGGTGGGGGTCGGTCTTCCCCGCGGCCGAGCACCGCGATCCCCGATCTCCTCCTTCACTATTTCTCCTTCTGCAACCACTATTATCTCCATCATCTCCATCTGGCTCTATCAATTCCGAACCTCATATTGCTCCGAGCGCTGCACTGATGGACATTGGGAGTCTCGGAGATAGTTAGGTGCTCTTGCTGACGCTTGAAGCAATTCTACACTCTCAACATCATGCTTCATATGTACATTTCCTTGTCGTATGGCTACGTACAGTCCTCTGCCGCTGTGGAGAGTACTTAGATACTCTTTACGGACCTGATAGGGATTAGAGGTTCCTCTATTAAGCAATTGGAAACCCCCTCAGGCTACTCTGGCCGGCTACATGCGCAAATCGGGTTGTGGATGTTGGGATTCAATTGGATGGTAGACGCTTGTACTCAGACCTGTGATGAGACACTGTACCTCCTCTTCCAGTTCAGCAACTTCTCCTTTGATATCTTCTCAGTGCTGATCTCTCAGGGTATGCCGCCACGAATCAATTGACGAGCTAGAGCAACTATCCGTTATTGAGAGATGTTTAGTGGGTACTGCATGTCGTTATGATCTTCCATCTTCCACCTCACAAGATCACATTTATGTCTTCTATTCCAAGCGAACCGTCTTAAACTGTCAATGGCTAGGCTTGATTAATAGTGACTCATGTCATCTGATGAAGTTCTGTCCTGTAAAAAGTCGAGAGAGGGCGGGTACTATCCATGCAGTACAGTGACCTGTAAATCGCGCATGGCATCACATATTCTTGAGAAACCAGTTTCCACGCTCCTCACGATCTCTTTACATATCTTCAGTTTGGTGAACATGAACTTGTACCATGGTCTTGCTTGATGAAGCATATAAGGCTACATGTCTCCACCAACAACCATCACACTTGCTGTTTCTCTACAGACAACAATCTCCGAAGCCATGCAAATAACGTCTTTCCACCTTGTGGTTTGTCTTGCGGCTGTCATCACCAATTCACTTGCTCTGCCTACTGAAGACACCACCGTGCCAGACTCCCTCCCCCCTTCGGCCAATACCACTGCGATCGCGGACGACTGGACATGCAGTCCAGACCAAAGCTACTGCGGCTACGAAATCGCTCCGTATTGTAAGTCACTAATCTCATTCACTCAAATAATTAGCCTGGACCTAACCGCCACGTTTTGCAAGACGATGACTACTACTACTACTACTACTACTACTACTACTACTACTATATTCCATTCTCGCTTTGGAAATGCCAAGACCCGAGCGACAATCCCTTTCCCTGGTTGAATCTTAGGCTCGAAGACGTGTGCCTTGCAGGATGTGTGAAGTCCCTCTCATGGCCATCATCTTGTGCGGATTGAAGTTGAGGGGATTGGGATTGGGAGGCGAGTTCCTTTGATAGAGCCGGTGGTGGTATGAAAGTAGTGCTGTGTCGGGAGGATGGTATTAGCGATGGTCTAATTAGGATGCCCCTGTCGCTAGGTACTTGAATTGAGTCAGGGTTTCTCACGCGCTCGATTTCGAAGCTACGAGGTTTTGACATTGAGAGTTCCATTCTTTCGGTAGGCTAGGGTGGTGTTACAGAGTTGCTAGCAATCTCCACTTCCAAGCTGTTTCTTACTCAAGACCCCAAGACGACTGAGAGATCTTATATCCCTGCGTCACACTCTCTCTCGTCCAACCTACAGTCAATTCAAAACACAGATATAACCCCTCAACCCCTCGGGCACCGAAGAGCCAGCTCCAGCTGCCAAACCCTCTCCGCACCTCGCCCTTCCCTCCCCTCCGCCTCTCCTTTGCAGCATAACCTCCCAGCATCTCCGCGCAAACCTTTCAACTTCCTTCCCCCTCCGCAGCCTAACCTCCCAATATCCCCAATCGATCCTCTAACCTTCCTCTCCCCTCCTCCCCAATGTTCAATACCCAAAACACGTCCAACACCCCTCCACCGCCTCCGCCAACGGCTCCCTTCCCCTCACCCCTCCAGCCTGCCCCCGTCCCGGCAGCGAATACTTCAGCGTCCGCATAATCTCATCCAGCAGCGTCAAGATCTGCGCCTGGAACAGCACGAGCAGCAAGAAAATCGCAGCCGCGGCGATGGCGATGAGGCGGAAGGCCGTGAGATTGGGGCTGAGTGCGGTTTTCGGGGGCGAGAGGGATTCGGGGTCGAAGCGCTGGTAGGTGGGTGGGGGGGAGAGGGGGGTGGTCATGGTGGATGCGTGGGTTGATTCAGTTGGAGGATTGAGGTGGGCAACGTGGGTCAACGTAGTTTCAAGGTTTGAGGGCGTGAAGTTCAAGCTTTCTGTCCACGTGGTTCTGGAGGGCTATGGCGAGGTTTTCGAGGTCTGGAGGGCTTGTATACGGCAAGGAGACGCTTGGCTGTGGCTGCGTGTTGCCCGATTTGAGGCTCAATGGGGTTGGGGGGGCTTTGTTGGAGGAGAGGGCTTTGAGCATTTGGCGGCACAATGGAGAATTGGTTTGGGAGATTTCTTTGGTGGAGGGACAAAGACTGAGATCGCGACATGAACATGGCTGAATAGGGAGTACTCTGGCTATCGTACGTATCGATAAGAAGAAGAGTGATACTAAAACTCACGTATAGCCATATTTTAGAATGCTATCGACCTATCGATAGGAGCCTTACAGGCAAGCATTGCAAAGACCCGGTCTTTTACCCCACATAGGATAGCCGGGAATGATTCGCCTCTGGGAGAACTAGGATCTTTCTACTCCTTTGGATATCGACGGTATTCCTGTAAGAATTCGAAATCTAGAGGTGAGTTCGTACGCTACTATCACCTTTATCACATAGAACACGCATTTTCATGGCGCTGTGGCGCTCCGTATCAACAACCCACAACTCCCGAGCAGGAAGGTCGCACAACTCTTATCCTCTCCACTCTCTCATTATCTAAAATATCCTCTGCAGCCGGTATACCACCTGCAACCACTCGGCCTAGATACGGTACTAGATGCTGGAAGACTTCAACTCCGGGGCCCTCATTGGTCCAATGCAATCATTGCAGGGATCAGCTTTCTTCGATATTGACGCGGCACGGCAGGAGGATGTCGTGAAACCATGACGGACCAAGGCGATTTGCTTCTCTGGCAGGATTCGAGGCGTGTACGCCGTCGGAATCGGCGGAGCGGTTTAGCCGTACGCGGGCTGCGAGGTGGCTGATGTCTGCAACTGGGGGTTTGGGTATTTATATCAGTTGGTTCCGCCCACTTGGGTGGGTAAGGCGCATTTAGATTGTCTCACGCACCTCTCTACATTGACCCATCGAGGACGCGGGGTTGATTTTTTTCTTCGTTTCCGCCACCTGCCTAGAAAGCTGTCGATACTTCTTTCGTGGGGTTTCGAAGCGTGCTTTCATCCATTGCCCGTTGCCCGTAACCCTCCTGTGGTATCTAAGCAGACCATACCACTGGACCTCGAAGCCATGGCCTCCGCTGACGTCGAGACTCCCGTAGCCGACCTAATCCCCGCGCTCCCAGACTATCTCATAGACCCGAACGCGGTCCTTGGCGACGTCGAAGCGACCTGGCGATATGGGAAACCACCAGACTACTCGAACACTCGGACAGTGTTTGAAGAGAGTAAGCAGCCACCTACCTCCACCCCCGATCCCCTCACCCTCGCTAACATACCCACCAAGCAAAATCAAAAACGCACCCAGCAACCACCCTCCCCTCCCTCGTCCAGAACCTCGTCAAGAACTGGGAAGTCGAGGCCTCCTTCAAGCCCGACCTGCGCGACTGGCGCACGATTGATCACGCCAACTATTCCTTCGCTATAAACGGCGGTCCGGCCCAATCGGCTGAGCACATGCTGAAAGTGGGGACGTACAACGCGATTGTGTGCCCGAATGAGTATTATAGCCCTGAGCACAGCGATTTCGCGACGAGCCATAAGACGTTTAAGCGCATGATGCCGACGTTCGCGTGGGAGGTGCTGGAGGTGTATAGTGGGCCGCCGCAGGTTGCGTTTCGGTGGAGGCATTGGGGGGTTATGGAAAGGGATTATGTGGGGTTTAATGAGTGAGTGTGCTTGGAGAATTTGATTATTCTTGAAGGAAAGAGCAAGTGGTGAGATGTTCTGAGGCTGATCGGGTGATAGTAAAGGAGAAAAGGTTACCGCGAAAGCCCATGGCGGCCCGATTGATATCCAAGGTGTGACAGTAGCGACCGTGGATGATAAAGTTCGGCTGCGGAAAGTCGAGACGTGGTTTGACCCTATGGAGATGTTCAGGCAGATTGCGCCGAAGGGGGTTGTGAATAAGGAGATTGTTTCTGAGAAAGAGAAGGCGGCGGACTCGGAGGAAGAGGAAAGCAAACCCTCGACGAAAGGAACGCAGGTCTCTCAAAAGCACCCGCACAATATGGAAGAGACGGTCAAACCGGCGCCTGGGGAGGCTGGTGTTGCCCCTGCTGGGGCCGAAGAGGTGAAGTTGACGCAGGAAGAGATGTCAAATATTACTCCGGCTGAGTTTCCAGATCTGATGAACAAGGAGTAGGTCTTGAATTCTTACGACTTGTGGGCTACTTAGATTGTAGATGCATATTTTTCGATTGTTGGTAAAGAGCTTTCTCGACTATTGCTCCGTCTGACTGTCTACAACTAATCAACCCGGAGTAAAGCGAATTTTTACGACTCGGCTATTTCCTAGAGTAGGTGAAACTTCAGCTCTGCGTGACATGTGGAGGCGTGTTCTCTGATCTTTCATGGAGCTGAGGCATGAATGGAAAGGGAATCGGCCTTGGTACTACTCATACAACTGGTCTGGTTACCTAGAGTAGGTATAACTCTAGCTCTTTCTAATTTCAGCTGCACACCGACAATTCAAGGCTATTTTCATGATCCTTCGTGGTGTTGATAGTGCTGATGTAGCTGAGGTGTGGATTGCCTGATACGAGCCTAGCGCGGAGGTCTGGTCAGCCTTCAGGAATCCCTTTTCCCCAGGCTGCTGCGTGTGCTATTCTTCTCTCCTGCTTCTCGAAACGGCCCCTTGATTCCAGGTCAGCCTCCTACGTTGATCCTCCGCACGTAAGAAGCTGCGAAGTCGCGAGGCTGACGTCCTGACGATCGCGATTTACGAGTTCGTTCCTCGGAATTCGCCCTCATGCCTGAGGCGGTGTCGCAGCACACCATCCTGAGCGAGTGCGGCAATAACCAAGTGCCAGCTTGCGAGCTAGGCTTCCTCCCCATCGCCACTTGCTTTTGCGATGATGAAAGCAACCCCGATCTCGGCCTCGACGTGTCCTTGCCGCCGCGACGATGACTGTGACTCTGAAGTTTCACGCCCAGCGCTTGTATCCCCGTCCCACACAGGCTCCAGCCTCGCGCTCGACAAATCTCTGCCAGTCACGCCGCCGTCAGCACCGTCGCGAGGCCGACGGCGCCTGTGGTCCACTGGTCATGCTTCACGAAATTCCTTTGTGGTTGACTGTCAACAAACCATGTGGCGCATGAGACCCCAAGCAGGCAGAAGCGTCGCAGGTGCCTAGACCCAAATTAGTGATAGGGTAGCACTATCCCCGTGCCAGTGGGAGAGTTGACTCAGCGCGCCCCCAGTGCCGGAGTCGACCCTTTCACCCTTTGTGAGATTACTGCCCATGGAGGTCGGCCGAGCTCGTGATCGAGCTGGAGGATGAGAACAGAACGCTGGGCTGGGCATAGGGGAGAATTCTCGGGGGGGTCGGCGCCGATGGGATGAGTCTGCGGAAAAACTCTGCAGTGGACTGCAGGACTGCGGTCTGGCTCTGGCTTGAGACTGCATGGCCGTCCTGCCGTTGTCTCGCGGGCACCGGCAAATGTCGGATGGGGGCTAGTTGTCTCCAGACTGCTGTGCCACTTCCAAGGTTTGCTGCTGCGTGTCATGGCCCACTTGTTCAAAGACCGGCCCGGCAGCGTCCGCTTGATGACCATCGAGCTTTTGGAGTGGCGTCTTCAGACTGCCACTGCATTCGGCTCTTGTTTAAACTGCCGTGTTGTGCTTTTTCGAGGTCTCTGCAGAACAGCAGATCGTGAGGGTCCGCAGGCCTGTTGCAGCGGCAGAAGTGCGAGAACCACTGCGCTCTTTTGCAGCATGCAGCACCCTCCGCGTCGCACCGTCGCACACTCCACGGAGCACTCAAGGAGGTGTGTCGCGTCCCTAGCGATCGCGGGCAGCTGGGTGAGTCAAATGGCAGCTAATAGTGCCAGAGGTGGCAAGTTTGATATGCCAAGGCGGGCAATAGGCACGCTCTGGGCTCAAGCGGCCTTTATTGTTCGTGAATGCATCCACACCAGCCCGGGGAGCGGCGCGAGGAGCGAATGAAGCGTGCGCACGCATCTGATGAGGGGAAGAGGACGCCAGCTGGGGCGCGATAGGCTGCACCACGGCGGGCGGTGGACGCTGCGCAGAGGCACGCAAGCAGAGTGGAGCTGATACCCAGCAAGCCATCGCAGCAATCATCAAGCTGTTCCCTCTGACTGACGCAACTGCAAACCTCACGGCCCTGGGGACCTGGAGCACGGCGGCGGGCACAACGACGAACTGTCCTCTGCGCAGCGCTCGGCGCGGTGCCTGGCCGTCAGTGAACAGCCACCTTGCGTGCGATCAACCTGTCACTCAGCCTCGTCAAGCAGGCGGCGGTGTTGCTGCGACGATGGGCCTCGAGAGCGCCAGGCTGCCCCCAAACGCACGGGTGCAGTGTTTGATGGCAGTGTCGCCAGCCAGGATATCGCGAGCGCCGCAAACCGTGCTCCAAACTGCGCGCAAATAACAGCCAGCAGCGGTCTTCTGGTAGCAATTATTCATAGCAAATGAGAAGCGCGTGGGAGGCCCAATAGGGCGTTCTCCATTAGAATGGCAGTGAGTGGCCAAATTCTCGGGGGCAAGGAGGGTGTGGGCGGACCACCACCAGGCGCTGAGCCCGTCGACTCATCCGCGCTGGGCTGTCTATCATCAAAACCGCCTCTCGCCCCCTCCCAAGCCCGAACCCATCGCCAAAATGACCCCCTCAATCCCCAACATCGAGCCCTCGGGGACGCAGTAGCTGCAGCACGAACAGCTCCATCGTCACCGTCACCCGCTCTCCTCTCAACTCAGTCTTCTGTTCCGTCATTCACGACCTTTGTCCTTTTCTTCTTCAGCCAGCAGCTTTGTCTCGGGCCTTTGCCGCCTCGACCGTGCTGCCGCCTACCCCAAGACTCATCCGCACACAGTCATTCACTGCGCTGGCCCTTTAATTCCTGCGCTGGCCCCGTGCATTTTGCTACGAACCCCCTCCGACTCCTCTCGACAGCCTTGCCGTGCAGTTGCAGCGCTTGCCTCGTTTACTCGATCGCGACCGCCGCACCAGTCCGCCATCACCGCCGAGCCGCAACGTCAACCCCAACCTTCACCTCGACACGTCGATTCTTCACCCCTTTTCGTCCTCCACGTGGCCCCGCCGCAATAATACTCCGCTGCCTGTTCCGCCCCGCCGTGTGACTCGCCACCCGACCGTGAAGCTGCTCTTTCTGGTGACCTCCGTCATCAACTGAACACTTCTCCCTCGACCAGCCAGCTCCACACCATGCACCCCACGTCTCCCACTACTCCAGTCTCTCGTCGCTCAGATATCACGCTCTCAACCGGAAACAAGGCCTTCACCACCATTGGAGGCGCCCGCTACTAGACTCCCGCACCCTTCGAACTCCGGCTTTTACGGCGACTCTGTCGTCCTAGGGGCTTTCTCGAAGCGATTGCGGCCCGGTCTTCTACACACAGGTCTTGTTTTTGTGATTCTGAGGCAGACAAGTGACTGGAGTCACTGTCGGCAAGCGGACGGACCGAACTGAGCAGCCATTGTTCAGCAACCTCCGATCGTGCGCCTGCTGCCACCACCTCCCCTACTACACCACTCGCGCATCATCAGCTCTCATCCTGAGTTCCTGGCATCCTCTGGTCTTTTCGCCCATCGCTCGACTCCGCACGGCACTGCTGTCCGGTCTCCGTTCGAAAGGCTATTAGCACATTTGGCCGCTGGAACGAGTTTCCTAAGGAAGACAGCAGAAGGAAAAACCGCGAAAGCATCAGCTGTCGAAATCAGCCCACGAGTGGCTCATAGGGCGTCATCCCGAACGGTTCGTCTATCGGTTAATCTCTGGTCACCCCACGACCACTCGATCACGTTTCTTACCTTACGACTCGTACCCAGCCCTACCAGGTTGACACGATAGGGTAATCCAAACAAAAGCTCTATCTCCCCTCAGTCCTTTTGTCTCGTTTCATATCACGGGTTTTCTTTGCCTACTCTTTCAGCTTTCATCAACATGAGCCTCGACCAATCAAGTCTTGGCACTTCGCCTCCTCGGAGCCACCCATACGCCTCATCTCTCTCTTCATCGGCGTCCTCTTCCATGTCCTCAGTCTTCTCCGTCGATGCAAACTCTTCGCAGACAACGACTTCGTCAGTCTCCAGCTCGCAGATTGGCTGGGACTCGGACGAAGTCTGGAGCTCATCGCGGCCCGTCGCTGCGCCAAGTAACGACGTCAATGGTATAAACAGCTTTGCACCAATCAGCCGTGTCAGCACATTCCCGCAGTACCAGCCGAAGGCATGCCATGACTCTGCTGCCGAGCGTGTCCTTCCTCCTCTGAGGTCGGACTTGCCCGTCCCTGCGGAGCAACGCCAGCATCCTCGCCGTTCGTCAACAGCTTCAGTCCGTCCCCCTCCAGCCCTGGTTCGACAATGTGAACGTAGGGTCAACTTCGTGGACGGTCTAGTCGGTAAGCAGTATTCCTGTTCGTGTATCTGTTGATTCGTTTCATTTGCTAAGACGTTTTTTCCTTTCAAGATTCTGCAACTCAGATGGTCGAATGCATTTGGCCCCTCTCAGTTCCCTCCACCCGCTGCGAGGCAGCTAGTGGCCGTGGTGTCTTGCCTCTCCGGACCTTCATCCAGGAGACTCTTCGCCGATCAAGAACTAGCTATTCGACTCTCCAGGTCGCGCTCTACTATCTGATCCTCATCAAGTCTCATGTCCCGAAGCACGACTTTACCATGCAGCAGCCGGAAGACACTCAGTCATGCCGTGCTCTCCAATGTGGTCGACGCATGTTTCTGGCCGCTCTGATCCTCGCGTCCAAGTATCTGCAAGACCGCAACTACTCTGCTCGTGCTTGGGCCAAGATTTCCGGCTTGAAGGTCTGCGAGATCAACACCAACGAGATGGCATTCCTCACCGCCGTCAACTGGAAGCTTCACATCACCGACCCCACCTGGGAGCGCTGGCAGAAGGTCGTCCTCGACAATACCCCTACCCAACACCCCCCGCCTCCTCCTGGCGCTGGTGCTATCTCCGTGAGCCCGAACATGACCTATTGGCGCGCCATCATTCCCAGCCTGACCCCAGAACTTGACGTGATTGAGCTTCCATCTAAGGTACAAGTCGCTAAGGCCAAGCCCCAAGAGTTCCACATCCGTCCTACTCTGCGCTCTCCCGCCTGGACGGAGGGCTGCTCATCCCAGGAGGCTACGCCAACTCCGTCGCACTACAAGCTTCCGCGATTCTTGGAGCCCAAGCCAGACATGCTCCCTCCTACGCCAACTCTGCCTCGCATGGGCCCCTTGCCAACTCCGAACTTGACTCCCCAATCGATTGCCTCTTCCACTCCTGCTGCGAGTGCTATGGCTTTCGGATCGAGGCGTCCATCCATGTGTGCAGCAATGGCTCAGGCCCAGAGTGCATCTTTGGCTCGCACCTGCATGGACCAATGGTCTGTGAGGAGTGGTTTAGAGGCGTACCAATTCAGTGGCCGACGACCATCGCTTGCTCCGTCAACTACTTCCTCGTCATCGTCCCCCGAGTCTATGATCATGGACACCTCCCGCTCTTCTCGTGCATCTTCGATCTCGTCCGTCTCGTCCACAGGCTGGGCGCCGGTTCAGGCCAAATTGGCTCGACTGGCGACTTGCCGATCCGCGAGACTACCGTACCCGGCCATGCAGAAGACTGTGGAGGTTACCGAGTTCCCTATGGAGCCAATGTCCTCGCCCAATCTAGACCGCTTCCACATCGACGATGTCGATATCAAACAGTTCGACAGCCCGATGACCATGCGTCACACGCTCGAGAAGAAGTCGAACGGCCGAAAGCGTGGCCGATCATCTGTAGATCTACAGAAGAACGTCCGCCACCTGCTCAACACCTCTCACTCGGTGTCCGACATTCGGGGTTCCAACATGGTCTTGCCCGATCGCTCCGCCGCCACCTCATTCCTTCTCCCCGACCCAACTGGCAACAGGACGCCACCCCTGGGATCGCAGTCTCCCATGTCCATGTCGCCAGAACGTCGCGTCCCCATCGAGAAGAACTTTGGCCACAAGCGTGCCTGTGCGACCGAGGCTATGCCCATCTTCCAGCGTGGGCCGGGCGGACCGGGCATGTGGAAGGACGTGTTGTAGCTTAACATCCTCCATACTACACTACCACCAGGCCCTACCATTACCCCTTACCGTGTACATTGATCAAACATCAGTCACAAATTTTCCTTTTTCTTCCTTGTTTTTCTTTCTTCTCTTGCGTGCTGGGAGGGGCCTCTGCGTCTAATACAGCCACATTAACCGGCGTTCTTGGGAAACCCTGCGGAAGGCGGGCTCGGGGAACCGGTACCCCGCGCCTGCCTTCTGCAGGGTTGGGAGCGGCCTGGGTGGGTGCCGGGAAAGGCGATTTATGTACGTTTATTGCGAATAAGAGACGGGGGGGTGGGGGGCTGGTGGGGAGGAGAGATAGTGAATCAGTGAGGGTCTCGGACCTCGTTATAAGTACGCTTTGTTGTGACTGTGACTGCGCGGTGTGATGATGACTTGGGGTAAGTACTTGAAGTTGTGACTGCGCGATGTGAGGACCTCGTTCGTGGGGTCGGGTATATGGGGATAGCGCTGCTGGGGATGTGTGTTTGATGGCGCGATGCTGCTGTGAGGAGGAGCCTGGGTAGGAGGTGGCTGGTCGGTTAATAGGTAGGCTAATTTTCGTGGTGTTGAGCTTAGCGTTGGAGCGATGATTCTGTTTCGAGAGCTACATCTAGGTGAATCAATATTACACTACTATAGATTCCCTTCTTGCGCCCCTGATGGCGCTGTAAGAGGTGCCCTGGGTAGCAGGTGGTTGTTCGGCCAAAAGGTAGCGTGGTTTCTGTGGTGTTGAGCTTGACATTGATGTGACTGTACAGTTTTGAGGGCAGATTGGATATAATACTGCTTAGTATTCTCTCTTGCGCGTCTAATACCGCTGTGAGGAGGAACCCTGGGCGGTAGGTGGTTGTTCGGTCAAAAAGGCGGTGTGGTTTTCGTGGTGTTAAGCTTGACATGGAAGTAATAGACTGTTTTATGGGCTAGGTTTGGGTGAATGGATATCTCTCACTGCTGGACCGATGTGTTTGAGCGCGCGATGTCACCGTGGGGAGAACCCTGGGTACAAGGTGGTCGTGTAGCCAAAATGTAGTGTAGTCTCGGCTGTGTTGGCCTTGACGTCGAAGTAATAGAACTGTTTTAAGGGCTAGATCTCGGCGAATGGATATAACATTGCCGGCGCTTCTCTCTTGCGCACTTGATATCGCTATGACGAGGACCCTGGTAAGCAGGTAGCTAGTTAGCTAACGGGTAGGCCGGTTTCGGTGGTGTTGAGCTTGACATTACAGCGTTTTACAGTTTTGAGGACTGAGTTTGGGTGAATGGATATATCACTGCTTTGGCTTCTTGCTTGCTCGCTCGATAACACCGTGAGGGAGGGCCCTGGGTAGGAGGTAGCTAGTTGGCCAAAAGGTAGGCTGGCTTACGCTGTGTTGATCTTAACCTCGTAACCAGGGGCTTTGTAAAGCCCCTGGGTTCGAAGTTGCACTGCTAGGACTTCCTCTTTATGCGCTCGATAACGCTGTAAGGAGGACCCTGGGTAGTAGATAGTTAGTCCATCAAAGGCTAGCGTAATATGCGCCGCAAGAAACTTTACATCCTGCTCTTTAGCACGTGAATTAGTGCTGGAGACCCTTAAGACTATTAGTAGTGCCGCAGCCCATTTATTACTATAGTTCAATTTAAAGCGTGCGTTGAACGCCGCGGAGTAGTACGAATCGAGTAGTCCTGTCTAGGTCATTGCTAATAGGGTGGTACTCTAGGAGGTCTCCCGGGCGAATTCAAAATCCTGCGTAGAAATGTAAAAGACGCAATACTGCGAATTGTACTGCTGCTGGTGCTACGTTTTTTCTCGTTCCACAGCACTGTAGGGGTTGCCTTACGTGGCAGGTAGTCTTTCAATAAGAAGGTAGTCTAATTGCCGCTATGTTGACCTTAATATCGTGTCCAGGCGTTTGAAAACCCTATGAGTTCGACGTTATACTGCTAAGGCTTCTCTTTTACTCGATTAATAACACTTTGAGGGGTGCCCTAGGTAGTAGGTGGTTGTTCAGCTAAAAGGTAGTCTGAATTCCGGTGTATTGACCTTGACATCGAGTCCTAGGATTGAAAAGCTCATGAGTTTGACATTACACGGCTAGGACTTCCCTCTTGCTCGCTCGACAGCACTGTGTGGAGGGCCTTAGGTAGCAGGTAGTTGGTTGGGGAAAAGGTAGACTTAATTTCGCTATGCTGGTCTTGATATTGTGTCTGGAGGTTAAAAAGGCGGACAACGACTAGCACACGGATGTGATACTGCTGGCGCTTTGGTTTTGATTGCTTGTTACCACTGTGAGGAGGGACCTGGCTAGTAGGTAGTCGGCCGATTAACAGATAGTGTAGTTTCCTTTGTATTGACTTTGACATCGTGTCCGGGGTCTACGAAGTCCGTGAGGTTAGTATAGCACTGCTGGGGCTTCCCTTTTGCTCGCTCAACACCACTCTACGGAGTACCCCAGCTAGAAGGTAGCTAGCTAGTCAAAAGGGAGCGTGGATTCCGCTGTACCAACTTTAACATTGTTTCCGTGGTTCGAAAATGCCTGAAGCATCGATATACCCTTACCTTGGGTCCATTTTTGATCGCTTGACAGCACCGTTACGAGTAGCCCCGCTAGCAAGTGGCTCATCGGTCGAAATCTAACTTGATCTCCACTATATTGATTTTGACATCGTGGCCGGAGTCTTAAAAACCGGGTAGTGATGAATAGATGGGCTTAGGCTGCTTCCTTGCACGCTCGATAACAACGTAAGGAGTAGCCTAGATAGCAAGCGGCTCATCGGTCAAAAGGTAGCTTGGTTCCCGCTGTATTGACTTTAACATGGTGTTCGAGTTGCTGAAAACTCCGCGGAGGTGCCCCAAGCAATAGCAAATGGACGTGCCTAGACTTGAGACAAGACACTGTACGCGTATACCACGATTCGGGCTCCGCTCTTGCTCATTCGACAGCACCGTAAGTAGCACCCTGATTAGCACACAGATAGTCGGTCAATTAACAGTCTAACTCCCGCTATGCCAGATTGACATCGTATCCCCGGTTCTGAAAAGCCTATGGAAACACCTCAAGAAGGGACAGACGCGTGTATCTAGACGTGTTGCAAGATAGTGTACGCGTATACGACGATTCGGGCTTTTTTCTTGCTCGCTCGAAACCACCGCCAGAAGTAGCTCAGCTATCAGGTAGTCGTCTAGCTAAAATGTAGTCTAAATCCCGCGGTGCTGACCTTGACATCGTGTTCGGATTGTGAAAAAGCTCCTAGAGGTACTCCAAGCAGTAGTTAACGCACGTGTCTATTCCATTTCCCTTAGTGTTGATACCCGTCCTGCTTTTCAGAGCATTAGATATACCACTGCCAAGGCTTCCATCTTGCTCGTTCGGTGCCACTGTTAGGAGTAGCTTAGCTGGCATGTAGTCGTTTAGTCGAGAGGTAACTTGGTTCCCATCGCGTTGGCCTTTACATCGTGTTCTCCGCTTTGGTACGCTTGATAGCATCGTAAGGAGTAGCCCGCCTAGCAGGTCGTCGGTCAACCAAGAGGTAATCTGATTTCCACTGGGCTATCCTTCATATCTGTTTGGACGTCCTCGAGCCTATAGAGGTACCATCTTGCTCGCAGATACTGCCGCGTGGAGTACCTCAGCTAGCATATAGCTAGTCAACCAAAAGGTAATCTGGTTCCTATCGCGGTGGCGTTTGCATAGTGTTCTCTGCTTGTGCACGCTGAATAGCACCGTAAGGAGTAGCTCAGCTAGCAGGTCGTCGGTCCGTTCATAGGTAGTCTGACTTCCAAAGTGTTGACCATTACATCGTGTTCTCTGCTTTTCCACGATTGATAGCGCTGTATGAGGTAGCCTAGGTAGCTGGTAGCTGGCCGGCCAAAAGGTAGTCTGATCCCTACTACGTCAGCACAAACATTGTATTCTCCGCTCACACGCTTGACGCCACTGCGAGGAAAGCCTCAACTAGCACATCGCCCATCGGCTAAAAGGTATCTTGATTCGCACTGCATTAACCATGCCATCCTATTCATGGCATTGAAAAGCCCCTAGTACGCCTCGCATCCACCTCAACTCATCAACAACCGACACACGCTCCCCACATTCAACCCCCTCAGATCCGCATAATGCTGCCCAACCCCAAGAAACACAACCGGTATCCCAGTCGCATGCACCATACTGACCAGCGTGCCCACCATATCCCCCACGGTATCGCACTTGCTAATCACGAACCCGTCCAAGCCCCTGCCTGCGCCGAACGAGTTGTTGAAATTCCGCGCTTGCGCGACAGCATCCGACCCCACGAGCGCCTCGCCAACCATGAGTATCTTATCCGGCTTCGCTAGCTTCGCGAATTTCTCGAGGGAGGACATGAGGCGCGCGTCGTTGTGCCGCCGGCCGGCGGTGTCGATCAGTACGACATCGTACTTGTTCTCTTTAGCGAAGGTTACGGCGTCTGCGGCGATGTTGGCGGCGTCTTTGCCGTAGCCCTTCTCGAAGATGTCGACTTCGCCGCCCTCGCGCTTCGATAGCTCCTTGAGATTGCGGACGTGTACGCGGAGTTGTTCGACGGCGCCGGAGCGGAATGTATCAGCGGCGGCGATGAGCACGCGGTGGTGGTTTTGGAGGAGGAAGAAGGCGATTTTGGAGAGGTTGGTAGATTTGCCCACCCCATTGACGCCGACGATGCTGAGGACGTAGGGGCGGTTTGTGGCGGTGACGGTGGTAATTTCGCGGAGGAGGTCGAGGGAGGAGGTTGGGGTAAGGATTTTGGTTAGGGCGCGCTCCATGGCGGTGCGGAGGGTGGACTCGATTGCTAGAGAGGGGATTGAGGTTAGTTTGAGGGTTATGGAGATGGGGGAAAGGGAAAGAGGGAGGACGTACTTGTGAAGCTATTCGTCTTGAGACCGATCAAGTCCCGCTCGACACTGTCACAAAGCCGCACTGCTGCTTCCCGCGCGACGTTCTTCTTGAGAAGGTGGTCTTCCATGCCCTTCAATGGCTTCTCCAGGTCTTCTTTCGTGAGCGTCTTGCCGCCTACGACATTCCTAAATAGTCCTCCAATCGCACCAAGACTCGATCCCACGATCCCACCAGCTGCGGTGGAGTTCTCCTTCTTCGCATTCACAGACGCTATAATCTCGTCCATCTCCTCGTCTAGATCCTTCAGTACGAATTGTCCTTTGCCCGTTGTCCGGCCCCATGATTCAGGGTTTATGGCGTCCGGTAGTTCGAAATCGGCTGGATCGTTTGCTGAGACGGTCGAGTAGTCTAGATTTATAGTGTTGTCCTCTTCGTCTGCGCCGAACTCGTTCCACACTCGGTTCTTCTTTTGCTTTCCGCCCGCTTTGCCTTTTCGCGCGGATGTCTCGTCGCCGGAGGATGCGGGTGCTGAGTTCACGGCAGCCTTCACTTTGCGGTCGCGCCGCGAAGGCTTGCCTCCTGGGCGTGTCTTTCCAGTGAGGATACGCGAGGCGGGAGTAGAGGGACGGGAGGTATCGGGTGTAGGGACGGGAGTGGCATCGGTCGAGGTATCGGGGTTGTATATAGGTTTCTGAGGGGCTGTATTCATAATTAGCATTCATCACCACGCTTCACGATGCCAACCCATACCTTTCCGCAATCCAGGCATTGGCGGTGGTTCCTCAGCTCCATGATCTGTCCCTGAGCTCGACGGAGGCGTGAACTCGGGATTTGACGTGACTTCGAAGGCAGAGCTCATGGATGCGTCGTTCGAGGCTTCAACTCTCTGCATTTCCCGGTCGAAGTAGGGGTCGAATGGAAACTTGACAGTGTCTATCTCCCCTTTGAGCTGCTCCCCATATAGCCCAGTAAACAGCGCCGACACATTGTCTATGAGTTTGTCTATCCATGTCAAGTGGACCAGTGATTGGTATACAGCCTGCCATAAATTTAGCAGATGTTCACAACAATGAACAACAGTCTTGAAGCATTGCTTCTCTATTTCTCACTCACCACGAATATAAGGCCAACATCCTTCGCCAAATTCCACTTCATGATGTACCCATCCTTGCGGTACGTGGGCTTCGTGGTGCCGTCGCCGTACGCGACTTTGTTGGTGCGCTCTTCGATGAGCACCTCGCGGATGAGGCTGTTGATGACATAGCTGTGGACAGGGACATAGGTCCGCGACCAGAGCACGACGCCCGAGGTCGACAGGATCTCGAAGGTGTCGAGCATGGTGGTTGTTTGGGTGGTGGTGGGCTGGTCGGACTGCGGCCGGCCGCACAATGACGAAGGAGCGTTGGGTCGGGAGTGGGTACGGTGATCGGCAGGGTTGTTGCCAGATTGCTGCTGCCGCAAGAACGACAACGACGTGGATTCGATGTCGAGGACGAGCTTCTTCACGGTGACAGCAGAGCAGGGTTTGTATCGATGAAATGGGATGATGGTCATTCATAGGTCGATGGCGTCGCTGTGAGAGATCTCGGATTGACAGCTTGGGCAAGCACCAATTCACAAGTGCGCAGCGAAACAGTTGCGCCTTGAGTGGTATTTCTTTGTATTAATGCCCTCTCATATATCCTGTGAGTCGAATCAATGATGCTCTAAGAGTTGTCCAGCGTGAAAGGCGGGGTTTCAACGTCCTCCAGGAAACTATCCAAAGGAGCACACGTTTTAACTCTACTCGTCATTGTAGTTATAGCACTCTATTTCCCTGTGTCACTGTTCAATTCTAGTATATTCAAGAGCTCTTCATGTCTTTAGCAAATTTACATCCAATGGTCTTAACTATATCTTGCTGATTCGATGAGGAGAGTTCTCAATTTACGTATCCCTCTCTCTCGCTCTCTTTTGAGGAACACGACCCTTGGTCCGTCCCCGGACCCCCGTATTTTCCGAAGATGTCTTTGGCTGGCTGGGTTTGCGGCTCTCCATGACGAGGGCCTCCAACCGAAATATGTGTTGTCAACCTTGGTACTGCTGAAAACACGCACAAGCTTTGAGACCCCGAGGCATATTTTCCCTTCTTCATTCATCAACTTCACAAAACTGCATCTAATACTACCACCACCACCACGTTAGACCAACTTCATATCAATCTCCGAGTATTCATCCCTAAATACCATCACCATGTGCTGGGCAGGCTCCACCCCGTACCCATGTAGCCACGACGTGGTGTGGCAGGCCGATTGCGAGAAAGAATGCCTAGAAGAAGATCGAAAACATTTATCTGTGCCTTTAGAGTGTGATGGACACGGGGAAAAAGGACTTGTTGAGGTGAAGAGGAGTGACGAGAGAGACTCGAAGGAAGTGAGAGAAGCGAGGAGACGTAGGAGTTGAGATGCTATTAGTAGATGCTGTGCTTGCTGGATGCTGCGATCATGATAGGTACTTCTCTTAGTATATGTTCTCATGCCATTTTCTATAGAATCGCAGCGAATTACTAAATGGAATTCTCAAGACATCTCCTCACCAGTCTACCACGCTACGAGCGTGACAATACCCAGCTCGCTCCGGGATATAAGGATTGTATTCTCTTGCGATGTGTCGAGCGGCGCTGAAGAGGCAGAGTGGACTTCAGCTCCCCATGCCAAGAGATGAAACCGCCTATTGAATACAGCTTGAGAGCGCCTACAAAGAGCTCGAAATAGGTTATTGCTCTGATTGAGTGAATTTGAATTGTGTATTAAAAGGAAATTCAAATGCGGTAGGCGCTGATCCGGTTCTGTGACGTGTTGATATAGCGATATGCTCCGTATCGATATCGCAACCTTGTCCCACTTTCACGGTCCTATGGCAGGATGTCAATAGACCGTTTCCCTTTCTATATCTTCATCTAAACTGTTCATGTCGCCTTCATTATTCGGGTTGTGGCTGAGTCTGCTTGTTGTTAATTCTGAAACCTAACAGAATACTACTGCCGGAATGTGGCTTGCTTAATGTCGGCACGTTGCAAAATGTGCCTCATTCTACCTCCATGACTAGAGTAACAGTCAGTGGTTTCATATCTTCGGGACTCATCGCCGCAGTAGCCCAGTTTCATACTAGTCATGTAGTTTAGTCGAAGTATAGTCATCGAAAAAAGGTCAAAGTCGGTTGCGAAACATTCCTCATACTACGCCCGTGACTAGAATCACAGTCAGTCGTTTCATATCCTCGAGACTCATCGCCGCAGTAGCCAAGTTTCATATCAGTCATGTAGCTGGGTTGAGATATAGTCATCGAAAAGCCAAGAAGAGACCGAGCTCAAGGAACTATAAAAACTGCGTCGAGGAGTGTTCCTTCATCATCCACATCCTCACACTACCTACCAACTACAACGAACACACATCCACAAATACCAACTATCGATACATCTCTTCATACTTCTTCAACTCCAGAAAGCTCATCGCTTCGAGTATCTTATTAGCCAGCAAGCCATCACCGAAGAACACCAGTCATCTACGAACTTACGAACTTACTGGTGCTATTTAAGAGTGAGCCCCCCAACAACAGCTAGAGGCCAGAGGCTAATTGTAGATATCAAGAACACCCACTATTCGAAACCAGCTGAAGACCACGATATCATGTCCGGGTATTACACCAACATGCAACTCGACTTAATTTGCATGGTCCATCCGCATATGTGCAGAGATTGCGGCCGAACGATATACGGCGCCACAACCCGGACGTATTGTGAGGCCCACAAGCAAGGAAAGGGGTGCCCCTGTTATAGTGTCCCCTTTGTGGTTGATCCGTTGAGATATGAGGAACGTGACGCTTCGGAGTGTCCTCACTGCAACAAATAGATGGCAGGCATAGGCGGAGGAGAATGGTCAGGTTCGACAGAGTCTGTGCTTAGAGACGTGGAGTGTTCGATCTGGAGACGGATTTGGGGAAGTTTTAAGACTGCAGTGTATTTTGGGTATTCGGACTGTTGCTTGGAAGTGTTTTCTTTTGGTATTGGTTTTATTGTGCTTGGAGAGGTGGAATGCTCGATCGTGAGATAGACTCGGAGGAGTTGCTAGACTGCAGTGTTTCTTGGGTATTTGGATTGTTGCTTGATTGTATTTTTCTTTTGGGTTTGCATTTTTTTCTTCTCATTGCCTGTTTATGACTAGTTAGCTGAGTCAATGGCTCAAGACTGGAGATTTCTCTCGACAAGCATGTGCGAGACCTTATACTCTCCCGCATCCATATTAGTGACAACAAATATTTGCACCGAGATAGATCAAACAACATGCATTTGGTAGTACACAAATCAGCCGCACCTCTCCGTGCAGCACCCCGCGTGTCTATCGCACAATCGAAGGAAATAGGTGGAGCTAGTAGTGTTTTTCTAGTGCTGTACAAGTAGTAGACACGGCATCGCTCCCAGTGCCTTCCATATGAAACCTATCGACCCAGATATCCCCTTATGCCTCCTACACATGATCCCCGGTTTACTTCTTGAAAGGGCTCTTCGCGCCGCCGACGGGTGGGTTGTAGACTAGCTTCCGGGTCTTGATCGTCGACCATTTGTAACTGGGAACTATTAGTTTGAGTTCGGAACAAAGGAAGCTGGGGATTTATTATTACCGCTTGACCCATACGCTGAGACCGAACAGAACACTGGTGACCGCCAACACCTTCCAGCCCATCTTCTTCCGCTCATCTGCCTCGGGTTCTGCGGACCAGTTTAGGAATTCAACAACGTCCTTAGCCATCTGGGAGGTCGACGCGGGTGTGCCGTCTTCGTACTCGACGAGATCATCGTATAGCACACGGGCCATGGCAATGCCGGTTCCTGGGAAGTAGGGGTTGAAGTTCAGGCCTTCGGGGACAACGGCTCCCGCCGGGGGCTCCTCGGGGTATCCAGTCAACAGGTTGAAGATGTAGTCGCAGCCACCATGGCGGGCCTTGACCATCAAGCTCAGATCCGGGGGTAAAGCACCGTTGTTGGCGGCACGAGCAGCCTCGTCGTTCTTGTACGGGCTGGGTAGGTAGTCGGACAGCTTGCCGGGCCGCTTCTCAATCTCGCCCTCGTCATTGGGTTCGGTATCGTATTCGTTCTCCTCCGCCATCGCCTTCGCCTCATCCACGGTCATGGCAACACCGACGAGCGATCGGTAGGGGATACGAGCAAGGGAATGGCAGGAGGCGCAGACTTCGCGATAGACCTGGAAGCCTCGGCGGAGACTGTAGTGCTCAGTCTCAAAATTCGGAATACTCAATTGGGGCACTTACGCTGAGTGATCGTAGGTCTTGGTCCATTTTTTGTGTTCCCATGGATATGCGGTAGGATGGAGACTGTTGGTGACCAGAAAGTCAGTATTCGAGGTTTCCGTCAAATGAAGCCCACGATCCGGTGATCCGCGTATCCGTCCAATTCACTCACCCCTCTTCTGCCGGCGTCATGGCATCGGCACTCATGCCGTACTGATAGTTGTACCATGCTACGGATCCAATGGCGACGGCGAGGGAGCCCCCGCTGAGGGCCTTCGTCCTCCAGGATGAGGCAGCTTCCTCGGCTGAGGAGCTGGATGATGAGGCCGAACGCTAGATGGCCAATGTGTCAGCCCCAGAGTCAATTGGATGCCGCTCAGCTTGAGATGGCACGGTCGAGGCAGCATTGCAGCCGGATGGGATGGACGGGGCGTACCGAAGCTGTTTTGCTGGCGATGTTGCGCGCAGCTGGGCCGACCGAGCGCGCCGAGCGGAGGCACGATCTGGCCAACATGGTGATGTCGAGCTGGCTCAAAGCCGGCAGAGGAGCGGAGAGGGTCAATTGGGGGGTCGGCGGGTCGTGGTGGAGGAGGTGGCTCGGCTTGGAGGTGAGGCGTTGGGTGCACCTTCTCCTTCGCAAGATTCGACGCTGCCGCTACGGTCTTGGCGGTCAGTTCAATGCAGTGCCACTCATTGGCCGACGGCGACCCACCTCAATACCACCGCTGTGTGCTTGTCATCGATTTGGGAGGCGGTCACCAGCTTCATGCATCTCAGGTGTTCCTTTTAGCTTTGTATCTACCGCCTTGCATTCGTGGTTTTGCTCGCCACGACCCGCGACTTCCCGCGATGCAATCTACGACCTTCACTAGCCTCTTGTGCCATCCAAAAGCCTCAAAGCTCGATCATCTCTATCATAACAATGATCTATACTCGCCAGGACCAAATCTGACCACGATTTCCAAAGTATAGTGTCACTGACGCCTATGGTGGCGCCGCAGCGGCGTTTCACGGTGCTCACTTTGCTTTCACCGCCATCATTCGAGCTTCGCCATCCAATATCTACAAATATCATTGAGTGCTTGCGGAGCACAAGGGCGAGTTACATTTATATTTCGTCAGACGAGCTGTCTGTTTTTGTTCGGTACATCCTCCTAGTGGCAGGTAGCCCGCTCTGCTATTGACGGCGGCGATCTGAACTAGAAGCAGGAGGTGATTGAGTTCTCGGTGGCTGAGCTCTTCATTCACATAATTAACTAGCTCGCACGCGAACATGGTATGTGTTCGGTACTCGAAGGTCATACCGGTGTTTCCCTCCCCCGATGCTTTTCGAGAGCTCCGATTCGACCAACTGCAGCAAATATAGCTTCAGCTAACATAAACGGCGTTACCTCAAGCCTTTGTCTTCTTTGTGTGTGTTCGAAGATCAAAGAAGTGCTACACTGCAGGACAGTTGAAGCGGGGCATAACGGCATTGACCCATGAAGCGATTGTGGGACCAGAGAACAAAGCGGTACTTCCTATTGTTGTTCATACCTTTGTATTACACGTATATCATCATATACCTCGAGTCCTCTTGTCTTTCTTCCTGATACTACTAAATTCCGTAATAGTTGACCTATTGCTTGATATACCCTACCAACACTCGTTAATCACTTCAGCACCGCATCAAAATGTTTCCAGTCGTTATTGCACTCATCCTCTTGGCCTTCCAGTTGGCCAACGCTGCGGCTGTTCAGCCTCGACAGGTTGGCGAAACGGTGGTGACCATTACTCAGGTAGTAACTGTCCCAATTCAGACGCCAACGAAGACATCATTCTACACTGTCTTTGAAACCGTCACCGCGTCGCAGAGTTTCTCAAATACTCTCCTTCCTGTAACTCAGATCTCAGACGGCCAGATCCAGGTGCCTCCCGCGCCTACTACCCCATCTGTACCAAGCGGCACTGCTGTCATCAACGGAGGTAGTTCCTCTGTCCTACCTCCAAGCTCCAGCAGCAAGAGCATCGTTGATACGCCAACAGTTGCTGTCCCGTCTTCACGAGCCGGATTTTCCGGGCTTCATTATTCAGCCTCTTCTATCGTCACCCCGTCGGCTCTACCCATTTTCCCTAAGTATACGTGGAAGCCAAGCACCCACTCTTCAAATTCGAGCTACTGTACTGCCTCGAAGACCACTATTACCCCTAGCAACCCGATGGCCAGCAAGCCCGCGCCCAGCAATCCGGCGGCCAGCAATCCAATGGCGTACTCGAGGTTGACTCTCGCCCATAGCTCCAGCCTCGCAAGTGCGATGGTACACCCGTCACCCACGCCGATAAAGCCGCCGGTTGCCACGCAGTCTAGTAATTTCTTCACCATTCTCTACCCCATCCCCAATACCAAGCCTTCGAGTCAGCCGACCGGTTCTTCGAAGCCCATAATCGCTACCAAGCCTACCACACCCATTGCTTCTAGTAGCAAACACCCAGCGACTCCAAATCCAACGCCGGCACACAGTAGCTCTAGCTCCCACAGCACAGCCATAGTCGTTGTCCCCGTCACAGGCAGTGCCCTTGCAAGCCTGATCTCGAAGATGGGTACCCCGGCATCGTCTCCTACGCCTCACCATCCTCGCGACTTCCGTAGGGCGGAGAAATCAGACGCCGTTCTCTTATTGTTCTCGAAAGTGTTTACGAAGAGTCCCAGCTTGGTCAACACGATAAACCTGGAGCCCGTGACGAGCTTATCGACTAAGCCCGCGTCTATATTGTATGAGTGCGGAACACCCATCCAGACCTCGCCAGCTACCGTCATAACGCACATCTCAACTCCTTTTGGCTATGGTCTCTTGGCTCCCACGCCCACTACGCCTTCAAAGGTCTCGTACTCTTTCAAACTGGGTCCTAATTCATCATCGAAGCCCCCTCCACCCCCACCAGCGTCTACTCACCCACCACCCCCTCCTCCACCACCACCGCCACCACCAGCTTCTTCTTCAACTAAGTACCGTGTGTCTGACCTCCCCAAGACTTTCACGAAGCATATAAAGGAGAGGATGGCAGAGCCTACGCCGGCTGTGGGCGCGTTCTCTGGGCTCCACTACTCAGCTTCACCCATCGCAACCCCCTCCAACTGGCTGATTGTGGACGAGAACCCAAGCCCAAGCATCCCCGTCGTCACAAGGTTCGTATTCGCCTCCCCGTCTTCCAAGTCTTCCGTCACTAAGGTGTCAACACAGAAATCCACTCTTAGTACCAGCTTCAGGCCAACCTTAAGTGCAAAGCCAGCTTTCAGCCAAGCCCCGACCTCCAAGAAACCTAATCCCACCCCGGCTTCTTCCTTCTCAAAGCCAAGCTATATCACATGGAGCACGAAGCAAACATCCGCCCCAAAACCTACCACACCTACTATCCCCGCTAAGCCTACCAGCACCAAGAAGCTATGGTGCCCCTACCCAGGCCGGAAGTGCCACGTGCCCTCCCAAAAGCCTAAGCCCAAGGAGACGCGGAGTAGGAGGTGGTGTCCGTATCCTGGGCAAGGCTGCTAGTTTGTGATTGGCCCTTTGCCATCTTTCATCTGACGAGCATATCATCGGCGAGGGCGGTGGTATAGCTCAGCAGCTTCTTTGTTGGAGAGATCAGCGTTTTCTTTCTTAGGTTTTTTTTTGTAGTAAAGTCTATCCCTGCGTGTCGAGAAGCCCCCCGTGCCGAGAAAATCAGCGGGTACATTAACTTTAAGCAACTTAGACCTAGTGCACACGTTGATATCCCCCACATTTTTGTATAAGCTGTCTCCTATAGCCACTCCTAAACACTTAAAACACTTGCCACCTAAAAGCCCTCGGAGCGAGTTACACTATGCTCCGCATCACGTGTTGCGGGGTCGAGCGCCAGGCCTCCCTCTCCAGTTCCTCAATCAAAACGCATGACCTTGTGTTCTAACTGGTTCATAACGGCGTTGGTGTTGGACGAGCCTGGTTATAACCCCCCCTTTTGCTAGATGTAACCCCCCTTTTTGCTGCGTATCACCCCCCCTACATTTAGCCTAGATCCGGCCCGTAGCAACGTTGTTCCACCAATCAGATTCACTCGCTTACCTCTTGTGCAAATCGGAAAGGATGTATACACGAATTGGAAGTGATGTATATACAAATCAGCAAGGCTACACGAATCGGCAAGGCTATACGAATCGGATCGGAAAGGATGTATTCACTCTGTCTACTCTAGCTAGTCTAGAAGCGGAAGGCTCCTAGATGGCCTCCTCTCAATTGCTGATTAAAAGGAACACCGTATACACCATTATACCAAGGTCTTCCACCCCCCTCTCCTTCACTACGAAGAGCCTCCTCCTCAGGAGTAGACAGAGGACCATCCTCAAGGCCTGGTTGACTGTCAGGGACTAAGGAAATAGAGCCCTGAGTCGCTGTGAGTGTGCCTGCTTGTCCAGCGGAGAGGTCCGGTGCTGTATTTGTCAACTGTATAGGATTGTTGCACACTACAATGGCCCGCTCAACCGCCGGTGTGCCTGTAGAGATGCCTGTCATAGTAATTTGGCTGGCCTGTGTCGCAATCTGCATCGATTGAGTTGGCTCCTGTCCACCTACAACACTCTGCCCTTGTTGTGCACGAGTAGTAGTCTTACGAGCTCGCCGGAGATGCGATGTTCCTCCACGTGCCTGGTCCTCTTCCTCTACGGACGCGTGGCGGCTCCAGGGGGGGGGCCGGAGGGGTATAGTGGAGAGGCTGGTGACCGGAGCGGGTCGGCCGTCCTCCCTGCTAGCGTAACCAAGGCGTTCATCTGCTTCTGACAAATTTCAAGGAGCAAATGCTTCAAGGTTAACTGCGCGCAAATTTTGGGTATCGCCAATGTGTAGTCGCAAATTCGTACAGCATCTCTTCACGTCCGGTGAACTAGCGCGGAAACTGAGTCGACCCCTGTAAACCTCCTTTTCTGGGCTAATAGTCAGCTGGCTTGAAGATTCATTGGCTAGGCAGCTGTTAATCCTCCCTAAGGGCGTCCGGAATTGCTACCTTATACGGTAAGTCTGTGGCTTGATTTTAGCGCTAGTTCACCGGACGTAAAGACATGCTGTATATGCAAAGAGAAGCGAGAGTGCGGCGCGGAGAGATTCTGGAAACAGCGAATAGAGAAACTCGCTCGTGGTGGTGAGAACATCGGGGGCTGATCCGTTGCCGAGCGCAAGGACACGAAAGATTCTGGCATCTGCCAATCATGTCGCGGTGCATATTCAGCCTACCGTCGTCGCGACGCCCTTTCTCACCGGACACGGATATAATTAGTGGTTCTCCCCCGCGACAGATCCACATCCACCGAAGTCTGTATTTTCTCCTCGCTAAGCTTTTTATCTTCACGCTTTGCGTAATTCATTATGTCTGCTGAGCTTACTGAGCATGATTGGAATTTGCACAAGCCTGCGATCCAAGCCCTATACCTCACTGAGAATAGAAGCCTTGAAGGATCCGGCGGTGTTATGCAGCATATGTCGGTAGAGTATGGGTTCTATGCCACGTAGGACACTCTCTTCAAGCCTCTGCCTCCAAGACTACTAATAATCCTTTAGAAAAGCCCAATACGTAAGACACTTCGGGATATGGGGTTTTCGTAAGAATAAGAAGAGGGACGTCTGGGAGGCTATTGTACCCAAGGTCATGAAAAGGAAAAGAAATGAAAAAGTGAGTGAGGTCTGGACCGGCATTGAGCGTGTCTCCCTGAAGAAGTTGAGGAAGGAGCTCTCGCGAAATGGCTATGACACAGTATTTCCGCATAGATTTCAAGGTAATCACTATATTCCAAGGCCTCCAGCAGCCAATATTCATTGCTCACACTTTTGCAGGACCAACCCCAAAGACACCCGAAGGAATCCACGTCTGTACCCCTCCGGCTTTGCAAGCAAATACGGCTTTGTTATGCGATCTCCCTTGGTTCCAGTTCCTAGCCATGATTGAGTCCAAAGGTTCGGGTACTACTGGTCTCATTTATATATCCCGCTAACACTGTACTAGTCAAGCCTTACCCAGATCTGGCCGCTGTCGCTATTAACATGGCCAGCCATTCTACCGGCAATACGGTTCTATTAGAACCACAAAGTCTCCAAACAATAGGTCCGATACCCGCAGTACTAGACCAGATCATCTCGACTCTACCAACCTGGGCTACCACTGTGACTCCCGCAACTCAGTCAAACATCATCCGGCACATCCATAATCACCTACGTGCCATAATGCCTGAAGATTCCAATACGGACCCGAACACGGGGAACCAAGAAATAAGAGGCCTGTTCAAGGTGAATGGAAACGTCCAATATCTCAGCCTGGCAGTATATTTAGTCACCAACAATATGTTGGACTCCGAGAAAGTTGCTATAATGGCCAAGCTTTTCCAAGACAAGACCAGTATGCAGCTTCTAAGATCCCTCTTGTCAACGCGGAATTCAACAGTGGAAGCCTTTATAGAAAACCTTTTTTTAGGCGCACTAGAAGCAAGATGCCCTAGGGTTTTACAAGAGTGCATTAATGCAGGAGTGGACCCTAACTCACGGTTACGAGAACGAACCGCTCTACAATATGCTTCGTGCGAGGGTAACATCGAACTGGTACAAATTCTTCTCGATGCCGGTGCAGATGTCAACGCTCTACCAGCGGATACGTATGGAAGAACAGCCCTTCAAGCGGCAGCTATAAACGACAACATCGAACTAGTGCAAATTCTTCTCAATGCCGGTGCAGATGTCAACGCTCTACCAGCGGATAACAATGGAAGAACAGCCCTCCAAGGGGCAGCTGAGGACGGTGACATCAAACTGGTGCAAATGCTTCTCGATGTCGGTGCAGATGTCAACGCTCTACCAGCAGATGAGTGTGGAAGAACGGCTCTCCAAGCGGCAGTTCAGAACGGTAACATTGAACTGGTGCAAATTCTTCTCGATGCCGGTGCAGATGTTAACGCTCTACCAGCGGATAACAATGGAAGAACGGCCCTCCAAGGGGCAGCTGAGGACGGTGACATCGAACTAGTGCAAATGCTTCTCGATGTCGGTGCAGATGTCAACGCTCTACCAGCGGATACGAATGGAAGAACAGCCCTTCAAGGGGCAGCTCAGAACGGTAACATTAAACTGGTACGAGTTCTTCTCGATGCCGGTGTAGATGTTAATGCCTCAGCGGCGAATACTGCTGGGGTGACAGCGCTTCAGGCCGCTGCTATTCATGGCTACATTAGACTTGTTACAATACTTCTCGATGCCGGTGCTAATGTAAATGGCATTAGAGCTTCAAAGGATGGAAGAACCGCTTTGGAAGGAGCTGCTGAACACGGCCGCATAGATACGGTGCAGTTGCTGCTCAATGCTGGTGCTGACCTCAGCGGAGATGGGAATATGCAATACAGAAATGCGGTCCAACTAGCCTCAAAAAACGGTCATTATTCCGTTAAAAAGCTTATCGAGGCCCACTATCAAAGCGACGTTGCAGGACATTGATATTAGAAGAGAATAGTATCGAGGGAGACTGTATGTCTAAGGGTTAGCGTTGATACACAATCGAGTAATTTGCCACGATAAAGATCCGAGAATCCTCTCTAATCGGCGATAAGATGGCTAGTGACAGAACTATCTTTAAGCTTATGTATTTGCCTTTCTGAAGATTTATCGGAAGCGAACGAACGCCTTAATCACGCTAGCAGGGAGGACGGTTGAGCCGCTCCGGCCGCAACCTTGTGAGGTGGCGATTCTGTAGGTGTTCTCAGGGAGTTGACTGGAAGCTTGGCCAAGGGTGAGTTGGATCGCAAGGCCGCGGGGCAGAGGTCGGCCCGCTTGCCAAGATTTCGCACAGCCACAGGCCTAACAGCCACCATAAGTAAGATTACACCGTGATGATTGATTACGTGAGGCGGGGTTGGTCTGCAATAGCCAGAATTGGCAATTGCTTTGACCGGAGGTACCGACCGGGGTGGCGACCTTGCATGAATTTGCGCGCGACAGTAGGCACAAAGCTGATGATGACTTTCTATCATCGGAATAAGGCTCTAAGGCTCGGATAAGACCCTTATATATGTATTGTGAGTAGTAAAAGCTTAATAGTGGTGCTCTAGCGAATTGATATTGTTTTGCCATAAAAGAAGGCTCTGAGCGAATTAGGCGAGAAGGCGACAATGCGAATGTAATTTATAGGTTGAAAAGGTCTTAAATGTTTCACAGCACACTAAGTTATTTATATATAATTTTAGTAGAATTCGACGTGTGCGCAGAGTTACAAAGGGTGCCCGCCGAGTGCATATTCCGGACCCCAACAGCTACGCGAGGCGAGGAACATCAAAACCACCAATTTTCGGTACCTTCGAAGAGCTGCACATAACAAGCTCAGAAGCTAAATACGTTTCCAAGTCGCTAGATGTATCTGTCTGTGCCTCTTGTTAATGATTCTCGCAGAAAGTACATTTATTGGCCCATGTTGGGTGGTGCGAAGCAAGTTTCGAGATTTGGGTGAGGTGCTTACGTAACCGGAATATGCTCTCGGCAGCACCCTTTGTATAGTTTGCTTGAAGTTAAAGTCCCCTCCATATTTTCCGGCACAGTGGGTTTTCCGCGACCTAGGGAGGGACGTTATACTAGGAAGTCATTACCAGCCTTGTGGCGGCTATCGCACCCAAATTCATGCAAGTTCGCCACCCTGGTCGGTACTTCCGATTGAAACACTTACCAACCACGGCTAGTGCAAAACGACCCCGCACGTCCTACATAATCATCGTGGTGTAATTTACACATGTCATCTCGTAAGCCAAGCTTGTGGCGTCTGCCAGGCTTGTGGCTATGTACATTAAGCCAATTTGAAGTTGTCATTGTGCACCTCCGCTATGTGAGCTACAGTACGTCCTTTGTATTTTATCAAGATAGCTGATGACGAGTAGGTGCCATCGCAGAAGTTCGCACGTCAACACGGTATCGGCGACCAGTATTTACTTGGGGCAGATAGCACGTCGAGTTTCAGTCACTTGCATAATTAGCTTCTAGTTTTGATACGACATGGAATGATTTACCCCGCACGACCCCTCTCGTGCTTGGCATGAGGCTGTTCTCAATTCGCCGTCATCGAAAGCATGACAAGTCAATTAGATCAAGCTATTCCTCCCTCTTTGTAACTATTCTAGTTTGTAGCCCTAATGTTACATCTCCAACATGAACATGAAGTCTATCAAAACAGAGATTATCAACACCACGAAGCAAATCGCTGATTTGGCCGACTGGCTCATCTTCCACCATGCACCGTCAGTTCCGTACTCGTACTCGCCAACCATGTACATCGACCTTGAAGGCGTAGACCTCTGTCGGGAGGGCTCCCTTTCCATCCTCACCCTTCTAATAGACACGGGCATCCCGACCGGGCGCGTCTACCTCATCGATGTGCACACGCTAGGCGCACAAACGTTCACCACCGCCGGTGCCGAGCGGAAGACGCTAAAGGATATCCTCCAGGACGACAAGATCCCAAAGGTCTTCTTCGACGTGCGCAACGATTCAGATGCCCTGTTTGCGCATTTCGGCGTGGCGTTGCAGGGGGTCGAGGACGTCCAGCTTATGGAGAGTGCGACGAGGAAGACCACGCCGTCTAGGAGGTTTCTGAGCAGCCTGACGAAATGTGTGGAGAACAACTTCCTCATGTCCTTTGGTAACAGCGGCGTAAGCTGGAAGCTGGCTAAGGAGAAAGGCGAGCGATTGTTCAAGGCCGAACATGGCGGCTCGTATGCCGTTTTCAACCAGCGCCCAATCCCAGAGGAAATAATTTCTTACTGTGTCGGTGATGTCCAGTGCCTTCCTGAGTTGCGGCATAGGTTCTGTAGTCTGCGGGCCTATCAGTGGCAAGATCTAGTACGTGAAGAATCTAAGAAGCGCGTCGTAGCGTCTCAGAGATCGGACTACCAGCCCCACGGCCCAGACATGGCGATGGCTCCGTGGACCGAAGAACAGAACATCATCTTGGATCAGTGGAATTATGTGCCCTCTCCTCGCAATGACTTCGATGGGTCTGATGGGTACGATGATGGGTACGATGATTGGTACGATGACGGTCCGACTAGCTGTAGGGACATCATCCACGACTGCGACTACGACTATTACTATTCCGACTGAGCCTCGTGAACTGGTTACCATGTGCTGGACGCTTAGGACCTATGTTAGGATACTACTCGTCAGAAAACATGTAAAGGAAATCTTGCGTTGTATTTCATGCAACTGGGGTACGATCGAGAGCAGGATCGGCAGCGTTGTCCCCTTCCCTAATTGCGACGTTGTAAAGCGCATGTGAAGGCGGATATGACGACCAGACGCAGTTGTTCTTATTTCAAATACCTTTACAGGACTGCTTTCGAAGGGATGTTAGTCTTACAATTTTTTTCCCCCACACTCCATTATCAATCTGTCCTGTACATTTCTCGCCGTCTGCGCATATGATGCCAAATCCCACTCCCGCTCCATATCCTTCCCCTCCGGCCCACCATCAAATACCTCATACGAGAACCAACCTCTGAATCCTGTTCTCAGGACCCCCTTTGCCACCTCCACAATGGGTAGGTAGCCGCCATTATACGGGAGCGGTCTAAAGTCATGGCTCCAGCGCCCCCTGGGCCTTAATCCGCTCTCATCTGGCGAGGAATCGAGAGGGCGGGGCACCTTATACGCGTCCGAGATTTGCAGCAAGTATATCTTGTTTTTCGGTATTGTGTTGCCCAGATCCATCATGCTCTTGTGGAACTTCCCCTCGAGCTCTTCGCGGGGTACGGACTCGATGATGCCCGAGGACGTTGTTGGGTCTGCCCACTCGCCCCCAGCAGTCTGGAAAGTGTCGAGGCATAGGCCGATGTTGGGACGGTCTACGGCTTCCACTATCTCCCAGCAGTCGCGCCAGTTAGGCGCGTGGGAGGACCAACACCAGTTCTCGTATGCGAGGCGGAAGTTGTGGGCGGCGAGGAGGTCGGCGAGGTGGCAGAGATCGGGGATGATGCGGCTCTTGTCGAGCTTCTCGATGGGAGTATCTGTGGAGCCGACCTGGACATTCACCGTCAGTCTAGGTATCCGTGGTAGTGGGTAGGATGATTATACCTGCAGAGTATCGCACCCACAAGCCTGCATGATTCTGATCCATCCTGCCGCCCGTTCTAGGGCGTCTTTATGCCCCTCGGAATCTTGCGGCCATCCCTCGTAATTGGCGAAGGGTTGTAGCAACATGATCTTGAGGTTCCGCTCCTTGCACATGTCCTTTATCTCCGCAGCAACCTTCTCGAGCTCATTGTAGCTGTCGGGCTTGACCTCATGACCTAGGTGTAGCTTGCCGAAGGAGAGAATATCGGGAAAGGAGAGCTCGATGCCTTTGAAGCCGGCTTTGGAGAGGGCGTCAAGTTTCTCGGGGAGAGGAGTGGAGGAGTTGCCAATGGAGCACGACGCGTAACTGATGGGGATATTCGTGAGGGTTGCGAGGTCGATTGACATGGTTGCGATTCTGTACTGTCAGATCAGTGTGCGTACAATGTTAGTAGACTGAATATAGGTCAATTGAAGTTAGATGTGTTGTGAGTGGGTAATCTTCAATAGCCCCTCGGTGACGTCGAGGGTGCGTAGTGTCCAAAAATTTGAAGCCGCGTCCGGCCGGTAGCGCTCCCCGTGAAAGGAAATGTTGACAATGTCGTGGTATAGAGCCAGCTATCTAGTCCCCAACTTTGCTCGGATCCGCTGTGTGATGATGACGGGGAGGTTCCTCCGGAGCAAGGGATGCTGACAATGCCGTGGAAGGGACATCTGGGGCAGTCCGGGACGGTGGGCCACAGTTCGTGCCTGTCTGACATTGCAGATTGCGTGCATAGACGAGTAGCAAGGGTGCGGCGAGACGGTCAAGATGCGGCGAGGAAGTTCGCAAACCTGCGTCGTGACAGCAGTTTCAATCGAGACTTCTTTACCGTCTGGGCGCCACCAACAGATTGGCAGTGACGGTGATTAGTTCTTTGAGACAACGCGTGTGATTCTGGTGCTGGGCAATAGTGGCCTTGCATTGGGGCTGAATAGGGCAGTGAGACGTCTCTCTGGCAATTGGAGTAATCAAGTGGCGTGGGATGATTTCTGCTGCAAAGATTTCGCAGGGCGTGCAACCTCCGCTGGGCAAACCCTGGTCCGGATCCGATGAGGAACGGACTCGCCCACCACTGACAACCAATGGAAACATAAGCCGCCATCGGAGTCAAAGGTTGTTTCTCGACTCATAAATACCTTCACGCCCTCTACAGCTCTCAGCTAACCTTCTAGACGTGCAACCGATACCCCGTTGAGCAATTGTCTTCTGTTCTTGCTCATAGCACGCCATCATGTCTGTCAGTACACCCCCGGAGCTCTCTCTGGCCTGCGTCATGCTCGGAAGTTACTGACAGCCACTCTCATAGTTCTACATAGAAAACAAGTCCGTAGGCGACAAGGAGAACTCGGAAGATTGGCGCATTCGAGGCTACAACCCTCTGACCCCTCCCGACTTGCTGCAACACGAGATCCCCCAGTCCGACAAGTCGAAGCAAACCGTCATCACCTCCCGCAATGAAGCCGTCGAGATCGTGCAAGGCCGCGACTCGAGGCAGCGCCTCCTCGTCGTTGTCGGTCCCTGCTCGATACACGACCCGCAAGCTGCGCTGGACTACTGTGACCGTCTGCTCAAGTTGAAGGAGCAGCACAAAGATGACCTGCTCATCGTCATGCGCTCCTACCTCGAGAAACCCCGAACGACCGTCGGCTGGAAGGGGCTGATCAATGACCCGGACATTGACAACACCTTCAAGATCAACAAGGGCTTGAGGATATCGAGACAGTTGTTTGTTGATCTGACGGAAAGGGGCATGCCGCTGGCGAGCGAGATGCTGGATACAATCTCGCCGCAGTTCCTAGCAGATCTGCTGAGTGTTGGTGCGATCGGTGCGAGGACGACGGAAAGCCAGCTTCATCGCGAGCTGGCATCTGGTCTCTCCTTCCCGGTGGGCTTCAAGAACGGAACCGACGGCAGCCTCGATGTGGCCATCGATGCCATTGGCGCAGTCAGGCATCCCCATCATTTTCTCTCGGTCACAAAGCCCGGTGTAGTCGCCATTGTCGGTACTGTGGGTAATGAGGATTGCTTCGTTATTCTAAGAGGCGGCAAGAAGGGAACAAATTACGACGCCAAGAGCATCGCTGAGTCGCGAGAGAAACTGGGGCAGAAGGGCCTCAATGCACGATTGATGGTCGACTGCAGTCATGGCAATTCGGAGAAGAACCACGCAAATCAGCCCAAGGTTGCGCGCGTGTTGGCAGAGCAGATTGCTGCTGGCGAGACTGGCATCATGGGGGCGATGATAGAGAGCAACATCAACGAGGGTGAGTTGTCCTGTGGCAAAAGACTTTCAGGGGCTGTGCTAACACATTGCAGGCAACCAAAAGGTACCCAAAGAAGGCAAAGAAGGCCTCAAGTATGGCGTGAGCATCACTGACGCATGCATCAACTGGGAGGACACCGAGAAGACCCTTCAGGAGCTTGCAACAGCTGTGCAAAAGAGACGGGAGGTCCTAGGCGTCAATGGACATGCATAGGAGTTTCCTTGATTCTTGTCACTTCTTCTCGTTGCGGGAGATATGGTGGGCGTCCGGCGTCGGCAATGCCGAATACCAAAAGTTCTTTGCATTCTCAGGCCCGGTACAGGTTTTGGCACTTAGAAGGCTAGCATGTGATGGCGGATAATGATATCGACGAGCAAAACACGAGGGCGATAGACGTGCATGCGTAGCATCCATTTGGGATGGCAAAAGTACCAAACGATTCCTCTTTCCGTTCCGGCATTTTCTCGATTCATTCGTGCCAACGCGATCATCTTTCAAACTCGTACACACTCTCGGCGATTCGATTACAATGATCAGATGGTTCATCTTGCAGGGGAAAGCATCTGCATGCTGTGCATCGCCGACATATCTCACCGGTCAGCACTCAGACCGGGGTCTTGGCAAATCATGAACGGAATCAGCATATGTGTCCATCACTCTACAGCAGTCTACGCATGCACCAATATCAATCAGGAAACCGGTAGCGAAAATAAAGTCCGGGTGACAGGAGCAGTGCAACTTCCAGCTGATGTTGCAGTTATTCAGACGTGGTGTTTCACTTTGTGTCACGATCTGAAGAGCACGCAGCCTACCACGATGGTACGTACCTAGAGGCCCCAGCATCATCCACCTCACCAATACCGATCCAGCAGGCAATGGCGAGAGCCCAACGCGGCTGGATGGGTAAAGCGGTAATCATCGCCTTCTGTCGTAGTGATGCGCGATCAAAATATGGTTCTCTTAAGTTGAGTTACTTCACACTGATTATTGGCAGCGTTGAGCACGCGCGTACATCCTCCGCCTACACCAATACTAATCCGGCAAGCAAGGGGGACGGAAAAGCCATCGCCAACGTGCAAGACACCGACTTTTCTCACCTCTATTGCGAGCAGCGATCTACCCATGCTTCAGTGTGCGGCATCTATGGGGATCCTCGGCATCCTCCGATCAACATCAAACGGGAAGCTAGTAGCGAGGACCGACACCAGGTAGAATGGGTCGAGTGCCTGTGCCACCGAACGCTGTAGCGATCAAAACGTGGTGTCTCAGTTGGTCTTACGATTCACTGGTCCCTCAGCAGGCTGGTGGCTGCGGGCCGCGTCGCTGGTGGCATCGTCCCCAGAGCGACCGTCGTCTCCGTGCAGACGGGAAACCCTCGAAGTCCCTTGCACGGCGCATACTAGGTGGCGAAAGCCCTGCGCCGGCCGCCTATTGGAAGCATGAGCCAGACTGTTTGCGACGACACGCAGATGCAGAGCTTGGCATCATCAAGGGGACCCAAGCTGGTCCACCAGTGCCGGCCGTGGACAACCAACGAAACGCGATGCGAAGCCTCGAATCGACCCGAGATCATGACTGAAGCGACGTTGTTGCAGGCTGAAGCGAGCTAAGAGTAGTTCACCGATCCATGCCTACGCGCCGGGGCTCCGGAATTGGAAAGTGGCAAATCCTGGCAAAGGCGCGGGGAGACACAGGAAGGGTCTGACCGCGGAGTTGAAACACCACTGTGTGGTCTGGTGGTGTAGCTCTTTGTGGTCCAGTGAAATGTTCCATAGGACCCATGCGAATCGAGAGCGAACGTGCTTCGAATCCGCTGCACACTGCGAGCACCACCAACAGGATCGCCCAGCGCGACTCGCCCATCTTTCATGATATCATATAGTTCGCTAATGAGTGTAGGTCTATTTTCTAATCTTGCAGTGTGGAGACCAAGTCCAGCTGCGCTAGGGATGCTGCACGCTCAGGAGTGCATACTGCATGCATGGTCCGGTCAACGAGGTAGCCAAGGCTGCCCACGAGACAGGACCCCCGCAAATAGCACAGCCGTTGGCGCAGGCTGATCCACTCACCGACTAGCATGGCAACCATTCCATATTCCATATCGTTAGAGCGAGCGGGCTGCGCCGAGCTCAACCGCCTCTACGCTCTCCTTGGAGCGATTCCTAACCCTCACTGGATGGTACAGAAACGCCGCAAACGCATGCGTGAACACTGACGCGGAGATTCCTGAAGTCATCACTGCATTATCAGGTCTGCTTTTACTGCCGATACTACACGCTCAAGGTCTCACCGCCGCATCTTTGGCCCGATTCTTGCGTCCGAAGAATGTCTGCTAATCTAACCCAGGTGTCGAATAGCCGTGGCTATCTGGGCTTGTGCAGGGGTTCTCAACCCTACATTCACCTTGAAAGCCGCGCACAAGCCCAGTCGCTACACTGCCGCCCGTCATCCGGCAGTCGCTCTCAGACCGCCAGCAGCTCTCAATTGGATCTCATGTGCCCACGTTGCCATCGCTCCACAGCAATGGATGCCCCTTAGAGCTATCAGATCACAAGCAGGCCCTCAAGACGGCATTGCCTTCCCCGGAGTTTGCAGCCAGACGGCACAGCGAAATTCACGCGACCGTTGGGACATGCGCTACTGCAACTGAAAGTATCTAGTTGACGCCGCAGTCAATCGGTCGAGCTTGCCCGAGATCACTCAAAGTTACACGAGACTGTATATCAAGACCTCGACACAGGGGCGCAGCTCGCCCGCTCTTTACGATTTGAATGACTTTCCCCCACGAGGCTCTGTGAGATGCAACCCGGATGATCGAATTGGGAATGATGTCCGCGTCGCACAACCTCAAATACAGCCTTTCCCACAACAGCCGCCCAGTATGTCAGCTGCATCGGATCTACACGTCCAATTGCTTCAAGCGGCGCACAATTCCTACGCTTGCTCTGGATCTTACTACATCGCAACTCATTTTTAAAAATGTTGAAACATGCCAACCCCAAAAATACCGCGAGAGGGTGTGTGCACGGGGAACTAATGTCAACAGCACATACGCGCCCATCTTACCACACATTACAGAAGCAATGTGAAACACGATCTAGAAGATTTAAACTTCAAAAGAACACAATCGAGTTCCTAAATATGAAATCTCGCGGCGGCCCCTGGGACGCAACTACGTGCAGACTGCATGCAGCGCCGACCCAAAAGTCCGCCAGCAAGAACGCAGAATGTCTATGGTTGCCTTCTATCTACGCCGGGCAAGGGTCTGTAGGCAGTAAACCCGTTGCCTTTTGGGCGGTTCGCACTTCTGCAACGGCTTGGCATACCCGCGTTTAAAGGATCCAGGAGCGGCACCGTTGCCGAGCGTGTGATATCCGCCACCGACTCTCCCTCCTTTCGGACCCCAGCACCACATCCACGTACACCAGGGGGTTTTTCCTTTGTGGACGTCAACAACCGCTCGTTTAAATATCTTTACCTTCCCTCTCTTCAAAGCACCATCCTAATCGTAGTGATTGTTCCCATCCTCCCCTATTCGTTACTCTTTACTTAATCTTTTCTCTTAACATCGCTCACTTTGTTCGACTAACTCGATTACGCTTGTACACGAGCAGACAGCTGGGCTGCGAACCGTTCCTTGCAAACTGCTCCCCCTAATATCACCACTACGATCGTTCCGGGGCTGCTTTCCGCTAGTCTCTGTCATCATCCTTTCGGCGTCCGCTCTTCTGATACCACAAACTACACTTGGCCATGTCGTCCAACGTCTCGGTTATGCCAGACATCCAACGATACGACGACCACTACGAGGCAAACCGTGCTCCCTCACCAGTTCCAAAGAAAGTCGACTCATGGGACGTCAAATACGCCGGCGGCGGTTGCGAAGATCTGACGGCCCGGGGACTAGACGAGTACCCTGCGTCTCTCGAGGAGTGTGACGATTATAGCTGCGGGTCGGCCCCAATTACACACGATGATCCTCCTCTGTCTCCACCTTCCAGCAACACTGGAACACCATCGCGTCCGGTCGCACAGCAAATGGGCCAGATGACTCTTACTCCGGATGATACTCCCGAGAGCCAAAGGGTCCGCCCATGGCAGCCGTTTACACCAGAGGCAATCCGGAACCGACAAATGTTTTACCCAAATTGTGGACGCAGCGAGAGGCACTCTCTGAGTTCCAGTATGCCGTTTTTGTTCTCGTTCTAGGCTGATCGCGCCGTGCTGACTATATCTTAGAAAGTGACACAAGCGGCCGATCGTATTATCCTGCTCGCGAGCAGCTGTCTCCTTCTCCCCAACCTGGCTTCCATCGCCAATACCGCAGCGACGCGTCTGAAATCTCCGACCACACTGGCGCCGGCGCCAACAACCACCACAGCGACAGTGGTGATGTCTACTACACGCCCAGTCAGTCTCCTAGTCATAGCCCTTATCAGGCCTCGGTCCAGAGCCGAAACCTCACGCATGACGAGGGAAAAGACAAGCCTGGCTTCCACCTTTCGGCGCCTCGCATTCCGCAGAAGCCATTTCCATTCAGCGTATATGACCCCTACGACCAGCAGTACGTTCCGAAGGCCATCAACAAGTACGATCAGGAGTGGACGACGCGAGAGTAGTAATACCGGCCGCTTCGAGTCTAATGACTGACGTTCATTCACGACCGACGGCTTATGCGACACTGTATCATGGCCCCATAGACGCCTTCCTGCGAAAATCTGGCTGATCGCTCGTCTCCGTGCCTTGGCCTAATGATTTGCGCAACCTTAGTACTCTCTTTGTCTGATTGTTTCTTGTATTGCGCCTCTCATTCTTGATCTTGTATCACCACCTTCCTCTTTTCTATCGCTTCATTACTAGCACCTCCTTTATGTAGTTTTCTTCGACTTCCATCGGCGTTCCAACATCCTCTGCAGGCCTTTCTTCCCTTTGATTTCCTTCGATCGGAGGCCGGCTCCTCTAATCAGGGTCTCGCATCGCGTTGGTAGGAGAGAAGGGTTGGGACAGTCTTGTTACGTTATTAGACGGACTAGTGACTGGTCAGCTTTGTACTATTTGTTTTTTTCATTCGATTTCCTAATCTTGCTGCCCAAACGAAAATCCCAAAACATAGGTGATTGATGCTGGAGCACTGTACTGTACCCCCTTCTTGTATTCTTCCTTTTGCATGTTTTTCGTCGCGCGTAATCGTAAAACATACTGTAAAACATACTTTTCATCCTGTTTTCAACTATATTTGCTAGTCGCTGTATTTGTTGTCTTCTCGTAATGTATTCGTACGTTCTTCGATTGGGGATCTGGCATCCCCGTACTCATTTTCGATCTCTACATTTGCGCAATGACTCTAACGTGTGATGGCTCTCTCATGAAGCGTCTTTGAGGTCGCATAGCTACAAGGCTAGTAGAAGGCGCAACAGTGAAGGAGGGTTGAATGTCTATCAGGAAACAAACGGCTTGCTTTCGAACTTCCTAGCAGCGACAAAGGCACAATGTAGAGTGCAGGAGATCAAGCAGAGTGCAGGAAATCAAGCAGAGTGCAGGAGATCAAGCAGAGATAAGAGCTGAAGGGCACCATCACCACGACAGCTGTGCCACCCGCACAATCTGCAGGCCGAGCGGGGCCGCTGTCGCATTGAGACGTGGCTGCATGAGATGGGCCACTGATCATCGAAGATTTATCCCACTTCAATATCATACTTCAGCCACCTATAATTCTCATCTATCGTAAAACGCGTGCATATGTTCATCGCTGCTATCAAGGTGGTGGTCGTATTCGATGTTTGGTGTTGAAGTGTCGGCAGCCATTCATAGGCCATTCGGCTGGCGACCCGCGCTTGATCCTCCCGCTGTTCGGCAACTTCGGCAGGGGCATCGAAGCGTCATCTGGCCTATCCCTGTACACCTCGAAGATTTTTTGACGTCTTCTGCTGCGAGGGGTTCTGATTTTGTTACTTGCGTTGTGTCTGTCTTGAAGGTTCACAATGGCTAAGCTATCTGGCCTGCAACGAGATGTACTAGCGCTCTACCGCCAATGCCTGAGGGCGGCGAGAGCGAAGCCTGCTGTAAGTACTTGGAGGCATCACCGCTTCACCATTTTCATCGAGGCATCAAGCTAAATAAAATCCAGGAAACTCGAAAGAACTTTGAAGACTTTGCGCGGTTCGTATTCATCTCTTTAAGTTGTGAGATGGATTCGATTGCTCAGCTTCCACAGAAAAGAATTCCGGGAACACATCCACCTCAACAAGAAAGACTTCTCGACAATTGAGTACATGCTTCGCCGCGGCAATCGGCAACTCGAAATCTACGCCGATCCGGGTATCACGAACATCTCTCGCTGATGGGCTCGATGGCATCTCCAGACGGGGGCGGCAAAACACGGGGCAGCGAATAGGGGTGTGCAGACAGCCGCTGTCCTCACGAGGCGCCACAGCGGTTGAGTGCATGGTTTGGCACGATGAGGGTGTGGTCCTGCACTCCGCGTTTCATGTTTGGCATCCCAGAATCCCACGCGGGCGTGGTGGTTAGGTGATAGGGGTCACGTGATATGCGGAAACTTCGAGAACATGCTGGAGGTGGCGAGATGGTTCGTCAACAAAGCAATCCAAAAGTAGTCAGAGGAATATTCTGGTTGGTTGGAGCAAACTCCGGGCCCCGCGTTGGCATGACTTCTACTGGCTACCACGAAGCTGGTGTTTGCCTGGGATGAGAAAGTAGACGGATATGGCAACATCGTGAGATTTCTCGCGCTTTCCAGACCCCTCACGATATTTCGCCATGCTTACGTCACTAGATTACCAGGCAGCGCTCGTACTTTCCAGAAAGCCTACCTCGAGTATATAACCACCCAGCTCTCACCCTTCAACTCCTCCTCATCAAAATCAAGTTCTCTCATGCAATCAATCCGAGCAGCAACTCCAACACTCAAAGTCATTACCAAACGAGCACTCCCACTCCGAACATCACCAACAACCCGCAAAATGTCTCTCTTCCGCCCCTTCTTCAACACCACCAACTCCCATCAAAACGACCTCTTCTCCCTCCTCAACCTTCTCGAGGAGCCAGTCAACCGCCCGCAGTCCCTGCGCCGCCGTCTCGCCGAGACCCAAACCTTGACCTTCGCTCCCAAGTTCGACATCAAGGAAACCAAGACCGGCTACGAGCTCCATGGCGAACTCCCCGGCATCGAGCAGAAGAACATCGAGATCGAGTGGTCCGAGGGCAACGTCTTGAGCATCCACGGCCGCACCGAGTACAACCGCAGCGAGGGCGACGCCTCGGAGAAAGTCCAGGAAGAGGGCTGGGAGACCGCCGAAGCCCAGGAGCACGAATCCGAGAACGGCTCTGAATCGCACTACCACAAGGCGACTGTCGAGGACGCCGCCGACCCGGCTGACTCGAGCACTGCCCCTGCTGCTACCGAGACCGAGAAGACGGAGGTCGCGAAGACACCGGCTGCAGAGGTCGCGGCGCAGAAGCCGAAGCCGCAGCCGACTTCCAGGTACTGGATCACCGAGCGCTCGGTTGGCGAGTTCCATCGCTCGTTCAGCTTCCCGACGCTGGTTGACCAGGAGAATGTGAAGGCGAGCCTCAAGAATGGTGTCCTGAGTGTCTTCATCCCGAAGAAGGCGAAGCAGCAGGTTCGCCGCATTCAAGTCGAGTAAAGGATGGATGGATGGATGAGGTAGTTGGTTCGCCACACTCCACGATCCTCTTGTCTTCTACTTCTTTTCTTTCCAAACACAACCTCAACCCACCAAAAAAACATCGGCATCTGAAGGTTCAACGGCGTAGCGGATGGAGTCTACCGATGGGTCTTATCTGAAGTTTTCTTCGACTGTTCACTCCTTTCTTTTCTTCTACTACTTCTTCATTGCGGTGGTTGAGTATCAGATTGGACGATGGTGACGATGGTGGAGAACATGGAGTTAGGAAGTCCTGATGGATATAATTGAATGAAATCAGTCTCAAACAAAAACGTGTCTTACGGTGAATGTGAATGTGAATGTGAATGTGAATGTGAATGTGAATGACTTGAGAATACGCTCGTCATACTTCGAGGTTACCTTCGACTGCTCTGAGCTCTTTCATTCAATCATTCGATCCTCCCGCAAGGCCACATGCCAGGTTGGAAGGTGGATATGAGTTTTCAACGAGAGCTTGATGACCTTTTAGCAGCATTGATACATGGATATAATAACTAAACACAAACTAAGCCTGTATCTAGCCCATCACAAGTTTGTCACCGTTCAGCTTCCTATTAATACGTCCCACCAACCCCATCCCTTTAACTCCCCTTGCTCACTCATCCTACCCCTACCCCTACCCCGGGTATCCCTCACAGCCCCGCCATCCTCCTCCACCCCACATTATTCACAATCCGCCCCTCCCCTTCGACCCCCTTCCCACCCAACGCCTCCCCCTTCGACGCCGCCAACTCCGTCAACACCCTCCCCAGCTCCCTCGACGGCGCGTGCAAGCTCGGATACAGCGCCTTGATGCCGGTCCACACGGGCTTCTGCCACGCCGCGTACGGCGCCGCGAACTCGAGGATCTCGGTATGCGCGCGCGGGTCCACGCCGCCGGGCCGCACGCTGTAGGGGCGGAAGTTGGGGTTGGAGGCGTTGAGGGCGAGCAGCGTGGTCTCGGCTTGGCCTTTGATCTTGCCGAAGACTTCAGGTGGTAAGAACGTTAGCAAAATCATTCAGAACCAGAGTGCGGAAACCGTGATTGATTTTGTTGTAACAGGGACTGTTGCGTGAGACACTTCATCAGGGGATTCTAAGACATCACTGTGGTTGTCTCGAAATACTCCCTGAGTAGTCTTTCAAACAGAGATTGCTGGGGCGGCTTTTTTATCTGTGTCGCGGGCTTACGTACAGGACGTCAGCATGCCGGGAGCGGTGGTGGCGCCTTCGCCCGAGACGTAGACGAAAGTGAAGGGGGTGGTGGGGTGCAGGGTGGAGAAGGCGGTGGCGGCCGCGAGGGGGTAGTCGATTGTGATTTTGATGTATTCGCTAATATACACACAGGGCAGTCAGTTTCGAGGTGTCTCTAGTAGGAGGGTAAGAGGGCTGCAGTACGGTTTCGAGACTTTCATCGCGGAGATGCCTTGGGCCCAGACGCAGCCATGCGCGTCCTTTAGTTGGTCGAGGAGCTCGGGCGGGTAGGATTCGAAGTCCTTGTGGATGATGACTTTGGCTTTGTCTTCGTGGCCTGCGATCATGGGCACGGGGCGGCGGCTGAGGATGGAGATCTTGGTCACGGATTCCATTGTGAGCATGTTTTGGAGGACGGCGGAGCCGACGAGGCCGGTTGCGCCTGTGAGGATGAGATGCATTGTGGAAAAGCTCTGAAAGTGAGTAGCTGATAGCTGATTGTTAGTTGGAAAACAGTGGTTAGTTGAGGTAGCTGTTAGTTTTATGGTGTCGCTGGGTATGAGACGGGACAATAGCGGAGGAAATGTTCTAGGTTAACTCCGGAGTCTGACGCTTTTCGTGATCGCGAGGAGATACAGATGCTCTATAGCCGCCTCGAGTCAGCGGCGTGCATATAGAGTTCGTCCGTAATGGAGACATTGGTAACGGCAAGGAGGTGTCTTCGTGTGGAGTGGAGTGTTGTCGTGCGTGCAGGTGGCTCAGGGAGTAACTCGCAGGGCTGAAGACTTCGGCGCTTTGACATCACCTACTCCAACCTCTTCATCGTCCAGCCTGAATGAGCTCGAATCTGAAAGCGATGATGAAAGATGGCAGCCCAACGTTGACGATAGAACCTCGTCTTAACACTCGCAGCTATGGAAGATCCTTCCCCCGGAGAGCCGGAGAGCAAGGGCAAGTCACCTGTTTTTTGCCTCGCCATGAACCCTGCGACGGGACGACGGGACGACGCATACGCGTTTTGCATCGCCACAAAATGCCTTCGAATTCTTTCTTTCCCCCTTTCTCAATACGGTCCTTGCCATGTTTTCTTCCTTGTATTCTTTGTAGTACTACTCAGTTCTCCATCTCTTCAAGCTACGAACCTTCAAGCCTAGAAATATATTTTTTACATCATCCTATACTTGAGCCACAATGTCAGCCGCGGAGCGGGTACTAACGGATCCAATATTCGTCTTGAAGATTCTCAAAACGCTGTCATCAATGAAATACAAGGTGAAGAGACAATTTGCCCCGGAGACCCCGGTGGAATGGCTCGAATTTCGCCCTACACTCGTTCCAAGCATCCTCGTCTCTCGACTATGGGCCAGCGAAGGTACTTCTGTGCTCTGGGAGAATTATCCCCATCTTCTCGCCATGGCTGATATGCCATTGAAACGGAAACAATATTATGCCAACAAGATTCGCAAAGTATTCATCATGAGTCCGCTGCCCGGGAGTCCTATCTCCTTGGAACATCTCAGGGATCTGCAATGGCCATTGTTGGAGAGTTTGGAAATGGACATCAATTTTGCGTGGCATGGAGACCAGATAAGAAGTATGATGGGTCCGAATCTGAAACATCTCGAACTCTCAGGATACCAGAGTGAGGGGGCCGAGTATTTCGGGCACTTCGTGCTACCTACGATATTTGTGAGTAGAATGACTATCACCTACGGCCTCTTCTAAGAATTATATGGCCATTGCTGAACTCGAAAATAGGGCCTCTGTACCTCCCTCGAAAGCATCCGCTTTGGTCCGGCCCCCATCGGCCCAGAAGACCGTCTTCCTTCAAGCTGGCTGGAAGAAAACATGTACTCAGTCCCAAGCATCACCTCCATCGCCCTACGCACCACCCGCTTCACGTATACCACACCCCTTTTCATGCACCTCTCCGCCTACCCCAATTTGGCATCTTTAGAGGTCGAAATTGAGCCTGGCACCGCCCTCCTCCCGTTTCTCTCCGAGCCTCCTGAACCAATCTTCACCACTCTCACCTCTCTGAACACAATGATCTACCCTGAAGTAGCTCTGGCCCTTCTGCCACACCTCCACGCGCTTGAGAACTTGCAACTGGATATCTGCAGAGTCCCAGACCACCCCGCTGTAGCCTCTGACATTGGAATCCTCAACGATCTCCTCAACACGCTCCCGAATATGCCTCATCTAAAAACCCTCAAAATCGGTATCGGAGCGCTGTCTGAAGGTCTCCCATCCCTCATCCACCCTCTTAAACTCAGCGGAACCGCACTCAGATCTCTACCCACGAACTGTCCAGACCTAACAGACATCACCATTTTCGCCGCTGAACCAGGCACAATCGACGGGTCCTCCATATCTCCCTCCGACTTCTCCACCTTCTGCGCCGGCCTAAACCTAAGAAACCTCTCCTTAAAGCTACACCCCTCCACAACAAACCACCTCTCAGCCACCCTACTATCCAGCCTAGGCCACTGTCCCCTTCTCACCACCCTCAAAGTCGGCGTTGTGCTCGACTTCACCCAATTGTCCCTCGAAACTCCCACCTTCCCCAACCTCCTTGAACTCAGCTTCACGCCGCCAGAGTTTCTCGTACAAGACGAACCCACTGAAGACGAGGAAGCATATATCCGCACATTCGCCGCGGGACTTGAGACGTATTTTCCCGAGCTCGAGATCCTGGAGGCGTGGGGTGGGGAAGAAGAGGATCTGGCGTATGTGGAGCCGTTTGAGAACACGCTGGCGAGTGTGTGGGAATTCTTGACGGGGCAGCCGCAGGATCTGTGGGATGAGGATGATTTGGAGGAGGGGGAGGATGGGTATGAGGAGGCGTTTGGGGAGGCGCTGCCAATGCGGGTGGGGCATGGCGGTACTTCTGAGGGGCTGTTGTTGGAGGTTTGAACTTGAGGGTGATGGATGGGATATGAAATGATATATTTTTTGGAAGCAAAAGGGTGGTTCTACAGGCTATGGGGGTGCGCGGGTGCGTGATGAAGGTATATATGATGAGTGGGTTTGGGAGTATTTACGTTCATATATACACATGTATTTTCAGTTCCCTCAAATATACAATGAGAGTACTTTCTATTTATGAACATGGAGGCTTCACACCTTGATGCCAGTACTCTGTGTCTGCTATTAGTATATGAAAATACTACCAATCCTCGCTGTTCAATAGGAAATATATATTCGATTTAGGTGCTTGAAAACGACACATCTACTATGCACCTGTCCGTAATGCTGTGATATGCTGTCCATTCCTACAGCTCCACAGTGAATTCCATCAAATTTACCAATATCTCAAATCTGATTCCAACCATCTACCCGCCGAGGACCACAAGCCACCAAACCCATCCAAAGTGTCCACACGCACAACCAACCAATCAAACACCCCACACCCACAGCTCGGGAGTCCGCCAGACCGCCTCGCCCATCACGTCAACCTCCATTTTTCTGCCAGCCGCCAACTCACCAAAAAGCCTCTACCCCTCGCCACAGCCCGAACTTTCTTTAAATAAATAAATAAATCTAACTTGGTTTATACCCTTTCCCAATTTCCCAACAACCCCGCCTCCTCGAAAATGGTCCTCTCCGCCATCACCTACACGCGCGGCGCGCTGCGCATCCTCGACCAGACCAAACTCCCCCACGAAGAGCACTGGGACGCCATCTACTCGTCGTCGGACGCCTGGCACGCCATCAAAGCCATGCGGACGCGCGGCGCGCCCGCCATCGCCATCGTCGCCGCGCTGTCCCTAGCTGTAGAGCTGGAGACGATGAAGCTGTCCGCGGTCGGGGAGGAAGTGGCTGCGTTTGTGGAGGAGAAGCTGGGGTACCTGGTGACGAGCCGGCCGACGGCTGTGAATCTGGGGACGGCGGCGAGGGAGCTGGTGGGGGTTGTGAAGGGGGCTGTGCGAGATGCGAGGGGAGAGGGGAGGGAGGCGTCGGGGGAGGAGGTGAAGGAGGCGTATGTGCAGGCGGCGGAGGTGATGCTGGAGCATGATGTGAGGGATAATGAGCGGATTGGGGAGTTTGGGGGGCGGTGGATTCTGGGGTTGGTGGGGGAGGGGGCTGGTGGGGATGGGGGGAGGGTTAGTGTGTTGACGCATTGTAATACTGGGTAAGAAGACCTTGAAAGAGTTCAGTGAGTCTGTTTCTGACCCCTTGGAAGCTCGCTTGCGACAGCTGGCTATGGGACAGCTCTAGGTGTTATTCGCTATCTGCACCAGAATGGGTTGCTAGAGCGGGCGTATTGTACTGAGACGCGCCCGTACAACCAAGGCTCGAGGTTGACAGCTTTCGAGCTTGTTCATGACCAGATTCCCGCTACTCTCGTCACCGACTCAATGGCGTCTGCTCTTCTCCAACAAAAGGGCGCAAGCAGCAACATCCAGGCCATCGTGGTCGGGGCGGACCGCGTCGCTCGCAATGGAGACACAGCCAACAAGATCGGCACTTACCAGCTCGCAATTGTCGCCAAACACCACGGCATCAAGTTCCTAGTCGCAGCGCCAAGAACAACCATCGACCTGTCCACGAAGTCTGGTGACGACATTGTCATTGAAGAGCGAGACGGTAAGGAGGTGACGATGATCAAGGGACCGCGCTACGATGGAGTCAATCTCGATACGAGCGTTGTCGAACAGGTCAGCATCGCGGCACCTGGAATCGATGTCTGGAATCCCGCATTCGACGTCACTCCCCATGAGTTGATTGACGCTATTATCACTGATAAGGGGGTGGTTGAGAGGCGGGAAGACGGGAGTTTTAGCCTGTACGAGATAATGGACCAGGTTCCACCTTCATCCGCGACTGTTCCTCACGAGTCGTGATGATGTTTGGTGTAGTAGCAGGCCAAACTGAGGTACACGGACTTTGGAGCAGCCTCTGTATCCAGGTGGGATTTGTGGGAAGAGCCGAGAGGGAAAATGATGGACCTACGAATTTTACAGCATGATGAAACGGCTACCACCAACCTTTGGCATCAACTGCTTGAAGCATCTAGTACAGCCGCACGGGATAAGATTCCTGGAGGGTTGAAGCATTGTAAAGGACATTAGAAAGCTCGCAGAGAGCGACGGGCATGGCGAGGATGGAGTATTGATGTATTTTTTTTTAGCATTTGCAGCTATACTCGACCCTCACTCTCACCTGTCTAAGGTGCTTGCAGGAAGCGAGTGCGGTTTCTATAGCCTTTGAAGCAGCGCCGGGGGTATGATGAAGCTCACAGGGACGTTAGATTGTGTGTAACCACTCCAAACTTGAATGCACCCTCCAGCAATCCATCTAAGCTTTGCGCCCAAAAGTTTTGTATGCAACGTGTGACCTGAACGCCTTCGATGCAGAGTCCGATCTCAGGACGTGTCTTTGGCTGTGTCCGAGTCGGTGGAGGTTGTTTGTGACTTCGCTTTGCTTCCGGTACCCGTCTTAGCTTGTTTGGCCTTCTCCTCCTCTTCAGCTTTGGCCAGAAACTCGTCCATCATCCTCTCGATCTTGTCGAGCGAGTTCTCGAGTGCAGTAGCTGTTTGTTCGCCTCGGGATAGCTCCTGAAACGCCTGCGGATGAGTGTCAGTTCACTGTAGTCAGTCCAGGCGCTGTAGCATCACCAACCCGAGCGAAATCCGGCTCCTTCAACACATTCCCCAGCGGCCCGTTCTGCTGAGCAGCCATCCTGACGCAGAACTTCGGTGTTTGGTGAATAGTTGTTGGTGTTGTACGCGTCGTCTCCACAGCCTCAGTCGCACTTGGCGTTTATGACGACGCTAGCTTACCCACGCAGACAACCGCAAACCCCCGACCTCTCCACCACTCTCGACCTCGACGGCCCAGGTCGCCCCCCATTCCTACATCCTCACCTTCTCTACGGCGAACCGCCCCCGGCGGCCTCACTGCGCGCCCTGAAGCATCATGTTCTCCGGCTCGAGCTCGTACTTAGGGGGCGCCAACAGCACCCGGCCCGGCCAGCCTCAGTATGGTCAGCAGCAGCAGTCATTCCAGCAACCGCAGCCGCAGGGCTTCCAGCCTCAGCAAACTGGATATGGTGCCCCTCCGCTCCAGAGCCAATTCACTGGCTTTCCGGGGCAACAGGCACCGCCGCCCCAGCAGCAGTTCGCTCCCCAGCAGCAACCGCAATTCACGGGGTATCCGGGCCAGCAGCAGCAGAACTTCCAGCAAGCTCAACCGCAGCAGTCCTTCCAGACAGGTCAAATCAACCCCCCAATGCCTCAGCAGCAGCTCCAGGCCCCTCAGGCGCCGCAACAGGTACCGCAGCCCACTGGGATGACGTCGGCGCAAATGGCGGACTCCTTTCGAGGGAACTCGTCACAGGCACCACCACCTCTGCCGAAGATTGCGTCTTCGAAGATCCCGAACATCCGGCTGTCGTTTATTACAGTAACGGATCAGGCCAAGTTCGAGCAGTTGTTCAAGTCTGCGGCTGGTAATGGACAGGCGCTGTCGGGCGACAAGGCTCGGGACCTGCTTCTGAGGTCCAAGCTCAGTGGAGATGCACTGTCTCATATCTGGTATGCATGTGAAGCTTGTAGCAAGAAATAATGCTAATGCGATCCAGGACTCTGTCGGACACAACTAAGTCGGGCCAGCTCCTATTTCCCGAATTCGCACTCGCCATGTACCTATGTAATCTTGCGCTTACTGGAAAGGAACTACCTAATACCTTACCGGAGCGCATACAAAACGAAGTGTCAGGCATGGTCGACATTATATCTTTTGGCATTGCGGACGACGCGCAGCCGACGAAGCCGGGCCGTCCGAGGCCATCGCCCAATGCCCCTAGCTTCGACGAGCCGCAACAGAACAGTCAGTTGCCTACGATTCAGCAACCGCAGCCACAGCCGTCGAACAGCGCGCTGCTTTCGCAATTGGTCTCACAACCGACTGGATTTACTCCCCAGATGACTGGTTATCCTTCACAGCCACAGGGCTTCCAGCCACAGCCAACAGGAATGCAGCCGCAGCCTACTGGATATGGGATGCCTCAGGCAACTGGCTATAATGGCCCACGACCACCAATGCCCCCTATGCCGACTGGCTATGGCTCGAACCTCACACCCACGCAAACTGGCATGGCCCCTCTCAACTCCCAACCAACAGGGATGCCTGGGCAATGGGGACTGGTAAATGCACCTGCCACAGGGTTGCCCAACATCGAAGCGCTACAGCGACAAATGATGCCGCAGCAGGGCCGGGAGCAGGGTGGATATTCCGCAGCAGGCCTCAGTGGGAATGCCACGATCCCATGGGCTATCACGAAGCCTGAGAAGAAACTCTACGATGAGACGTTCAAGGCGTGGGATGGGTTTGGACGGGGATATATCTCTGGCGAACAGTCTCTGGAGATCTTCGGACAGAGTGGTCTCCCCAAGCCCGATCTTGAGCGCATCTGGACCTTGGCAGATTCAGCTGATAGGGGCCGTCTCAACCTCGACGAGTTTGCTGTCGCCATGCATCTAATCTACCGCAAGCTCAACGGCTACCCCGTGCCGAATCGCCTTCCCCCTGAATTGGTGCCACCATCGACTCGAAATTTTAACGAATCGATCGGCACTATGAAGTCATTGCTGTCTCGGGATGCCGAGGAGAGGAAGAACACAGGGGCATTTCTTCAACCACAGCGGACTGGTGTCAGCTATCTCAAATCGCACTCATTCCGTCAAGGCAGCCCAATTAGCAGCGGGCGCAAAGACGCGACGGTTTTCAAGAACAACGACGACAACGTTGGGTATCGCTCAAGTGCACGTCATCGCCTTGGAGCTGGCGGCCGTTCGCCATCCCCAGCAACGCCAACCTCGCCCGCATCTGAGCGATCAGCTGATGAGCTGTCTGTGGATCAGCTTCGCAAGTCAGTCAGAGAAAAACAGGTGCTCCTGGATGCGCTAGACACTCAGGACGAGAACCGTGCAGACGAGGACGATGCGCTCGACCGCCGAGATCGACGCGAAGCCGATGACTTATACCGTCGCATCAGACGTGTGCAGGAAGACATCGACAGCCATCCCGGTGCATCGATGCGCTCGGGCGAATCTGATGCAGAACGAAGAACTCTTCGCAGACAGCTCCAGGGCTTGACCGATCGCCTCCCGCAACTTGCGTCGGACGTGCGTCGCGCAGAACGCGAGATTGCGGATGCGAAGCTTGAGCTTTTCAGACTCAAAGACGCCAAGGCGCATCCGAATTCAGGAGCGCCAATCGTCGGTACTGGCCCAGGGGGCTCTGTGACTGAATCTGACCGCCTCAAGGCTCGCGCAAAGGCGATGATGGAAGCGCGCTCAGCTGCCTTGACCGGGAAGCCCGCACCCAAGAGCCAAGACGATGCTGGTGCGACGGCCAAGCGCATCGAAGAAGAGAACTCGCGCGTCCGAACCGAGAGAGAAAACAACGAGCGCATGGTCAGAGATGTTGAGGACAGCGTCACGGAGTACAGCAAGAGCTTGGTGGACAGCCTCAAAGACGGTGGCCATGACGCCAGCAGTGAACATGAGCGCCGTCGCTGGGAAGATGGGCTGGGCGTGGAGGATGATGTCAAGGACTTCATCTTCGATCTCCAGCGCAGCAGCCGCTCGACGAGGATCCGCAAGGAAGAGTGGGTGCTCCAACAGTCACGTGCAAACCTTATGCTAACATCGCTGCAGCAAGTCGGGAGAGCGATACGGATCGGCTTCTCGTGCCGACGATTCGGCGAGATCGGCCTCGGCTTCGCGTTATGAGAGCCCGGCCCGTACCCCTGAGCCACCGTCACGCCCTTCGGCGGCCTCAACACCTGCTGGGGGATCAACTTACTCATCGTACAAGACTGCAGAAGAGCGTGCAGCGTTCATTAAACAACAAGCAGAGCAGAAGATGGCTGAGAGACTGGCAGCTCTGGGACTTCGCCCACCTGTCAAGTCTGATGAGAGTGTGCAGCAGCGCCAAGAGCGGGAGAAGAGAGAAAGAGAAGAGAAGCTCCGACAAGCTGAGGAAGAGGATGCTCGACGAGAGGAAGAGAGGCAGCTCAGACTGGCTGAAGAGCATGCAGGGCCGCCTACTATTACGAAGGCATCTCCAAAGAAGTCGGGGCCGCCACCACCCCCTGTGCGGAAGGGGAAGGCCGAAACTGCGCAGCACGATGTGAAGCAAGCGGAAGCGGAAGCAAAGAGAGCTGATCATGAAATTGCAGAAAGAGCATTGCGCGAGCAGCAGGATGAGCAGGAAGCGGAGACAAAGAGGATGGAGTAAGTGAAGAATGTCTCTGAATGAAGAAGGTGAAATCTAACGAAAAATCAGGGATGAAGAGCGACGCCAAGAAGAAGACTTGGCAAAGGAAAGGGAGGCGGCTCAGGCCCGACTCCGCGCATTGGAAGAGCAGGTGAAGCAAGGGAAAGTTCAGAAAGCAGAAGAGAAGAGAAGGAAGCAGGCCGCGCAGAAGGAGGCGAAAGAGAAGGAATCGAGACTGGCGGCTCAACGAGCGGAGCTTGAGGCAGCGAGAGAACGGGAACGACAGCTGCAGCTCCAGCTTGAGAGCCTCGACGACGACGATTCTTCAGACGACGAAGGTCCCCAGGAGATTACGCCCCTGGAGACCACACCTACCGCTAGCCAGGAGCTCCAGAGGGAGAGCGCGCCCCCTGCTGCGCCACCGATGCCTCCAGCGGCTCCCCCGGTGCCGCGCCAGACTATCACGCCCCCTTCTTCAGTCGCCAGTCCTCCTGCGTCTTCCGTAACCAGTCCGCACGCTGGCATGACTGATACTGAGACGAAGAATCCATTCCTGAAGAAGATGGCGCAGTCCTCTGAGGCTGCCAGTATCCCAACTCCCCCACCTCCGCCCAGCAACACCAGCGAAGTATCCACGAACCCGTTCCATCGTCTGACGCAGGAGTCCAATGCGCGGGCGGCTGCTGAGCCCTCTGTTCCGTCGATTCGTACTCGCGCGCGGCCGGAGGAGGATGAGTGGAGTGTGGTGGATTCCGACAACGACGATTCCTCGGACGACGACGACCGCCCCGCCGGCGCGGGCAACGCCAAGCAACTGGCCTCAATCCTCTTTGGCACCATGGCGCCGCCGCGTCCGCTGTCGTCGATGGACAACAAGAGTCCTCGCGCTGAGAGTCCTGCTGTTGCGTCGCCAACGGGTGCCCCGCCGCCCCCGCCCATGCCAAGTGGCGGTGCACCGCCACCGCCACCCATGCCGACAGGGGGCGCCCCTCCGCCGCCGCCAGGCCTGCCGCCAGCACCAAGGGCTGCTGTACCCAATATCGGCGGCCTCTTGGGCGAGATTCAGTCCGGCAAGGGCCTGCGCAAGGTGCAGACGAAGGACAAGAGCGGGCCGCCGGTTGCTGGGAGGGTCCTAGGGTAGGATGAAGCGAGTTTGACGGAGCAAGCAAGCTGCGGGCGCGTTCGCAATGCTGCACGGCCTGCAGCTCGGTGCGCTGCTGCTGGAAGGACTGCTTGACGGATGCATGCAGGCTAGGAGGGTCTTGGAGGTTTCTGGAGGGCCTTGGAGGGTCTTGGAGGCAGCATATGGCTTGTTCAGCCTCACAGGGCGTCTGCAGGGGTCTTGGGGCGGCAGAATGTATTACTAGGGTGGTGTTCCGTCCAGCAAAGACTGTCTAGCTCGCGAATGATTGGCGCAGGGGGTCTAGCGGTGTGTATGTAATACATAACACAAAGAATGTCCCGCGCTTCTTGACTCGCGACAACCTCACCTCTTCCATCCTCCACCCTCACCACCACATCCTCCTCCACGCACCACCAACCGCTCCATCGTGACCAGCATCTACACAAACCGTAAACTGCGCGTCCTGCATCCGACTCCAGACCTGTAAGACACCCCCTCCCCCTTCTCCTCGCCGCTGCGTCGCCGGGCGCAGTCCGACGCGCCAGCGTCCTCATTCAAGAGCTTCCTCATCTGTCCCACCCTCCTCACTCTCATATGCACTCCCCCATCCTGTCTTTCGCCCCTGTCTCCGCACCCCCAGGACTGTCTACACGTCCTCGTCCGCACCCCCAGTTCGCTGGCCTACGGCCTCGAGTGTGCGACCTCCCACCAAACCCCACCTCCCCTGCACCTCTCCCAGCTCGTACATGCCCTGGACACCCTAGATTGGACGTCTTTGATGAGAAAACTGTGGCTAATGATGCTGGACAGGACCACCTCTGTCGCCGTCACCAGACGAGCAATTCTCAACCTGTACGACCCAAATCGCGACCCCCGCCCATAGACTGTCCCGCTGACAGTCTGTTCTAGACATCCCTCTGCAGTACATCAGACATCAATCGCAAACATGAATGCCCCTGATAGGTACGTCAATCACGTGTGGACGCCCGGGCCGATGCGAAGCCGGCAAAGAAGCTCTCGATGCGGTGCGGCATGGCGGTGCGGCATGCCGATGCGCGATCCCAACCCTTCCCGATCACACCTTTCCCCCAGGCGGCAGCAGTGGCAGCGGCGGTGCGGTGCTGTGATCCGGAGCAGGCGCGGCGTCACGGCTGCAAGTGATACGGAGCGCGCACTTTCCCGTCTGCTGGCCTATATATTCTGCCCGCCTGACTCTCTCCTTCCTTCCTCCTCCACCTCACAACAACAACACCTTCCTTCTCTGTCACCACCACTGTCACAGCACCCATTCACTCCTGCTTCTTGCGGTCGTTCCATCACTCCATCACACCTTCCCTTCACCTCATCAACCGATCGCGTATCATCCGCAAGCATGCCGGACCAAGACATCAACACCCCCGCCATCATCGGCGGCAATCGCCAGCACCGCAATCGGGACCGCTTCTTTATTCGCGCCCCCTTCGCACCGGGCGTCCACGCCCGCGACAACGCAATGAACGAAGTCAACGGCATTGACATCCCGGACAGATTCGAGTCGTTCCTCCTCGCTGAAGGCGAGAAGAAGGTCGAGCAGAAGGACGAGACCCGTAAGTGCTGCCCTCCGCAACCCCACGTCTGCCCTCAGCTGCCTCACTACGTCATCAAAACAACCACTCGCGTCACCTGATCTGCATGGCACTGACAAATGTCAATAGGCATCCCCGACACGACCACCTTCACCTTCAACAAGGAAGACCACACCCTTGGCAATCTCATCACCGCGCGTCTCCTGAAGGATGAGCGCGTCACCTTCGCCGCGTACAAGGTCCCGCACCCGTTGTTCGCGAAGTTCGAGCTGCGTGTCAGCACTGATGGCACCATCACTCCCAAGAACGCCGTGGTCAAGGCCTGCCAGGGCGCCATCCAGGACCTCGACGTGCTTGCTCGTTCCTTCACGACCGAGTTCTTGGGCAAGAAGATCGTACGCGAAGGGGAGGCGGAGCGTGCGGCTCGCGAGAACGCGGCCTAGTTGGTTCTGGGACTTCTTGTAGCTAGCTGCAGGACTTTGGGACTTGGGAACTTTCTTGACTTCCTTTGGCGGCATTGCTGGTGCATTGGGCGGTCTTCGGCGTGGGTTTTCTATAGTGCCACATGACTAATCGTCTTGGCCGGGTTTGATCGGTTCTGGAATAGGGTTTCCAGTATTCAATGAGAAATGGTTCTCTCTTGCTTTTCTGTGTTTGTATCGTGATGTCTCTTGCTGTGTGATGCTGGTGTTTGAGGTGGCTTGGCAGGGCACGCACATTCGGAATGGAATGTCAAAAGCGTCGGGGGGTGAATTGGACATGTCATTTCTGGAAGCTGGGGATTGGAGCACGGGATTAGGGCCGTGGTGGGGAGCGCGGGATGGCGGGGGTGGGAGCGCTTTGACGTGTTATCAAATTCTTAAGGGCGCCACTAATAGCACACCCCCTTTTCACTAATCGCACACCCCTTTTTCACTAATCGCACACCCCCCCCCCTCTTGGCGCTTCACCGCCTTCCTATTGGCTCGGATTACGGCTCCGGAGCCTCCGATTTGCTCGCTTAACTTGCTTATTAATTCCAAATGCTCTCTCCAAATGCGGCCTTGGTTACAATCAATTACATCCTCTTCCTCTCCCTCTACAACACACTCACTATGGCCCTCCAGCCGCCACGGCTGGCGTACTACGCTATAACAGAGAAAGCGCATATTGCTTTACAAGCGCACGCATCAGCGCAGGGCTACGGCCTAGCAAAATACCGTAGTAAACCAGACAGAGTGGACATACGAGCATACCTCCAGGACGCATGCCGACAGCTCCGCCGCCAGCACCGCCTATTTCTGTAGTCCCTCGTCCAGCTCCTGTCGCTCGGAATGCCTATCAGTCGACAGCTACACCGGTTGATCTTCTCGTATTGATCCAGCCCTTCTTAGGCCTACAGCTGCATCTACGGCAGCACCTATGGCAGTACCTACGGCAGCACCTATAGCAACGCATACAGCAGC